TCTCTCACCTGGACACGTTGATCCTCCTCCATCTTAGCGCTGCTCTCCCAATGTCGTGAAACTATCCCAAGCGTGAGGGTTGTGGTATCATGGAGTCCTTGTCGCGACCAGTGCGATATCAGACTCCCTAGACAACGTCAAACGGAATGTCTCACGCATATAGAGCCAGGGAAACATAGCTCGGGATATCTAGAGTATATGTTGCAGAGCTGGCAACATGGCGTATTGGTTAAAGACCAAGTCGAACAGATGGGGAACAATGCGGAACAATACAGAGAAGTGTCTCAAGTAGATGTGTGTACCCAGCTGCTGAAAAAATGTGTTATGTGAAAAGTTGCACATTGGATTTTGTTTGGATGGCGTGAGCATGTCCATTTAGATGTCTTACTGTTGGACTGTATATCGTTAGAGGACTTGGGCCTATCTGGACTGCCCTTACCTATACCGAGATTGTCTCTAGCTGCCTCTCTATGTCCAGAAATTCTTTACCGCGCACTCCAAAGCTGTTATCTCGTACCAAACGGTCGTGTGGAGCTGAGATTGATACCCAGAGGGGAGTGTCGTTCTACGCGACAGCTGAGGATGTTGTATGGGGACATGTTTCAAGCATCGTTGTCGTCGCCGATTGAACATGTTGACTGTCTACTTGACATATGTTTCAAGGACGAAGTGAATGAGAGTGTACGGAGGCGTTCTGTCGGCCGATTGCGTGATTGGAGTGGACTGATGTGTGACTTGATGGGTGCTGGAGAGATTGTTTTATATCCAGGAGGTGTCGCCTGTGTTCTTCCGCAGATTGTCATTTGACGTGATTTTGTCAGTGGGACTATACCTGGTCGTTAATGGACATTATTGGATCCTGGAGATGCAAAATTGTTTGTTATAACGACAACCTCCAAGTCCTTGTCGACCGTATCTCTTCTGCGTTGGTTCTGTGTCGGTTCTCGGTTGCTTTTGGTCCTTTCCGATGTTTCCAAGCGTCTGCTGTGTGTCAGGGCATTGCAAGGGTTAGCGAGCGAGTGGGTGGGTGAGCGAGTGAGTGAGTGAATGGGTCTGGTGGGTGAATATGAATGAGTGAGTGAGTGAATGGTCTCGCGGTAGATATGAGTCAGTAAATGAGTGGATGGGTCTTGTGGGTGGGTATGAGTCAGTGAGTGGGTTAATGGTCTTGTGGTAGATATGAATGGGTGAATGGATCTCCAGGAGTAGACTGGGACAGAAGGAAATGGAGATGAAGAGATGTGGCCCATGAAGAGCGAGGAGGAAAAGAGGAAAAACAGCAGCCAACGTCGTCTCTACAAGAAGAAGCATAACAGACTGATGTCTACTTCGTTGACTGTGTTTGCGAGAAAAGCTGCCCATAGTGAAGAGGCGCAGAATCAAGGGAAACAGCTCAAGAAAATAGACGGCAACCTGATGGTTACTACCCATTTTTGTTTGGTGCAAAGAAACAGTCTGAGAGTTGGTCAATTCGGGTTACGTCAAAATGGAGATAGAGAACGTACCCCGATATCCGCTGACCAAACTGTCCAACCAACTACTCTCTTGCCAACTCACACTTGTTTAGATCTTTTGTTAGACTCCTTTACCACCTAGCCAAGGTCTAAAGGGAGCTAACAGAAAACCAAAACAGAGACCCGAACTAACACAGAATCAGCAAAGACAGAGGCAAACTGATACAGTAACAGAAACAAGAGAGACAGGAGGGAAGCACACACTGGCCAAACCATTCGCTCTCATGTCGGTGTCCATTCCAGTGCCCAAACACCGTCCGTGATGCTTGTTTGAAAGTCTAGTACACTGTCTTGGGTCAAACACACTCACCAGTATGAGATGGTATCGATACTCACTCGTCTTGGCCTTGTCGTTTGTTGAAGGCATGGACACTCATCCAAGCGTCAGCTGTTGAACGGATAGGCACATCTGAGCCCTTGTCTTGTCAGTCGGCCAAACGTGCGTGTTCCGAAAAACAAAACAAAACCATCCATCGAGAAAACCATCCAGTCGATCAGCCTGGAGAGTCTACCAAAGGCATCAGTGGCAGTAGGAGAGCATCCTCGCGGTTCTCTACACCCTCTATGCCGTCTGCGTGGCTCATTAGGTCACTTTGTTAGTGGAGCAAAAAACGTTCACCTGTGAACGAAAGAGGGGGATTTATGAGCGATGGGAAGTCCGGAGACACCAATCGAATCTACCAGGACACTCCTTAATGCCATGTGAGTCGACTGGAAGACTCTATCGGACTCCCGCGCTCGTTTTTGACCCTCTGACGAATTCTTCATTTTTGCTTCACTGTTACGGAGAGCTGAAACCACCACCTCCAAGCCTTCCACAAGCATCAGAATACCCTCTGGACCCTCTAGAAACACTCCAGGGGCCCTCAGGACCCCATTTAACAACTCACTGTCCACTTTTCCAACCACGACTGCCATTGTTTGGGTCGTGATGATATGTGCGGGAGAGGAGAGGTTGTCTTCACGGCAGAAAAGAGAGGTGGTGCAGTCACTAGGAAGACCCTACAACTCGCAAAACACGCAGCTAGCGTGTGCAAAAAAATCGACTTGTCGCCACTATTTCCGAATTCTCGTCTTGTCGCTTCTTTAATTCCATTAATCTCGATTTATTCCCATAATCCAAGTTAATGCAGACACGCAACACACAGCGCCCTCACAGCCTTTGAAGCTACACTACAGGCAAGAGCAGTTCTCGGGCTTGCTGGCAAGTGATTATAAATCTGAAAAGATATTCCAACTCGGGGAGCCGGCACCGTTTACACAGAGACATTACATAAGCCGATAGAGACATTATGACCCGCCAAAGAAACGGAGGTTTCACTCCCTGACAAGTCCGAAAGTTACACGTCAATAGACAAGCGAATACGGCAACATAGTGCCAGGTTTCACATGTGTTTGAATCCAAAAGAGCCGGCTGATGAGCTCTTTACGACTTTCCGACCTATACGAACCTCGAAAGGTGCGTCGACGGACCGACACTCAGTAATACGGGACAGAAACAATTCATCTGAGACCGTGCTTTATTCTGCTCTGAGTTGGTGGTGTTGACATAGCTACGGGAGACAGATCGCGTGTGAAGTTCATAGGCTACTGTACTGGAAACAAGTGTTTCAAGTTTGTATAGGTATTCGGTTAGCAGTCCAAACTTGTGAGAATCGTACTAGTGGCAGTTTCAGAGACCACTGTGACCTGGACTAGTGATTAGGGTGGACCGTGCGAGTCTGCATTCGTGTTGCTCTCCTTGAGGGTAAACTTTTCTTCTTCCCTTCTTTGATCATCATCACGACAAGAGAATTGAATGTATACGGCATTGTAGGGGGTTTTGGAGGAGTATAAGGCATGGTGAGTGATGATACGGTCTGATGGAGTCCATCAGTCAACTCGTCCTTCAACTCTCAATCAATGGCTCCTACGTATTCTGTTCAATCAGATTTTCAATTCTGCGTTCGTTCCTCTCTCACAAGACACGTTGCAGAAAGCAACATGACTACAGCGAACAAAGGCCCAATGTTCGTAAAGTGACTGTCAGCGGTTCATCAACAATTTATTTCAACTGTACATGATTCAAACTTGACTCCAGCTCCGACAGAAGCGCATCTTGGACACCCGCTTAGTCCATGGTAATGTATAGATGAACATCTATAAAAGACGCAGAGCGGATAGATACGAATTAATTTTAATGGCACAAACAAAGGACCATGTTGCAGTGCCGAAGAAAATTCGAAACAGTCAACTTAATGCGAGTCTACTGTCTGCTCTCGTGCCTCGTTCACATCCTTCGACACCAGGGAAGCTTAATGGGTAGTTCTATGGGTGGAAAAATACATTTGAAACGCCCCCAAGGACCCCAAAAAACCGAGAGATGAAGTCTCTGTCGAGTCTACGTCACTTGTGGGCTGATTATGTGTCGTTGGAACCACCAGGCAAGTTAGGTGCATGTCGCACTTGGTCATGTATGCTACCAGATGATCTGCAGCGTCGGAAAAGTCACGGGACACTGAAGAATCAAATAATTACGAGGCCCATTTTCAACTCCTCCCCTCTTTTCAACGCTCAGATCGAGTCACACCTCTCATGTTTGTGTTTAGCACCCTCAATGTCAACAGCGTAGAATCCAGACTAATCTCCTCCCACAGCAGCACCGAGGAGATACGGAGCGCACGGTCAAAATCTCCGCATCATTCTGAAAATTTTGATCCCAACACTGCCCAGATCGTGGATCGTTGGGAAGTCTTTAGACCGTTCCTATATTTACAGCTACAGGTACTACATCTGTCGACGCGGAGTGGTGATTGCACTTCTCCCAAAGCTCATGGTCACCAATTGAAGACCTAGGGGCATTCTACTATACATGTCTTACATTCAGTAGAAGTGCCCAATACCTTTACGTTTCTCTACTGGCGAATAAGTCGATTCTGTTTGGTTATGTCCTTCCCATGATAGCTGTACATACAACTAGACGCAACAACGCAAGATAAAATACCCCATACACTTCTCGGAGAGATTCAATCAACTTTTGACTGCGAGATATCATCCTCGAAGATCTCCACTTATTGCCTTGACCACCTGAATTAGGAGCCATCATGGTATCGAATACAGAGTGCAAAACCAAATGGAATCTCACCGGAAAAAACACCGCTGTTGTCCACAGCAAATGCGAGATCATTCTGGTCATTTTGATACCATGAAAGAGCCTGCTCCGCATCGCTTCAGTAGAAACATATGGATCATCCGTCTCGTTCGTAGCTGTTACCGTGCGCATCCCTAAGGTTAAAATCAGAGAAACTCACCTCCTAATCAAGTGATGTCTGGGACCAAAAAAAAGTATCTGGAAACAGCATAATGCTCCTGTTGGTTATTCGAAGTACCGCTTTAATGGTACCAAAATGGTCGTCGTGAAATCCCAACCTCCCCCCCAGACGATATTACAAAAACAATAATAAATGCATAGAATCTAAATATGTGTAACGAGTGCTTACCACCGCTCTATCTCACACGTCCAACACCCTTGCAAACAGGGCATGTCTCATCTCCCAGGAACCAATCGTACACCATGCCTCGGCCTCTGCACTTTCCACATACTTGGCCACCCAGTCGGGGATCGCCTGGTTGGACAACAATAGGAGGAGGAGCTCCAGGGGCAGCGTAAATGGTGGTCTGTTGGGGAGGAGGAGGGGTGAAAGGGAAAAAAGGAAAAGGTGTATATTGTTGCTGGGGCCCTGGAATGTTGACTACCTGCTGGTTGGGTCGAGCAAACATACCCCAACAGTCCTGGCACGACTTTCCATTCTTCTTCTTAATACCCGTGTTGTCACACTTAGGACAATGGTAGCCTCTGGGGTAATGTAATAGCGGGTTGTTGGGAGCCGGGCCTCCCTGAGGACGGGGACCGTATCCCATTTGTCCGGGAGGGCGGTTGGGGGAATGAGGGGGTCGTCCTGGAGATGGCGGGGGTCTCCCGTGGGGTCCAGGGGGTCCAGGCGAGTGCCCTCTTCCACCCTTCCCACTCGCCCCACTCTTGCCGCTTCCAAAGGAGCTATTGGAAACATTACCGGTATTGAAAGATGTGTTGCTAGAGTTGGCAGTGCCGTACGCGCCGTTGCTGGAGTAGGAGGATGAAGGTCGCGGGGGTGCTTGAGGTACCTGCAAATGGTTCTGGTCTGGGGTTTGGTTCTGAGGGGGCCGGTTAGGAACAACAGGCCGGGTCGTCGATGATCCCCCAGGTCGGTCTAAACTCTCTTCGTAGGTAGGGGGTAATTCATCCGGCATCTGCTCTTCTGGGGGAAGAACGTGGCCGTTGTTTTCGGCTGTAGGCTGCGGGCTCCCTTCGTATTGCGCTTTTGACATGCTGCGTGGTCTGTGTTAGTAATTGAAGTGAGAGAATCGGATCACAACAGTGTGGGCAAGGCTGGGGATACAGAGGAATGGCGAGAGCCGGGTCCTGAAAGCTCACAACATCCAAAACGAGTGAGATCCACTAGATCAGTACAACACCAGGCAGACAATCCGGTGCAATGCGCTCAGGGCCTTTCCGAGTGTGCTCCATGTCCCAGATAAGGTCGAGATATCACACCCAACTGCAGACGCATCCTGACACCCATCCAGAGCTCCACTGACGTTAAGAAGAGCACTCCAGTCGCACCATCCAAGTATCGATCCTCCCAAGTCCAACGCCACAACAAGTGCCACCATCCTAGCCCTCTGCTCTAATCGAACACCTAAATCTCATAACTTATCATACTCGCAAGCAAGCAACATACCCCTTGTAAATAGTCGGTTGGAATAGTCGGAAACGGCTGTTGTTCTTGTGTAAACAGGTATAGGCGTCTGATTCTGTGTCGATTCGGTTTTTCAGGGCCGTTTCTTCCGTTCAACGCTCTTTCAGGACCGTATCAGTCTCTGTTCGTTCTTAGAGCCGCACTCGTATGATGTCGCACAAAAGTGTCAACTAGAGACCTTTTTGGACCGTTGGACGCGCGCACAAGTGTCTGGAGAGTCACGTGATCTATGATACAGTCACGTGGGTTGTTTTTTCTCGTCTGTCGCGGGGGCAATTTCAAGTCGCCACTGTTATTCAGAAAGGTCAACGGACTCGCTCTTGCTAAGAGACTCGCATATTTAGACGCTTATCGAGGCAGTGTTGCGGTCACGTGAAGACCTTATTTTAGTCAGGTGCGAAAAGCGTCCATCGTCTATAGGGAGTGCAATGGGACGCGAAAATGGCAGGTTTGTAACGAAATATGAAGTGTCATGTTTCAAGGAATAGATGACATTTGTCACAAATGAATCCGGAATTGTATTGCGCAAGTTATTGCCATCTTCGTTTTCTCAACTGTTGGTCAACTATATCTTTAACAAATTTCAAAAGCTAAACTAAAGTGGGCCAAATTTGATTGCAAAAATATAATAATACATCTCCTCTCGCTTGCCGGCCTATGGCACGAAAAAACAATTGCAAACCTACTGTACAATGTACTGTACAATGTACTGTACAACGTCCTCCACACGACTGAGTCATTCTCTACCCCACACAACCCAATATCTCTGCAACCTATGACTTATTACCCCCACAGTATAGTTACTATACGGTGGAATGTAACAGCAGTCAAAAGTGCCATATTGAACTAGTGGTGAAGGATTAATCTCGTCTTTAGTTCATTTATGGCCCTCTAAACACTCAAAATGGTGCCAAAGGTGTATAAATGTCACTGGTATTGGTCTAAATTACCCCCCGAATGCTCTCCTTGCGTACAGGTTGAAAAGTTCAATACAACTCGAGCAGTAAAGGTCGTATTTGCGCAAAGACTTGAAATACTCTTCCGAATTCGCTATATATATATATATATATATATATATATGTCTTCTTGTTACTTGTGAATCTATGAATTACCCCTACTTGTAGCACGAATTGAACAGTTTCTCGACATGCTACCGCCTGAACTTCTACACATCATAATCCAACACCTAGACTTGGCCAGTCTGGTCTCTCTCAGTCAAGTGTCTCGAAAATGGAGAGACGCATTGTGTGACGACTTCTTCTACAGAGTTGCTGCTCGCGACTTCAACCTCGAACATCGACGGTTTCCACTGAGACAGACTTGGACATCATCTGCCCATATCATTTACACAAGGTGTGTTCAGCTCATCAGCCATATGACAAACTCATCAAATAGCTGTGATCTTGTACTTGTACCCCGTCTAATAGATACCCTCAACGACCGGGACACTACAAACAATAAAGTCGAGGAACTATCGGAGAAAATGGCACAGTTGTCTATTACCAAGTCCAGCCAGTTGAAAACAAGACTCCATACTTCCCACACGACAAGCAACATCACTTTCAACTGTCCGTTACCAAGCGACTTTTCTGTATTGTTCCCTACTTACTCTCTGCAACATCTGAACAACGGATTCCAACAATTTGATGATGGCTATTGTGATAAATACGGCTATATAAGACTGACAGATGACCCTAAGCACTACCAATGCTATGACAAACCCACACGTGACTTATACACGTGCTCAAATGGCTTAGTCATCGATCTACCCCAAAACTACAGAGTGGTTCCATCCACGCCAACAGTCAAGTCGCGAGACGCCGAAGGGATTTGGACCGAGAGAGTAGACTTTGAAAGAATCTCACGTGATGTGGCCAGTGACGTGGTTGTTGCTACGAGTAGCTCGACAACCGCGGTGTGGGTGTGTGTTACGGGCGAACTACGGGTCTTCTGGTGGGTTCCTAGGGAGTCACGTGGTCAAGGGACAGTTCACAGTTGTAAGATATCACGTGAGTGGACTCGAAACAAGGTGCAGCTTTTTGTCTACAAGAGTATTGTTCTTGTTGCTGTCACTCAGATTCATTATATTGATTGGAGTATCCACAGCAAGCAGGTTTGGGACGTTTATCAGGTTACTTGTGATCATCTGAAGGGCGGAGACGTACAGGTGACTAAAATCCAGTCACATGACTCTTCCTGGGGCAATATTCTCTGGTATGACGGGTTGCGGTTGTGCAACACTCCTCAGTATGCTTGTGATCGCACCCATGTGATTGGAGATACCATCGAGCCGTCTCAATGGGGTTATGGCAATTGTATTCGGTTCAATTTTGATAGTGATTGGATCGTGGGATATGATTGTGATCACAAGTTGCGGTGGATCCGAAATTCGGTCACTGGAGCAGTAGAGCATGTTCCCGAACATTGTATGAGTTTTGTTGGGGTGTCCAGGGGTAGGTTGAAGGTGTGTGTTTTCGATAAGGGGTATTTGCAAGAGAGAGAGAGGATCAGATCCACCGTAGATGTGTAATCGACTTGAAGCTCATCAGAGGCACAATGTGCCGAACATGATCACTCATGGTATCTTGTAGGGCATACCCCTATACACATACCGCATATCCAAATAGTTGGATGGAGCAATGTATGAAGCAATGCAATGTTAGCTGTGTGAAACAATGTATGAAGCAATGTACCAAGCTGTTCTTCACAAAATACTGTACTGTAGCTGGATTTTCGATGCCATATCCACAGAATATCAGCATAAGAACGACTTTTCTGATGTAGAATACTTCCTGGCACTCTTGTATATCGGAACATGACCAGATTGACCACAAGTACCAACTCCTACTTGTACTTCGACATCCATCAAAACAATTGTCTGTTCTCTCTTGTCGGTTTTCCACCTGTGTGATATCTCTGAGAAAATTCAATCTGAAATCGGTTATTTTCAGAACAAAAATTCAATTATCGGTTATTTCGCACAGCCAAATTGGCTGAACACATGCTGAACGTCGTAGACACGTGATACCACCCTCTCACGTGATTGGTACCACCTCCAGGAGTACTCCTGGTTTCTCTCACGTGATTGGGATATCTTCTCCCCTCCGCAACCGCTCTGCTGCCTCTCCACATTGTGGTAATCGAATCAGGCAATATATGCACGTCTGGTCGGCCACAAATGCAGGCTGCTGCAGAGGGCTCCAAAGGGTGAGTGAGAGACAGCTGATTCGAGGGGTGGGGGCCGCGGCCCTTTTGTTTTGGTAGTCACGTGACTAGACCTAGAGGTCTGGTTGGGAGGATGTTATTGTCTGTTTTTGGCGTCAAGAAATGTGTTCTGTTCTTGTGTTTTTTTTACCTTGTTTTTGGAGGCTGAAATAGGAACAATGCAAACAAGGTTAAAGATATATTTAGGATTGCGACATACGAGCTGATGAGCGGGGGGACAATGATGATCGTTGAAGAGGTGTTTGTGGGCGGTTTGGTTGTGTAGTACCACTACCAGCAAGTTAGTCTTGGCTCAAGAATCATTTTGGTCTTGTCGGTTTCTCTGTATCATCATTATTCGCCAAGTTGTGTCCCCCGTCCTTGTTTCAGAACTGCAGCTCCATGCATTATTTCGGCCACACCAGCCGTGTGGTTTTTGAGACCGGAGTTGATATAAGTAGAGAGACCCATGTGTGGATGGGAGACTGGTAGAAGATTCCATTACAAACCCGACGAAAGCCGATTACTCTTCCGCTTCAATCTTCATACATCAAAAACACACGACTTTTACCAAGAGAGATCTACATTCGACAAGAAGCACCAATGGCGAAAATGTAAGTGTATATGGGCTTGGAGGTGGTTGGTGACGGGTGTTTTTGGTACATTGTGCTTGATTGGAGACAACAGAACTTCAGATGATGACGGTTCGATTCTGATAACTCAATTGAGACCGGTACCTTTACTGACACTGACGATACCACAGTATGTACTGTAGGTGATACCCGTTGATGGCTCCTCGAGTCCGTCAATCCCCATTATTCCATTAAGCTAACCCAGGAACATCACCTACACACTCCCCACGGATACGACTTCGTTTCTGTCTCTCTTTTCCAGCTTTCTTCTCTCTCTCAAACTGTCGAAAAGCGGACTCAAGGTCGGCTACTTTCTCCCCAAGTCGTACCCCTTTGCCTTCTCTATGGAAGAGGCCGTGACTGCGCTTACAAACCTCGAGCTCCATCCTGGTTCGCGTGCTGTCAACATCAAATGCAACATTTCCGAGTCCCGCGCACAGTCACTTCTAGCTCAGTTCATGGTAGCTAGACTCATCCACTGTCCTGAAGACAGAACGCGTGACTCTCCAACACAAAATGTACCCCTACAACCCACAGCAAAGGGCGTTTACATACTCAGCCAGCATCTGCAGGCCAATCCTATCCCAGACAGTCCAAAGAAACACGCGGCTGCTCTTCTGTCTTCTAATCACAACACCATGACGTGCATTTCTCTGGTTAGAGACTCCAATGACGCCATCCAGAAGTCCAAATACCTCACGTTGCTTCTGTTTCAACGACTTGCGGGCAAACATCCCAATATCTACACTGCCAACGATATTGGAGACCTTCCACAAGGAAAGCCATCTCCATATCACCATCGATACTTTACTCATCCCGATAGTGATGCAGTAACCCAGTATTACGACAGCAGAGTGGGTGTCAGACTACTGGAAGCCACGCGTGATGGTCATTCAATCTACTACTTTTCAGGTAAAGCTGCTTGGCAATGGGTTATGGAGTGCTGCGAAGTAGTAAGCGGGTTGGAGATCCTGGACATTCTACAGGAGTTTCTTACAGCTGGGTTCATCGAGAGATTTGATACTGAGTCTCGTTATTCAGAAGAGGCCAAGTCACACACATTTGTGTGTTCCAAAACTGCAAAGTACACCATCACGGCGTCGGGGATGTCTGTAGCTGGTTGGACAGGCAACCTGCCTACGACGCCGCTTTCTTCAGGGTTCCCTGTATTCATCAAGTCTCGTCTTCTTCACGGGGTCGAGGTGACCAAGGAAGACTTGGTAGAGCTTCAGGAGATTGATCAGGCCACAAACACAACTTTGGATGCGGTCACCGGTCGGCCAGTGGATGTCGCACGTGATGAAACGTCTCAAGAGTCTCGAGAAGAACGATTACTAGGATTCAAGCACGAAAATCCATCTTTGGCTGTGGTTTTACAAGATCCAGGTCTCACAATGCTGTTCAGAAACCACCTGGAAGCAACTCATTGTGTAGAGAACCATACTGTTTACGTGAGCATAAACCGTGTGATTCGCACCTATGCTGATACATCTCCCCAGGTATCAGATGACTCCATGGCTTCTCTTGTGGCCCTCATTTACTCCACTTATGACTCCTATCTTTCTCCCCAAGCTCCCAAGGAGTTCAACATGATTTCGTCGTGGCGAGATCAACTGTGTCATTTGACAGGAGAACTACGCGGTGCAAAAACTGTTCCTGCCAGTCTCATCATTGTGGCAGAAATAGTTCGCATTTTTGAACTGATCAAGAATCACGCCTTTCGAATGATGGAGATTGATTCTCTACCCAAATTTCTGGAATGCAGAGAGTACAGACGGTGTTTGAGAACGTTCAGATGGTTGGAGAGGGTCAACTATATGTAATTGTCAACGGTATAACTCAGAGGCATACTGTATGTACTTGACAAACATGACATCCTCGTTCATTGTCTTATCTTATTATACAGCAGCTTTCGCTCTCACATAACAATACATTACACAATAGATATACATACACAATTAAATTAATCCTTTCTCTCCTCCTCCTTCTTATCAGTCTCCGAAGCCACGGAAACGGGTGCAGGTTCAACCGGCGCAGCTGATACAGGCTCGTCCTCCTTGTTGAAAGCAGCAGACTCCGCGTCAGGCTTGGCAACTTCTGATGCATCAGTCATTTCCACATCCTTGGGTTCTGTGTCTTTGCGTGAAATTTGATCTGGTTCTTGAGGCTCCTCCTTAACCTTGGACACTTCAGTTTTAGACGCTTCGGTGTTGGATTCTGCAGTGTTTGATGCTTCAGTCTGGATCTCTGCAGCCTTTGGCACTGCAGCCTTGGGCTGCGTGACCTTAGTCTTTGATTCTTCAGTACTCTGTTCCTTCTTTTCACCTTCCTTCTCCTGCTTATCCTCCTTGGTAGCAACGGTACTCGTGGCAGCCTCCTCCTCCTCATCATCTCCTCCCTTGCCACTCTTGAGCTCCTCCAGAGCTTTGATGGCTCGCTGAATTTCCTTCTGCTCGGCCTCACTGGGGTTCTCAGGCACGTACTCGCTCATTTCCTCAAGGTATCGTCGTCGATCGTCCTGATACAGCTTGTAGTAAGGCTGTCGTCCCTCCTGGCCCAGCTCCTTCCACGAGTCAGCCAGAGCACGTGTTAGATCAAAGGTCTCGCCATCCGCCTCCAGCTCCATCGATGCTCGGACGCCTTCCTTTTCCCGCTCACAAAAGATAATGTAGGCGTTCTGGGGCCTCTTGGGCATATCTGGGTTTCGAACAGCCCGCTTTTTGGGACTCTCGGAGCCATCTCCACCGTTTCCGTTTTCATTGTCTTCGTCGTTGGTAGTTCCCTTGCCCTGGACAGATGCGATTGCTGCCAGAGCGGCTGCGGTTCCGGCTTGGCTGGCCTTGTTGTTGCTCACCACTCGTGGGTTGGCAGGAGGATCATTAGCCCTAAGCAACAGAGCTCGCTGCAGCTCTGTCAGGCCAATCTCGACCTCCTCGTCTGTGGAATCGGATCCTTCTGCGGCGTCTCCCTTTGCTAGCTCCTCGAGCTTCTCCATCAAAAGCTCTCTTTCCAGACGAACCCGAATGATGGCCCGTTTGGTTCGAGCCAAGTTCAGCGCCGTGGCCTCGTTGAAGTCCTCAATTTCCTGGATCCGCCGCTTCAAATCCTTGCATTTTTGTCGGTACTTGGTTTCCTGAGATTTCGACAGAATAGGAATCATCTTGATTGTGTGGTGGAGTTGCGAGTCGCGATGGTGGTGGAAATGCCTTGCATAAACTACCCTAACCCGGTGACGGCCCTAAATGGGGGTTTGTGGAGTGCACTGATTTGCGCGGCCGCAGTTCGAGTTGCAGTGTCACAGTATTTACGGGGAAAATCGTGGTTGGAATATTGGTGAACTGAAGAAAAAAATGACAAACAACTTAGGACCCACTGTCAAATCGACATTTCCGGGACCCTAATGTCTAAGACAAGTAGATACCAACCCCCAATATCTTACTTACCAAATGTCAACAAAAAAAAAACAAAAAAAAAACTTTACTTTCACCCAATATCATGCTTAACAAATGTCAACAAAAGGTTTTTGATTACTTTCCCCTAATGTCTCACTTAACAAATGTCAACAAAAGTTTTTTGATTACTTTCACTCAAGCAGTCAATACACTCCCGTAGCGGTAATTTCACAACAAATTGCTCTTTCACTCAGGCCGATACCACCTCTCCTTTTGCAATTGCATACTTGTACTCGCTCAGTAGCTAGACATGGATTTCACTGGATCTCTGTTGCTATTTTTATGTTCTCTCTTGCTAGACAGTCTCACTATCTGAGACAATCTCAACAGATACGCTCAACAACCAAAGAACCACCTACTTGTAGAACATGAAAAGATCTTAGAATAAGTAAATAAACCTCTTTTAATGACTCTCAAACTGGGATTTTTCTTCTTGCAGCAACTTTCTACTGGTTTCGCTTGTCAACACCTCCAGATCCCTGAAAGCGCCCATTCTATACGTCTCCCCGTCATGTTCGAGATTCGGACTCATCTCAGAGCACTCTCGGGACCCGACAACGGTCAGTCGCAGTCAGGGACCAAGCAACGTATCAATTCGTGGAGATCCTGAAGCTCAGAGAATCTTTTGGTCTTAACTCAGCTCCAGAAACAACACAATATCACCAACACAATATCATCGCGTCGACCCAACCTCACTCTGTAGATTACTCATCAGCATTCCCAGAACAAACGGGTGGTTGCTTTTAATAGCACACATGAGTGAACGGCTTTTTCTACTTTTTCTAAGGGACCTTAATGTTGTTTATTGAGACACTCTCAGCGGATCAGTACTTGAGAATCTCTCGTCCATGCCATCAACCATGTCTGTAAGAATACCTACTCCACCCGACAACATATTCAGGTTTAATACCATTAAAACGCCCCAAACCAATCCATGACACAATCCATGACAAAATCCCCTGATGCATAAACGGCTTCAACTTGTCTCAGAGCATGAGTGTGCATCCTGCGATCGCGTGGGTTCAGATCGACACATGGCTGCCTAACGGCGGCGCTAAAATTTACGCTTTCGGGTGGACTGGAGGTGTGGGAGAAACCGGGACTTGTGTATATCGTAGTGGAGGGAGTATGTTACTGGTGTGGCAGTTTTGTGACCTGTTTTTGTATCTACTCCATGTAGATCTGAGAAATGTGTTTCGAGGGTTCATTTTGTTAGCGACAGTTGAAGAACTTTATTTTTAGTTCACTTTTAGTTCATTTTTAGTTCACATTCTGGTTTGTCTCAAAGTCGACCCGTTGAGTCGGAAAAACGTGCCATTGGTCAACTCTGATTGTCCATTTGGTTCCACACTTTGCCTTTCTGTTTAATCAACAATTGTATTATTTTGAGAGCAAGTCTACGGCGTTGAGTAGGACTCTCAACAGAATACTACTTGTAGTAATTGAAAAAAGCGTTTCAAGTATACAGGACAGCTGAAACCTCGGACTAAACTAATAAAAGGCTGTTCATAAGACTGCCCATATGCATACATGGATATGCCCAGCTCTCTTTCTTTACTGATGTGTGTTTTTTTTGGTTTTTTTGTTTGGTTTTTTTGTTTGGTTTTTTTTTTTTTTTTTTTTTTTTTTTTTTTTGGTATCTTTTTAAATTTAATTTTCACACCAGTCCCAATATTGCCTTCAATCTTTCTGGCAGGGCCCAAAACGGCCAATTTTGGTCAAAATTGATTTTTGAAAAAACAAATAATAATTACTCGTGTTGGAGAATCGATTTATTCAGTCACGGTTCCGCTCCCTGTCCTCCCCGAGCCATGACACATGACTCTGTTAAATAACCTTCTGATACGGCGGAAGTGCATATAGCGGCTGCAACTTCCCCCTCAACCTCCAAATAAGGTTGTCACGAGGATGAGCTCGGTTACGTGACGTTTCTGACAGACCACTACGACGAGAAGAGGAGGAACTTCGCCCCGAGCAACCCAGCTGCTTAGTCATATTCAACAGCAGCCACCCGGCACGACCGCGACGCGACACGCACTTGAGCACTACACGACGCAGATACGACACCAGCCCAGAGACTCATTAGTCATAGGGCCAACATTGAACCGCGACAACCAGGACGACCAGGGAACTCACACCATCAGTGGCGAATCGGCGAAACCTGCAACGTTTCAGTCACGTGACCCATCAGCAATTCGCGCACCGGTTTATTGTTTAGTTTTGTTTTTGGTTGCCTGCATCTACGGCTTTTTGCGTGCACGGCTTTACTTTGATTACATTACTCCGGCGACTATCCGAGAGAGCAACAAGAATATCATCCGATCTGAGCTTGCATCAGTCTAGCGTTCGGTGTGGTGTTTTTTATATTATTTCACGCAGGTGATATCAGACGGGCTTGAAAAGGATCAGATACAGGTGAGTGAGTTATGGAGTGTTGTCCAGTGTGGGGGAGAATACGAGACCAGAGGGTGGTGCATAAACACTTCATTTCACATATCCCTGAAAGCTATAGTTACTACAGCCCTGTGAAGAGATGATGATTCTTCCAGCCATCCAGATGTTTCACCACCACTCCCCAGATTCGTCAATGCTGCGATCTTTATCCATTCTAACACAGGTACACACACATGAACAGCGGCCGTCCACGACAAATAGCAAGTTGCGTCAACTGCCGGAGCCGCAAGGTCAAATGCGATCGTCAGAGACCGTCTTGCTCGCGATGCATCAAACACAAACAGTCATGTTCGTACTTTGATGGACGAGAACTAGAGGTTCCAGGACGAAGGGTTCCCGTGGAGGTACGATTGAGCCAACCGTCTCCGTCTTTGGTTTCGGGATTGGCTCTGCCAGGGTACTATTATGGGTATCCCGGGCAAGGGCAACCGGGTTTGGGAATGCCAGGTCAGGGTTCTCCAGGGTCAGGAGTGCCACGTGACCCAAGGGTAGGGCCAGGATCACCACAGGGTGTGCCACAAGGACTGGGGCAGTCTCCAGGACACCCTCCAGGGCTAGGACAATCTCCTGGACACGGACAGCCGGGGAGTGGGCAGTCGTCTAATCTAGGCCACATGCCTGGATCCGGTCCGTCTCCTTCCCAGCCTCCCCAATCTCCCCTGGTTGCTTCGAACACCCCTGGAAGATTGGTCAAGGATGACAGTGGGATTCTCCACTACTCGCAGTCCTTCTTCTCTTCGGTTCTACAGTCCAACACACCTGTCAAGTCGATGGAAGGCGAGGCTTCAGGGGTTCCGTTCTTTTGTAAACCGGGACAACCTGATCCAAACACTCCTCCGGCGCAACTACCTATTCCAAGGCACGTGATCACAACGCTTTTGACCACCTACATCAGCGACATACACTCTGTGATTCGAATCGTTGACTTGGTGCAATTCCATAAGGATCTGACGGAGTACTTTGCCGAACCCAAAACAGCCACGCCCGACAGAATGGCAATGTTGTATGCCATGCTGTTTTTCGCAGCAGACGTCTACATTAAGCTGAACGAGGGGGCCCAGAGTCAAGACAATGGAAGCATGGAACATTCGGGGTTGGGGAAATTAAGAGGCATGGAATTGTCGGGTTCCAAGGCTGGAAGTGGAGGTAGCTCGGACGTTAGTATTAAGACATGGGTAGAGTGGAAAAACAAGCTCTATACCGCAGCTACCAATACTTTGATCCATTCTGAATATACCTTGAAGCCCTCGTTCAATGCCCTCAGAGCCCATATTCTTCTCCTTTACTGTTCAGTAGGAGAAACTCTTACCAGAGGAGCTGGTCTGGTTGAATTGCCTATCCTCATCCGTCTAGCTCAGTCGATAGGTCTACATCGAGATGCTAGCAATTTCCCAGGCATGTTTACCTTTGCCGAGTGTGAAATGCGACGTAGAACGTGGATCTATATCCAACATTTGGACTCATTCTATTCTCGATCGTTTGGATTGGAGCCTATGGTGAATGATAAAATGTTCGATACCCGTTTCCCTCTTCTTGTGGACGACGAAGACCTCCATGAGGGAATCTACAAGGACAAATATGATGCGGGAACGCTTCACGAGTCGAGTCATGTGGTCTACGATGGGCTCTACTGGCCCAAGATTCCGGAGAAGATGGCTTGGAATGATATGTGTCAAAGCGCAATTCACACATCCACCCCAGTCATGTTCAGACGACTGTACCAGAGACTGGTGATGTGCAATCCACGTGATTTGTCACGTGATCTGGCCCTTTTGGATCATGTGAGAGGTTTCCACGAGCGGTTGTTTGAAACTACTTCTCACTGTGACAGTCGGAGTCGGCGAACCGCCTTCTGCATGTCCCGATTGGTCAACTCCAGATGTCTCATTTATCTCTACACGCCATATCTTTCACGAAAAGAAAAACCAGGTGAATTGTTATCTTCTCCGGACTCACGTGACTCTCGCGATGCACTCAGGGAGCATATCTTCACGACCTCTCTCTTGTCTCTTGAGTACGCGCTCGAAATGACGCTCTCGCCTTATTATGTCAACCAGCAGTGGTTCTCACGTAAATACACGCAGGTGGAGCACCTGCTCTTTCTGTTGACTAAACTGAAACTTGATCCCAACTGGAGCCAACAGAAGCGGGCCTGGCAGCTCGCATGTCGAACATGCGAAGCCTACACAAAGGGCTACTTTGCGGACTCGTCTTCCAAAGGCTGGCATGCGTGTATTAAGCTGAGAGACATTGTGAGTCGCACTCTGGGGCTTGAAATTGATTTGGGTAAGGAACAGTGGCCGTTGAGTGTGGAATACGAGGGCACACGCAGAAAGGAGGCCTCGAAGGACTCGCTGTCGAGTATTCGTGGTTTTGCCGCATTTCAAGCTACTAATTCACGTGACGCTGTGGAATCTCGTGAAAGTGGACTTCGAAGCAGTCTCGGTGGTGGATTCAACGGAGTCAAGGTCGAGGATCGTGAGCCATGTGCTGACTCACGTGAGGCTGTGGCTGAGCCAGCAACTGGCCCTTCAACTACAGGGCCTACCAACAATCCCAGTGATGTGGACAAGAAGGTGACTGATTCTGCGTTTGCAGCTGCCATGGAGACGGCCAACGACCCAAGCCATGTATCGCAGCCGGTCACTATGGAGACGGACATGTCGTTTTCGCTGAACCCGACCGACATTCTCGATTCAAACCTCTTTGGTGCGTTTCCCCTGGGAGAGACCAGCGTCAGAGATGATTGGACGCAGGAGTTGGGTGGAGACTTGGACTGGAGTGAGTGGGACAAGATGGTTCATTTCATTAGAGGACAGTAAGAAACCAACCAACAGAAACGAGCGGCCAATGACATTCAATGAACCTCTCATTTGGGTGATGCCACTATTCCAGCGCCAACCACCACCTACTCTTACCACCGATAGCACGGTACAGCATGCAAGTGCAGTAATACAGTAATATATTAACCACATCACCTTCCCTTGAGAGCCCGAGGTTGTGCTCCGGTTACGGTAACCAAAAGAGGAAATACAACCACCAATATCCCCATTCTAGCGTCAATACTTATCCATCAGATATCTTTTCGCATCACGTTTCCTGACTGGGTACTATCTACTAGTCTTAGAGATCCCGTAGGCCCGATAAGCGCGCTTGCCGTCTATCGGGCACTAACGGTCTGCGAGACAGCTCCAACTATGACTGATATCAGCAACAATGAGAATGTGTTTTCAGCGTCATTGGGAAGTTATTCGTTGTAAATACTAACAACGGATTACTACCCAAGATGCACATGGAACAGCACCGTACAGCACCGAGTTTGATCTACAAATGGACGAATGTTTTGGAAGTCTTCTCGAAATGATGAATATTGGACATATTCTGCCAAATGCCAGCTGTGGGGGCCATAGTCACGTGCCCATACTACACAACGTAACGTTGAGTTGATGCTGTTGAGATAGGGTGGTTGAAGGACTTACAAGTGGTCCAAGACTGAAACTAGCGACAAAGTGGGCATTTCCAAAAAGCTCTGGTTACAACGAGTCTTTTGGTGAACTCCACAAATCTCCATTGTTACCCCAACGTCGAGGTCGAGAGGGTAAAGTTTTGACAGGTGTCAGCTGTCAAGTCGCCAAGCAGCGTGATAAGCCCCTGGGCGGCGGCTAGATACAGTGAATCATAGCGGTCAGATTTCTACTATATATTGGCTAGTGGTTTCCCACTATGTCGTAACAGCAGTGCTACGAAACTGATCGATACAATTGAACGATACCATGTGAGTGAACTTGTGAGAAGAGCCGTCCAGTATCATTGTACGGCACAGACTGAATCTTCAGTGGCCAATCATCAATTACCTCAGCTAACTCAGCCACATTTGTTCTTGACAATCTGATCGGCATCCTTTCAATAAAGTCAGGTTCAGTCTTAACTAGATCAAGACTTTTACTTAACGTCTCAGCAGAAGACCCCAATTGTGCAGAAAAGAAAAAGTCCATCATGTTAGACGTGCACAAAACGCCAGGAACCATTAAACTGACATCGGCGACATCGATTATAGCGGTTCCGACACCCTCGCGTGACCCGGACGATCCACTCAACTGGTCGCATCGTCGGAAACTGCTCTCCATGGCTTGCATGTCACTCTTTACGCTTGCTTCTGGAGTCGCCTCAGCAAGCATTTACTCCATCCTTATTCCCATCTCACAGGACTCTAATCTCAGTCTCGACACGCTCAATCAGGGAACAGGGTACATGTTTCTGTTTCTCGGTCTAGGCTGTCTGTTCTGGCAACCTGTTGCCCAACAATACGGAAAGCGATTCGTCTACCTTACCAGTATGCTGTTGACTCTGGTGGGACAAGTGTGGACTCCGTTCGCAGCCTCCTCCAGCGCCCATTGGATCGGATGTAAGATCTTCCAGGGCTTTGTCCAGGCCCCTATCGAGTCTCTCTGTGAAGTAACCATCTCAGACGTTTGGTTCGAGCACCAGAGAGGTACATGGGTGGGGCTCTACGCCTTCATGCTCATGTTTAGCAACTTCATTGCGCCAGTGGTAGCTGCTCCCATCTCGGAAGGAATGGGTTGGCAATGGGTGCTGTACTGGGGAGCTATCTTTTGCGGAGTCGCTATGGTGGTCCTGTTTCTGCTGTTTGAGGAGACCAATTACCTGAGAGAGCAGACTGACGGTCACATGACTCTGGAGGACGACCATGTTTCTGAGCTGAATGAGCAAACTATCCTTGTTGGAGGCGAGAAGCAGGTTGAAACGCCTACTCCAGACAGTACTTCGGGGGCTGACTTGTCTCGTGACAATTCACCTGTTTCAAACACTCTTGTGCCCCCATTCACTCCAAAGACATTCACCCAAAAGCTTCGCATCTTGGACAAACCACGTCCCTTCACGTTATGGACGATGGCCAAACGGCCTCTTCTGCTTCTGAGGTATCCGGCCATTGTGTACTCGGGCTTCCTGTATGGCTCTGGTCTCATCTGGTTCAACGTTCTGAACGCCACTGCCTCTCTGATTCTCTCGTCTTCTCCATACACCTTCACTCCCATCCAGGTGGGTCTGGCCTATCTTTCTCCTGCTCTTCTGGCTGCTGTAGTTGGCTGGGGAGGAGGATATTTGTCTGACGTGCTGAGAGTGTACATGGCTCGGCGAAACAACGGTATTTCCGAGCCTGAACATCGTCTATGGGTACTGGTCGTGTACATCATTGTCTGTCCTTGCGCGTTGATTCTCTGGGGAGTAGGAGCAGCTTCTGAGATCCATTGGTTCGGTCTTGTGGTGGGAATGGGGCTCATCGGAGGCTTTGGAACGATTGCTGCCACCGCCAGCGTTACTTATAGCATTGATTCGTACCGAGAGATTGCTTCCGACTCGATGGCAACAGTCATTGTCATCCGAAACCTCATGTCTTTTGCCATCGGGTACGGAATCACTCCTTGGGTTACTCGTGAAGGGTATTCCAAGGCTTTTGCACAGGCCGCCGGTATCGCTGTGGCTTGTATCGGGGTGTTTTTGCCTGTCATCTACTTTGGTAAGAAGTGGAGAGAGGGCAGCAAGGACCGGTACTGGAAGCTCGTCCAGGAAAGCATCGATAAGGGAATTGCTCATTAGAAACACCAAGTAAGACTTTGAATGTTGTAAGAAGACTGATGGGAATGAATTTTCAACTCGGAGACAAGCTGTAATGACTGTGGTACCCACAGATAGATCAAAACTTTTATTAAATTACATGATGAAGGTGGAAGATCCACTCGAAACTGGGATGCTGCGATTCAAGTGGACGTGTTTCCATTTTATGCCAGGTACAAGGAATTAATGCCTTTCGAAGCGTATTCATCTAGCTCACACTTTTTCAAATACTACACTCGTCGAACGCGCTTCTCACTGTAGTCTCAGTTGTGGTGCGGTAGACCCTTCAACTACAACTCCTCCAACCACCCCTTCACCTTTGCAAAACTGTCCCTCTTGACACTGGTCTCGCAGAACTCCACCTCCGTCTCCAGACTGTTAAAGTCAAACACCTTGCCCAGAATATCCACGTTGCTCTCGCTGACGGACTTGGATCGTGACTCCTTCTGCTGTCGCAGCTCGTCCTGCAGCACAAGACGCATCTTGGCCAGGCCAGCCGCATTGAACACGTCAGATTTGTTGCCCACAATCAGCAACCGCTTGCTGCAAAGAGGCAGGTTGGAGCCCTCCAGCAGCAGCAGCAGATCCAGCAGAAACGAGCCCGTCTCTGTGATGTTTCTCTGCAGAGACGCCAGATCAACGACAAATACCAGACCCTGCACGGCTCCTCCGTTCACCTCAGTCCATAGACCCTGTCGCAGCTTGTTGTGACCGGGGTAGTCCACCAGAGCGTAGTTTTTGCCCTCGTAACCGCTCTTTATGTTTTGTTGGAAGGAGGTCACTGTAGCAGGCACAGACTCGCCAGTAAGAGCGCTCCAAAGAGCAGTCTTGCCGGCCCCACTGGGACCGCAAATGACCACGCTCGGAGGCCGCCTCAAAGCCTGCTTCTTGGCAAAGGACACGTACACAAACAGTCCAATTGCAATCAGAACCAGCGTCGAAATGAGAGGTATCACCAAAGGGAACCTCTGAGAGAAGGAAGGCGTGAGAATGATTTCCGCCGCGGAGGGAACAGGCGACACATTGGCCGCCGTGACCTCGATTGTCGACTCAACTATCGATTCAGCGCTCATCTCCGTTGTTGTGCTGATGATAGAAGATGATGGACACTGGTGGATCAACTTAAATGACGTACCTCTTATAACCGTGCATACTGCTACATAAATTATTCTTTGATTATGGGAGCTGGGTGATAAATGACCCCTTAGTAATACATCTATAAGACGGTATTTATTACTAAGACATGAGACGAAAGGGAAGAACCTGCTGACTCATCTGACAACTCCACACGGAACACTCAGCTCATAATCTGTGATTATGTAATCCATTTAGTTCAACGTCTTTTTTTTTTTTGTTGTGTAGCGAAACCAGTGCGCAGCTCAAGTACCAGCACGCCTGACCCTGCATAAGCCGCATGTCAGACAAGTGCCCTCAGTCGAAAACTTTGTGTGGTCACGTGATGAGATTAATGGACCAACTTGATCCTGGGAATGAGGGGAATCCAGTGAACTTGTCATTGTGTCTATGTAATCAGTATTGCGTGTTCTAGAGTGTCACAGAGTGTGTTATAGAAGAGCTTTCCAAATGGCTACACCCCAGAGATATAAGACCAACAAGCAACTGTTATAGGATAGCAAGTACCTACCGTTGTAAGACTTAGTAATCAAGCTGATATAACACCATGATTGTCCGCTTATTTTGATTACACAAAGGTCACGTGACTTGGAACTGTCTCTACACACGATTTTCCTTGCGAACTATTGTTTGGACAGTTCAGTTACGGCACCCTGGTCTCAGCACTCCTACTTTTTTTCTGGGAGTCCCGATTTTTCATTACCAAGCGTGATGATAGTTTAGTAATACCCCATGCACGTGACCACTAGTAGAACTTGCCGAATTTGCCGACCGAACTCGAAATTCCCGAATTTACCGAATTTTCGCATATTGATCGGCTCACGAGCAATATTCCTTCCATATTCCAGTTTATTCCTCGAAAAAATAGAGTTTCATGACTCACTAGCCTGAAAATGTACAAGTAAATCAAGCTCGAAAATTTCAGATCTATAGTTGCACACACATAACACACACAATGAGCACTTTCGGCACGCTTTTCAAAGTCACCACCTACGGCGAGTCGCACTGCAAATCTGTGGGCTGCATTGTTGACGGAGTTCCGCCCGGAATGGATCTCGATGAGTCCGATATTCAGCCCCAGCTGACCCGTCGAAGACCTGGCCAGTCGGCTCTGACCACTCCTCGAAACGAGCGAGATGCGGTTGCTATCCAGAGTGGAACCGAGTACGGCAAGACTCTGGGTACCCCCATTGCCATGCTGGTTCAGAACAAGGACCAGCGACCCCACGACTACTCGGAGATGGACGACTACCCCCGACCTTCTCATGCCGACTACACCTACCAGGAGAAGTACGGAATCAAGGCCTCTTCTGGAGGCGGCCGATCTTCTGCACGAGAGACTATTGGCCGAGTTGCTGCTGGAGCTATTGCCGACAAGTACCTGGCTGCTGTCAACGACATTGAGATTGTTGCCTTTGTGTCCCAGGTCGGCGATGTTTCCATGGACCGATCTCCCAGAAACGAGCAGTGGATTTCCACTCTGGAGGGCGTCACTCGAGAGGGCATTGATTCCACCGGCCCCATGCGATGTCCCGATCTGGCCCTCGGAGAGAAGATGGTCAAGATTGTGGAGGAGCACAGAGACTCGCATGACTCCGTTGGAGGAGTTGTCACCTGTGTGATCCGGAACTGCCCCGTCGGTCTCGGCGAGCCCTGTTTCGACAAGCTGGAAGCCACTCTCGCCCACGCCATGATGTCCATCCCCGCCACCAAGGGCTTTGAGTTTGGTTCTGGCTTTGCCGGAGCTGCCATGTCTGGATCCAAGCACAACGACATGTTCTACAAGGACGTGGCCTCCGGCCGGTTCCGAACCCGAACCAACTACTCCGGAGGCGTCCAGGGCGGAATCTCCAACGGCGAGAACATCTACTTCAACATTGCCTTCAAGCCCCCGGCCACCATTTCTCAGGAGCAGGCCACTGCCACCTACGCCGGTAAGGACGGTGTGCTGGCTGCCAAGGGCCGACACGATCCCAACGTTGTGCCCCGAGCCGTTCCCATCGTTGAGGCCATGGCCGCTCTGGTCATTGCTGACGCCCACCTCATTCAGGAGTCCAGAAAGGGCGCAAAGTCCTTTTTCTAAATAAAACGTGTTAATAGATAGATTGTGTTGGAGGGAGTACAGTAGCTGAGAGACCAGAAAAGTTCATGGTGCAGCGTCCGAGTGATTAAACAAATTTCTTGTTAATATATAGCCAACAGACTGCATTCAATGTGTCGCATCAGTACCTTTCATTTTCAACTATGGACATGGATACAGCACTCAGGGTTAGTCCTCTATACCGTTTCCTCACCACTGTCGCCCCAGTACATACTGTTGCCAATACTGTGGTGTATAACAGCTGCTCGTATCACTTCTTCATCTGTCATCTAATCAAACTAGCCTAGATGGTCGGAGAAACTGTCTTGGCTGTTACAGGTTCAGTTTGCAGTCTATTCGAATTCTGAAAGACGTAAACGCATGTAGGGCTCTTGGATATACATGATATCTTAGTTTTTTGTCTGCTACATGTCTATTACAACTTCCAGCTCCTCTCCATCATTATGTGCCTATCAAATATGCACGTTTCCCCAGATTAGTCCGGGTAATATAATGGAATAATACTGGACGACGATATTTCGGGTTATAGAAGGCGTGAGAAGATTCTGAAAAGTGCAATGTGTTTCATTTTATAGTTATAATTGATTCCCCTTGACAAATAACTCACAACTCCTCGTTTCAAGTCTCTAGGCTCCATCCCATCGCGCCCAATTAAGTTCAAGAAGATCGTCAGAGTTACGGGATGCAGCTCGTATACAACGCTAAAGCGCACGTCGTGAGACACTGTTACTTGTACTCTACAAGACACATTGAGAGCACGGAGTGTCACACCACAGACGCAATACGGGCGGGGGCGGAAGCGGCTCGTCACACAAACACGACTGTGACTCGAACTCGAGGGACTCAAACACGATTAACTCAATCACACCTGTTCATCAAACACCAGTGATACAACAAACAGCCACACACAGTGCGCAGCGCGGCTTGACAACATCTGGGCGGACACAAACTCGGCTGGAGCGATACAAACACAAACATCTCTACTTTTACTTGTACGGTAACACACGTCATTGCAACTAAGACAACTAAGATCATTTCAAGATCATTTCAATTCAACCATTTCAACTTCTTTACAATACGCCATGTATATGGCTGTATTGGTTACTGTCCTTTGGACGATACTGTTCATGACATGGCCCAGGACCAAGCATATAGATCCCGTTTCGACCTCCGCACAGTATAAGCTGTTTCAAATACGGACAGCATCCAAACACGGCAAACAACGGAAACGGTTCAAGGAACACTGCCAAAATGTCTGCGGCGTGAAACGGTCCCATCAAGGCACGATACGGCGGCGAAGTTCTAGGTGTACGGATGTCACCAGGGAGTTGCTGATGATCTATGAAAATCGTCAAGAGTGTCATGAGCATGATGAGTCTTTGATTGTGGAAAAATCAAGGCTGTGATAATCATACTCTACAAGCCACGCATGTTCTCCATTGGTGATGGCAGGACGTGTGCTCCATAAAATGGAAATTCAGCATTACTCATAAGGCACTCCATCAATCAAAAGCTTTATCGAGCTGAATTCGATACACTTCAGCACATCGAGCGCAAGCATCTACAAGTACAGTACCTGGACAAGCCGTACACCATGGGCTGAAACGGACGTTCTTTAGCCCAGGTGCACAATCACCAACTTCACGAGGGATTGTTACCGCTTCTGGAACTTGAAGGGTTTTCCAGTCGCGCTATCGTACTACAGAGGAGTAGTCTACGAGATTCCAAAGGACATTAGGGGAGAATTATTTATTGCATCATCATTCTTACACGCAAAAACCTTTCTCGGGAACACACAGGTTTGTACTTGGTACATTTTGAGTCAAGATAAGAGAGATGACTGCGACGGCCTCTGAAGCAACCTTGAATGTACTGATGGCCTGCTGACAAACCACAGGTTGGTTACGCTTGACGGGAAATATGGAATGGACATGATATATTGGCAGACAGAAGTGGGTGCGATCGTGGAACTCGGGGTCTAGTGCTCAAACTGGTTGAAAGGGCAAAATTGGACTGGGAAGGCTGTAATGATCAAATGTGAAACTTGGACTGCATTAAAGCTACAACTAAGTCAACATCTGAGGCTAAATATATCAATCCAATGTCATTATTTTGTTTTCTGTTCCATTTTCGATATTTTCTCGTCCAAACATCTCTTTTTTACAGAGACAGTTGCATTTACTTACCCAAAGTCAAAGTAGTTAGGAGTTTAGTTGAAATAAAAGTTATGCTGGGGGTGCAAATCCGATGACGCAGAGGACGTAGAAACATAATGAGGGGATTACTGGATAGGTAATTAGCAAGTTTATAACTAAAATACAACAAAAAATACACCTGATCATACAATATTCTGAGATATTGCGAATTGTATGCATTATCATTTATTTCAAGCGGTTGGGACATTGGTAGGAAATTACTTTACCAAAACATGGACAAGCTTTTTGACGGCAGACGCCAATCTCGCACTCTCTAATGTCCTCTTCAGAAGCATTTTCTGAAATTAATACACTCTCATATATCAAAATGGCCGTTCGGAGTTCATTTCTATTGTCAGATTACCGATATTTCCTCTCTTTTTTTTTTCGAAACATCAACTTAGTTAGGCCATGTTCCACGCGAAACTTGTTAGGGTTCGGCGGCTAATCGGCCGCGGCTAAACCTGATACTGGAGGTTAGTGATACTCGATCCGTCACCGCGGCTATTCGTGCTCTTGTGTGTCTGTTGTTTCCTTGTGAGTGTCCAATAGTCTGAACTCTCTGTTCTACTTGTCCATGGTTGTCTGCCTTTGTACTTGACCGTTTAACAAAGGTTAGTGGATATTGGTCCAATATTGGTCCAATATGATCTAGCGGATAACCTACGCACTACGCCGCTTGGAGAGCACTGCCCGTCCGGAACTGGAGGAGTTCCGGAAGTTGCGGACGCCGATCCTGAGATTATATAACTTGCCCTATTTCCTATATTGTAATGCACCAACAATTGTTCTGACACTTCGACTACTAACTACCGAGCTTCTCCAGTAAGTACTGGTTGGGAGCCCAAGTCCTGAGGCCCTGGGTTCTAACAAAACTCCAATCATGGGCGTCTGGTGTAGTTGGTTATCACATGCGCTTAGCATGCGCGAGGTCCCCGGTTCGATTCCGGTGTCGTCCATACAAGCCAAGGTGATCTTTGGTTCTTTTTTTATGTCATTTGTAACTCGGGTGTGTTGCTCACTTGGTGTATCTCTGTAAAAATCATCATAGCATTATTTCGTATGTTGAACTTTAAATATATATATTTTTAATATGAACATCCATCTATTGCGCGCGCGCTTCATCAATACTGAAGATACAAATTTGATTCACAAAGTCGAATGATTTAAGGAGACACGTTCCATATTCAACTGTTGTTTTTGCTCACTTCTCTACAGGGCAACTGCTCCATCATACATCCAAACCTGATGTCCGAATTCGAAATCTTCAATCGTACATAAATACATTAACTAAAACTGGCCTTGAAGCGAGTTCCAGCACTATAAACACACTGTTTCATCGACAGCGTCACCTCGTTGAGCACCTCCAGCGCCTTGGTACCATCATCTGTAGTGGGAGCCAACAGCAGTGACCGCTGAATATCGTCAGACATGACATGCAAAGCCACCCGTGTCTCAAATTGGCTCTTCTCCTCAAGGGCCTTGGACATGTGCGACACTCCGTTTGCAAGCTCAAGAACATCCACCGCCTTGCTCAGCTTGAACCTAGCGTAATCTAGGTACACCTTTCCCCCTTCCTTCCATGTGGGAATGTGGCGCTCAGGGCTGGGGAACTGCATGATGACATCCTCCAGCGACTGAGCATCACCCTTGATGACCGCCTGAGGAGCCACATCGTTGAGAACAGTGGTGTTGGCAGCACCCCAGAGCTCGGCGTCCAACAAGTACCGCACTTCATCGACAGGGCGGTTCTCGTATCGAGCCAACAGCGCCTCAGACTCGGAAAGGAGTTGCGGGTGGATTCGGTAGCTGCGGAGATCCAGCTTACGCAACGCCACGATGTTTCGAGCTACAAGCTTGGTGATGGCCTGGGCGTACGCTGAATCCGAAACCAGAAAACCAAGAACAAGCAGAGCGTTCTCCACTTGACCCATAGACTCCAGCTGGGCAGCGTATTGGAGAGTAAGCCGATCAGCAGTGTCGGGGGCTTCCTTGGCATGTCCCTGAAGGAAGAATGCACAAAGGACCCACGGAACAGCGGTATCAAAGGCCTTTCCGGTCAAGGTCTGCTCCAAGTTATACTTTCCAGCATACAGACGGAGCAGACGCAGATCCCAATCGGACGAAGAGGACTGGATTTGGGCAATTGAGGCCGAGATGTCTCGGTTTCGGCCAAACCAGAGCCGCAGACCGAACTCACGCAGCCAGTCGAGCTTGCGGGCCTTGCAAACAACGTCGATGTTGCCAGCGGCAAGCTGGTACACCTGCTGGGTGTAGTCGGGAATGAGATCCATGGCGTTAGTGCTCTGCCAGTGGTCCAGTTGCGCCTGTGCAGTGGATTGCGCAGAAGCAGAAGAGCCCATCATGGAAATAACAACACCAAGATGCACGTTGTTGGTCTTGAGACAAGCAGCGCATGCCTCATCGACCCGGTTGCCTGTCAAAAGAGTCACAATATTTTCCACGGAATTGTCACCCAGCTCGCTCTGCACCTGCTCGAAAACAGCCTTCTCACACCACTGTGACAACCGCTGCTTTCGCAGAGATGCCTCAAGCTCTCTCGCCTGAAGACCATCCACAGGAGCCGATCCAATGTACTCTGACAGTCCTAGAGCAGTCGAAGACTGGAAAAGAATGGATGCCAAAGAGTAGACGGTGCCCTTGAGCTCCGCATGAGCAGGCACGGACTCGAGGGAGTACCGCGGGTAGCCGTTGTTTCTGTCAGCAGCAGTCATGTCCTCCTTGACTGAACCCAGAAAGTTGTCGTCCTGCGCATTCTCCGAAAAGTTGCACAGTTTGCTGACAGTGCCAATTGTGAGATCACTATGGGGCAGCTTGACAGCCAGCTGGCCGCTGGGCTGAAAGATTGCCAACGACGATTCCACAGCTGCCGAGTACGAGGGAAGACGCAGCTTCTCAGCAGCCTTGTTGTACTCCTCCTCGGCCACGTTCACCAGGGTGTTTGTAAATAGAAGATTGTCGAGATTGACAGTCTGGTCGATCTTGACAATCTCCTTGGAGCCGTTGCTAACAATATCAACCAGAGGCTTGCCTGCGGCGTCCACAAACAAGGGAGACCCTGCCTGGGCAGAGAACTTGAGCTGAGTGAGCCAGTTGTTCGAGATAGGCCGCACATGCTGGTCAATGTTGACCACGGCAAACTCCTGGCGGAAGTTCTCGTAGTCAGACGAGTCCTGGGAGTCGGGTGTCTCGGGGGACATGTCCTGATCCTCGGCAAACTCGTCGTCGTACTCCATCTCGTCATCCTCCTCGAGTTGGTCTTCAAGCATCTCGTCATTCTCCTCTCCCTGTTCCTCCTCATAGTCGTTGTCGTACTCGTCATCGTCATCGTCATCGTCAGATTCCACGGGTGCTGTCCAGGACCATCCTCCAGGAATAGCCTTTTGGTTGTGTCTAGGAGCCGGTGCAGCCTTTCGAGCTGGTGCAGAGGCAGGTGCAGGAGCAGCCTTTGAGGCTGATGCAGGAGCAGATGCAGCAGGCTTGAATGCAGCAGTGTTGGTGGCAGCAGAAGCATTAGTTGCTCTCGTCACCAATGGAGGAGCCTGTGTGTATGGTTTCTGGCTGTGGGCACCCCGGATGTCCTCCTCACGATCCACCTGTTCTCCCTCCTCCTCTTCCTGCTCTGCCTTTTCCTGCCAGTCGTCCTCGTCGCCCTCATCTTCGCCGTCTTCGTCGTCTTCGTCGTCACTATCGGGAACCCCCCATCGCGAGAAATGAGGAACCTGGAAGACCCACACGCCCGAGGCAGGGTCGTAGGATAAATGCTTGCCGTCCTTGCTCTCAATGCTCTTCTGCAGTTGCTGTCTGTGTCGAATAACCCGAGGGTTCGTTGGGTCCACCAGCTTGTTGCCCCGTCGGTCCACCTTGGCCACGTGCTCGAGTGTGATCACAGCGGGACTGTTGAGCCCCTGGCCCAGAGGAGGCTTGTTAGTGTCATCGGCGTAAACTACCACTGCTCGCAGTGAGAAAATGACGAGGAAGCCGAGGATCGAGTCCAGATCTGTCTCAGACAGATCGATTGTGCCGGGCCAGCTGATGTATCCGTAATTCTTCCGGCCAATGTTGAGTCCCTCGACGTTCTTGAGCTGCTCGGGTGTGTACGTTTTGAGCGTCTCCAGCGACGGGAACATCCAGTAATCCGAGGGCAGCTTTGCGGGTGTTCCCTCCTCGCTCACGGTGGTCATTGTGTTGTGACGTCCCTCGTGTGTTGTGATGGGCCCGTGGAAGCGGTGCTGTTGATGGTTGTTGACAGGGTAAGGCGCCATGGACATATTAGAAGTAGTTTCGGCGGTCATGTCAAAGGTGTCATTGTCAATGGTTCGGTTAATCTTGGCTGGGGTAGCGTAGATTGATGTTTCGTCCAGGATGGAGTTTTCCCGCCGTGACAGGTCTCCGTTGGTGAGCTGTCGTCGAGCTCGACCCATGGGAGGAGCATCGCCAAACAGAATGTCTGCAGGCTCGCGTTTGCGTTCGATCACGAGTTTACGGATGTCGGGGTTGTACGTCTTGTGTCGGGCTGCTCCTCCAGCAGTAGAGGCGCTTCCCACCAGCGAAATGTTACTCAAAAGCGACCGGTTGACGGTCACATCGCCGAGAATCGACGCATCCAGGTTGACCGAGCGATTGGCCCGCGAGAAGGACGTGTTTCCGCTTGTGTTGGCAAAACTGGACGAGAAACTGGAGTTGCTACCGGCTGTGGTTTTGCCCACACGGCCCGAATTGGCCGATCTCACGCCCCGGCCGTAGTAGGGATTGGAGCGGGGCTGTTTGGTGGGTGATCGCGAGCCCAATGGTCGATAGCCGCTGAGATTGGACGACATCTGTGTCGTGCTAGATGGTGATTCTGGCCCTGTGGGTCTGTGTTTGTGTTTTGGGTCTTCTAAAATATTTAGACTTTTGCTGTGAGGTTCCTGCGGCAGGGTAACTGAGAGAGGAAGGGAGGATATCTGGAGTTGGAGATGTGGCCGACGTTGAATATTTTCGCTGTGAGCTTTTCCGGGTGCTATAATGTGTTTGGCATTTACTCTGGAGTTTTTTGGCACCGTATATAGTGTTTTGTCAAGTGTCGTTTGGATTGTTTGCATACAACGAAATGTTGCGTCGCTGCTTGTAAGGGTCTGTTAGCCTGCTGTTGCGTTGGGAGGAATGTACTTGGGTTGTAGGTGAATTAGTCAAGTAAAGAAAAAACTACTTCAACTGAAGTTAAGTAATATGATACAATGGGCAAGGCAGTTCTGCTAAGATGCTCGTATGGGTCATTGAGTGAGGCGAGAGTAACCAGACTTGTTTAATAACATTGAAACAGGCTGATGAAAGATTTTTATGGCTACGAGTATTATATATCAACGCTGTGAAACTCTTCACCAGTGTCTCTATTGCGATACTTATGGTTGTATATATAGTATGTACATAAATCCAGTATGTACAGTACATACAGTACATACCATAGAAGTATGCACACCATGAGTTTTATTGGTTGGGTCAAAAATCTGCCGTTTGGCTGGGGGGAAAAGTGTTATCTCCCCAGTTGGTTCTCTCATGAGGAAACAATTGCTTCGAGTTCTTTCTTTCAAAAACAGCCCTAAACTCCTCATCCACAGAACTCCAAGTGAGATTTCCTATGCACTTCCAACTTTGCATCCATAAACGACTGTCAATTGATCCAAGAGCCATCCGAGCCCATTTAAGAACCCGTTGAACAGGGAATATTTGAATGGTTCTATTTGTACTTGAACTTGCTCAAGTACTTGAGATATCACGCCAGTTTCAACGTACAAGTGCTGTGCTGAACGTACGTCTTGTTGAAACCACTCTTCCGGCACTTTCACCACCAAAAAGACTCGTAATCTGTAATAACAAGCCCATAATTTGTCTCCAATCTCGCATAATCAAAAAAAATCATGTCGATATTACACTGTTACACCTCAAACTCCTCTCCCCTCCCCTGAGTTCAACATCGCTGACAATATGATTCCACCTCCGCCACCGATGACGTCATTACTCCAGGTTTCATGAACTAAGTTTGGCTCTTTTTTTTCGCCACTCAACATTTCTCGATAACGGCGCTAAGATAAGCGATAACGTTGAGATGCATTGACCAAGGCCAAAGGGGTGGAGAATGTGGGCATGTGAAAGAGAAGTGACGTGGATGGGGGTGTGGGTCGCGTGAAACGGCGCCGATGATGTATTAGTATCTTTTGGTTGTTTTTCGGTTTTAGCTGTCCACATATTGTATCCCTGAACTATGGTATATACAATAGCTACTGTACATCTGAGTACATATCACAGTCTCCCTCAGTGCGTTGTTAAACTGGATGTGTAGCTCTTGCACTGTAACTATAGCCGTATGATCCAACTGTAACCCTTTCCACACCCGTTGCACGCTACTAGAAAGTATCCTGCGCAATAAAGGACAATAACAGTGGTAAGATTCTTGCTGGTGCAGGTTGGACGGAATGAGTACACTTATGGTTGGCAGTCTAGATGAGGCTAGAAGACCGGTAGAAGAAAATGGACAGAAGGGTTGAGTTCGCTGGATCCACCAGACCATTCTGGTACCCCTGGACTTGTCCACGTCTTCCATAACACCTCCAAACACCGACCCCTCAACCGGTCCCAGAATTAGCCGAGAGTTAGTTTAGAGTGTCGAGGTCCAGATGACCAAACCAGCAACGCAGTGCCCAGCTGCGCGAAAATCGCTATCATGTTTCTGGTTGGCGTTTGTGACGTTGGAGCGATGGCGGCATTTAGAGGGCGAAGCAGGGGTCAATGGCCAGGTGCCCGATCCGATGTGTGAGTATAACATTGTTTTATTGGCCTCAAGTACATAAAGTATGTACAGTACATACGGTACATACTGTAGCTGAAAAGTGTTTCTCTAGGAAAAAAAAGGAGCATCGAAATGGGCCCAGCACGGAGACGTGGCTCTCCCTTTCATCATGTTCGACTATAGACAGTGAGATTAGTGATATTTTGTTTGTTGATGTTTTATTTGTGATGTATTATTTGTGATGTATTATTTGTTGGATGTATTATTTGGTGATGTGATGTTTTTTTTGTGATGTATTATTTGTTGGATGTATTATTTGTTGGATGTATTATTTGTGATGTATTATTTGTGATGTGTTAGTTGGTGGATGTATTATTTGATGTTTTATTTGTGATGTTATTTGGTGTTTTTAATTCATATCATCTACAAGTACATACTCGACAGGATACGGTGAGGCAGGTTGCGTCTGCCTTGTCGTATTCGTAGCGGCAGTCGTACTCGTAGGCATACATGTCTTTCGGGCTCCTTGCCTCGGTTCGGAACAACTTTCTTGCTGTTGGTGTCGGCCCAGTCGGCGTCGGCGTCTACAGTCGGAAAAACCGAGCTGCGATAGTGGCAGAAAAAGTACAAGGGTGCGGATATTTGCAGCTGCGACGTACGAGTGAGACACGAGATGGCAAAAAAAGATGCAAAAAATTATCGATAGAAAGCAGCGATATGTCGGGAGAAAACGGATGACCGACGGGATTGACGGATGACCGACGGGGTTAATGAGTCCAGTGCCAACAAAGCATTGGTCTGAACACGTTCAGTTGCTTTACTCCAGTGATACGGCCATTGTCACTGTTCGGTGCGTGGCTGGACCGCAGAGGCCAGTTGTGGCATGTTATGAGTGGTTTGGGGTAACTACAAGTAGTGCAGCTCGTATATAGCCCTTTAGTGCAGGCGCGGAATGACAAGCGACGCAGAGTCGTAAATTACATGCGTCCAGACAAGAATCCTGGGGAGGGCTTCTGGATCGGGGCTGGAGGAGGAGGATGGTTTGCCTGTTTTTGCAGATGTCTTGTTTCGTGTCAAAATTAGACGCAACAAATACGAAGAGAGCTTAACGAAGGGCCGGAGTAGGAAATAGCCACTTGTACTGTCGACGGTAGACCGTTTGGTACACTCGTACTCGCCCTGTACAGTAGTAGCGTTGAGATACAGTAGCTTCTTCTGAAACAGGGGGGTGTTAGACTGGAAAAAACAGTCCTCATAGGCTACAAGTGCTAGGTAGCGCCCCCATATTGTGGTAGCCGTTTTGCAGTGCCAGTAACGGACGGTACAATCCCAGCAGTGACATGTTGTGGACTTGTTTCTGGAGTCGTGAATGCAGCGCCTTGTTTGACTGTCGCTTTGTTAGACAATGAATACAAACACTCGTCTCATAACAACACAATCAGATCCCGCCGTACATGAGCACACAATACGAAACACAATGGATTGTTAAGTGCTCGTGGTGGAAGTGCAATACAGTACCGCCACTTGTACCGAGGTTCAGACCGAGGGCTAGAGGGAGCCAAACACCAATCTAGCCGCCGCTCTGGCCGCGAATGGCGCTTCTACGGCGTCTACCGGCATCTGGGCATTAGCACCCAAGATTGGTGTCTTCTGGGCACTCAATTAAGAGAGCAAATCCTGGCCCCTACCCATGCACCTGGGTGGGCGGAACCTCAGCTGTTTAGGTCGCTTGGCTCAAGTTGCTTTGGTGATGCACCGTGTTTGGAGCGGGCGGGTTTCATGGGAGGACAAGGACTTAAGCCAGTCACTAATTGTAATAGTATCGTACTCGTCCTTGTAGGAGTCTGTCGTTCTGTAGGGATTTGCCGTACTGTAGGGATTTGTCGATTTGTCGATTTGTCGTATTGTACTGTAGCTAGATGGGTGCCCCCACACTAGACAAAGGCTACTGTCTAGCACCGTACCTATTGCCTATTGTATGCCACACGGAGATGCAGCACTGGTACCGCACCAGACCGAGAGCTGTGAACCTGTCGACACACGACGACAATACCAGGTCTCAGTTGCACTTGCCCCGGATTGGCATCACATGCCGAGTCTAGCTCCGATTCGGTTTAGCATTATGTTGAGTGTCAGAGACACGCCGGGGGGTGTGGAGGGCAACGGCATCAGGCCGTGCACAAAGAGCCAAGAGGCCAAGAGACTGTGAGGCCCATGTCCACTTGGTCACGGGTTGACAAAAATATGTATGCCAATGGTTGCGCATTTCCCGGTCCTGTCCACCCACGCACTCTGGTCTGCTCATCTCACTCGTACGCATCTCTGAAAGTTAACTTGGTACAGGTAAATTGGTGATGAGGGGCCTACCGTGTGGCAATCCAGAGGCTCGAGGGAGTGGTTACGGGACGATTCAAACGCTTTTCTGATGACAGAAAAAACCCGTGAAAACGTCAAAAACGTCGGCATCTCCCCTGTGTCCACGTAAATCACACGGGTTACCCCTCCATCACATGATAAGCCTCCTCCACAGTCTCCTCTCTCATCCGTCGTCACCCCTCACGTTAGCCTGCCCCAAATATTACGGTTCAGGTTCGCACGACAAACGCATTCCCCACCTTGAAGGCCAGCCTTACGCCAAGGGTCAAGTACCGAGGCAGTGAGCGAGGTCGGAAACGTGAGGTTTCACAGCCCAGCCCACTGGCTCATAACCGCTTGAGTCATCCTCACCCAGATCCCGCTAACTCACGCCGTTTCCGCTACTCCTGTAGCTAACACGCTCCCTGTTGAACCAAGTGATCAGCAGATAGCATCCCCAACAATTTTCCCAAACCTAGACGCACAGCCAAACCTTAACCAGCACCACACAGAGTATATACAAAGCGGCCAGGTCGCTCTGTTTTCTGGCTCCCCATAACCACAACTACCGAAAGTATTCATGTGAGTATGGCTGAGGGTGACAATGGGTGTGTGGCGAGAGCCCGGGGTCGAGAGCGTGCGCGGGAGCGACGGCTACCTCACAGTCAACGTCCTCCTGCACGACACTACTCAACAGTTGTTAGACACAGACTTTAGCAACGTCGGACGGATCGCGAGGAGTGGGATTTGTGGGCGACGAGCAATGTGTTTGCGGTGCTCGTGTGCAGTGTGGGTGACGACAATGACGTGTCCTAGAGAGATGAGGGGTATAATTTGGGCGGCAGGTAATCAGAATTAGCTTGCTAATAACGAGCAGTCTGTTGCCACTTTGTCCCAGTCCTGCCACCTTATCTCTTTATGCCTCACTGGGTTGCATGACGCAAATACGCAAATACATTCTCTCAATTTTAAAGCAACCCACGGCATAATCTCTCTATACCAACCCCCTCCTTTTTTTTTCCAACAACTAACAAAGAATGGTCGGATACACAATTTCCTCAAAGCCCGTGTCGGTGGAGGTCGGCCCCGCCAAGCCTGGCGAGACTGCCCCCCGACGAAACGTCATTGCCAAGGACGCCCCTGTCGTCTTCCCCGACAACGACTCGTCCCTGACCACCGTCTACAAGCTGTTCAAAAAGTACGCCGAGATCAACAGCGAGCGAAAGGCCATGGGATGGCGAGACACCATCGACATCCACGTGGAGACCAAACAGGTGACCAAGGTCGTGGACGGAGTGGAGAAGAAGGTGCCCAAGGAATGGAAGTACTTTGAGATGGGCCCTTACAAGTGGCTCTCATACAAGGAGGCCCTTAAGCTGGTCCATGATTATGGAGCTGGTCTTCGACACCTCGGAATCAAGCCCAAGGAGAAGATGCACATTTACGCCCAGACCTCCCACCGATGGATGCTCTCTGGCCTGGCTTCTCTGTCTCAGGGTATTCCCATTGTCACTGCCTACGACACTCTTGGAGAGGAGGGTCTCACTCGATCTCTCCAGGAGACCAACTCGGTCATCATGTTTACCGACAAGGCTCTGCTGAGCTCTCTCAAGGTCTCTCTCAAGAAGGGCACCGATCTGCGAATCATCATCTACGGAGGTGATCTGACCCCCGACGACAAGAAGGCCGGAAACACGGAGATTGACGCCATCAAGGAGATTGTTCCAGATATGAAGATCTACACCATGGACGAGGTTGTCGCTCTCGGCCGAGAACACCCCCACCCCGTGGAGGAGGTCGACTATGAGGACCTGGCCTTCATCATGTACACCTCTGGTTCTACCGGTGTCCCCAAGGGTGTGGTTCTGCAGCACAAGCAGATCCTCGCCTCTGTGGCCGGTGTCACCAAGATCATTGACCGATCTATCATCGGCAACACAGACCGGCTTCTCAACTTCCTGCCCCTCGCACACATTTTCGAGTTTGTGTTCGAGATGGTCACCTTCTGGTGGGGTGCTTCTCTGGGTTACGGAACCGTCAAGACCATTTCCGATCTGTCCATGAAGAACTGTAAGGGAGACATTCGAGAGCTCAAGCCCACCATCATGGTCGGCGTTCCCGCTGTCTGGGAACCTATGCGAAAGGGTATTCTTGGCAAGATCAAGGAGCTGTCTCCTCTGATGCAGCGGGTCTTCTGGGCCTCATTTGCCGCCAAGCAGCGTCTCGACGAGAACGGACTCCCTGGTGGATCTATCCTCGACTCGCTCATTTTCAAGAAGGTCAAGGACGCCACTGGAGGCTGTCTCCGATACGTGTGTAACGGAGGTGCTCCAGTATCTGTCGACACCCAGAAGTTCATCACCACTCTCATCTGTCCCATGCTGATTGGATGCGGTCTGACCGAGACTACAGCCAACACCACCATCATGTCGCCTAAATCGTACGCCTTTGGCACCATTGGTGAGCCCACCGCCGCCGTGACCCTCAAGCTCATTGACGTGCCTGAAGCCGGCTACTTCGCCGAGAACAACCAGGGAGAGCTGTGCATCAAGGGCAACGTCGTGATGAAGGAGTACTACAAGAACGAGGAGGAGACCAAGAAGGCGTTCTCCGACGATGGCTATTTCCTCACCGGTGATATTGCCGAGTGGACCGCCAATGGCCAGCTCAGAATCATTGACCGACGAAAGAACCTCGTCAAGACCCAGAACGGAGAGTACATTGCTCTGGAGAAGCTCGAGACACAGTACCGATCGTCGTCGTACGTGGCCAACCTGTGTGTGTACGCCGACCAGAACCGAGTCAAGCCCATTGCTCTGGTCATTCCTAACGAGGGCCCCACCAAGAAGCTTGCCCAGAGCTTGGGCGTCGATTCTGACGACTGGGACGCCGTCTGTTCCAACAAAAAGGTGGTCAAGGCTGTGCTCAAGGACATGCTCGATACCGGCCGATCTCTGGGTCTGTCCGGCATTGAGCTGCTGCAAGGCATTGTGTTGCTGCCTGGCGAGTGGACTCCTCAGAACAGCTACCTGACTGCTGCCCAGAAGCTCAACCGAAAGAAGATTGTGGATGATAACAAGAAGGAAATTGATGAGTGCTACGAGCAGTCTTAGAGTGTTTAAACCCTCTGACAGTTTTGCATATCTTTTTATATATATTACAGTAATGTATGTGTTTTTACGATGAGCGCGTATTGTAGACATTTGAGACATTTGAGACATGTGCCTGATAGGTGCATAATCAGTGTGCATGAGAAGCAATCATGAGTGTAAACAGTGTGAGCGAGATTGATGTCTCGTTTAGGTCATTGATTTGGACAGAAATATTTGTATTGTTACTTTTTAGTTGATATATTTACGAGCACGTGATATCTCCAGAGTTTCCATTACTAAGCGGGGGCTTGACTATCGCTGCAATGTAGTATTGAGACATTCAAAAATGTTCATGGACGTTTCATCTTGAATGTGTGTTTGAGGTCAATGTTATAATGTGTTATTATTAATATATATCTATGTTCTAGTTAGTCTGCTGGAGGTTCATCTTGGGCCGTGTGTGAGGAGAAGGCTAGGGGTTGTGGTGGTATTGTACATGCCCAGAGGTGGTGGAAGAGATGACAGGACAGAAGGGTGTGATCAGAAGTATCGGGGTACTCTAGAGACAGCGATACCAACACTTCCACATGAGTTCCTAAGCGCTTGTGTGCGTCCATGTTCTAGTGGCTCGAGGTGTTTCGTCGAAGGAAATTCACAACAATCTCGTTGAACCGGCTGGGCTGGTCCATGTATAGCTGATGACCAGCTCCGGGCACAACATGCACTTCGGCATCACCTCCAGCCCGTTTGATTCGTCTGGCACTCTCGTGGCCTCCATTCACGTCCACCCAGTCGTTGGAGCCATACACCCAGGTGGTCGAGATACCCAGTTCGCCCAGTTTATGGACCCGTTCCACGAGAGGCCGTCTAGGAACAGCTCCAGGAGCGAGCAGGTAGTTGAGACAGAACTCTCCAGAGCCCTTTCGTCGGAAAATCTCGTACGTGTATTTGTGCATGGCTTTGCTCTCTTCCTCCGTGGTGTGGTTGTCAATAGGGAATCTTCGGGAGGTCCACCCAGACACAAATCGGGGACCCAGAGGGCCGGTCTGACGCACCAGGGCAAACGGTGAAAAGTTGAGTTCCCAGCCAATTTTGAACCACAGCGGAATCTTGGGGATTTTCGACTCGGCTGTAGTAAATGTGGGGTTGGTATCGATGGAAGATTGAGAAATGTCTTTGAGGGAGGCCTTTTTGTTAGACAATTTTCCCTTGTCAGAATTGCTGTCAGTCTGTTGCTGGAACTGCATTCCAGTGTGTGAGACAGCTGCTGGAGAGGCCAGAACAATCTTGTCAATGTGACCTGGGTACTTGACAGCGTATTCGGAAATGAGATACGCACCAAGCGAGTGAGCCACCACGCTGAACTTTTTAATGCCCTTCTTCTGGCGCCACTCCTCAATCGAGTCCAGGAAGAAGTTTTCGGCTATCGTCACCTGCTCCTCCCATTTCTTGAACAGCAAAGTGCGTGGGTTCGATCTGATGTGGAAAGACGGCCGAGAGCTCAAACCGTAGCCCAAGAGGTCCAGCGCGTGAATCTGGGAGTTGGGGATCTTGGAAAGCGCGTTGAAGTTGCGAAAGAAGAATCCCAGCCCAGCACCGTAGCCATGTAACACCATAATGTGATGTGTGTCCTGATCTGCAATAGAGGTACCATCGGCTTTGTACTGGCTGATCTCAAACTCGTTGATGAACTCAGACCCACTGACTGGGGTCCGAATCACACGCCCTTCACGGTACAGATCCTGCTGTTCGCCACCTGGCAGCGTGCGAGCCACCACCGACTGAGTCTCTCTGTTGGGGTAGAACGGCATCATGGACAGGACAGCATCTTGAGCAGTGTCGCCCTTCTCGTCTCGGTCTCGCCACTGTTGAAACGATTCCGAGTAGCTCAGCGGGAACAAGTTGTTGAAGATTTTCGAAAGCGGAATACCCGCTGGAGGAGTAGGAGGTCGGAACTTTTTGCTCGATCCAGACGCTGATGACGACGCAGAAGCGGTATGCTGGGCGCGGGAGTGCTGGAAAACACGAACCGACGCCAGAACCGTCTCCACCGCACCAAGAGCTCTCTTTTGACAGGCGGCAAGGGTCATATTGGCGACGTAGAGGGTAGGTCAGCGGGTCTGGCGAGTCTGGAGGTGTAGAATGAAAGTTGCATCCTCTTGATGCATACAAATGTTATTTTTTGTATGGTTGTCAGAATATAGAGCTGAATAGAGTTGACCAATGGGAAACGAAAGCGAGACAGGTGTGAGTCTCGGGTTCAAAGGGGCTAATAAAGGGATACAAAGGCGTGTATAGAACGGAAACTCCCTCCGAATCTCCTGTTGTCACGTGATTTACTCGGATTTTCTCCAACCCTGTTTCTCGGTATAACTTGTTCAAGTAGCAAATCCAGCAGCAATCAGCAAGCGGGTTTCAGAAACGTGCCTGAACGTTGCACCCTGAAACTGCAACATGTTTTCGATTGCGGCTTTCGCGTAATGTGTCTTTCGTGTGGAGAACGTGAATCAAGCACGTGGCCGAGACGCGTAATAAGTGGATCACGTGATACTTCACGTGCGAAAGATATCAGCCATTCTTTTTGGGTCCGGATCATATCATATCAATATGCTTACTAAGATTTGAACTCACCTCAAGTTGCCATGAGTAGAAGCGGTGACAGGCTGTTGACGATTTACAAGTAAATGAATCAGGTGAGGACGATGACGACCATAGCGATAGACGCAGACGCATGTTTCAAACGGTTGATCTATTATTGATCGACTTTACTTGCCATGTCGTCCATGCTGACTACAACCAATCCATATCATTCACCTCTACTCAAGCAACAAACATGATATGGGCAAGCTCCTCGGTTGATTTGGTAAGGTGTCTCCTGCGCACAAAAAGCACTTTTCGGCTTCGTCACAGCTGCTTTATCCATTCTGCTAGACGTGGTTTTGTGGATGTGGGCCTTTTAGTTGGGCTTTGTAGGGCTGCTCCCCCTAACTGCGATTGTTCTTACTACATCCCCATGGGCCCAAGGGTGTTCTACTTGTACTTGTCAGTACATACTGTTCTTCACATGACAATAAATACTCATTACAAAAAAATATCACATCTAAACCACCCGCTTAAAAAAAGTCCTGAATGCCACTCCCAATACCGGGCTCAGACTCCTGATACCCCATCTGGTACGTCAACGTGACCTCGGCCTGGGTCATGGCAAACTCCTCATTGAGCCAGCTGCCATTTTGAACATTATCGACAACCACACCCTCCTCCAGGAACGCCATATCGTCGTTTTTGAGTCGCTTGCTCATCCGTTCCTCCTGTTGCTGTCTCCAGGCCTGCATCCGCTCCTTGCAAATCTGCTCTTTTCGTGTCTTGTTGTTTCGTGGATTGTTGTGGTTGACAGCCACACCTCCGTTTCGTTCCTGGTTGAACTCCCGGATATGCTTGTCCTGGTGTCGGAACCAGGTGGTCCAGACAGTGGCACCTCGCTTGCAATAGAGCGGAACATAGTGGCAGCAAATGGGACACAGACCACTGAGCTTGATGTCCTTGTCGGGCAGCAGATGGTGACGTGGCTGGGATTCGTTCTGGATCTGAAGATCGCCGTCGGAGTTAGTCTCGAAGATGATGTTCTGGTGGACCACAAGCCCATCCTCCTTCTGGGTCGTAGAAGGTATGCCGAGAATGACAGCTAGAGGGAAAGGGTAGATGGACTTGGTTGCAGAGCAGACACCGTGAGTAGATGTCATATGGGACGCCCAATTGTGGTTTCGCGTCTTGAACCACTTGTCACATATCCCACAGTACCGCTCTCCAATATCCTTCTCGTCTGGAATGTATTCGCCTCCTGGGCCATCCAGCTTCCGTGTGCCCTTCTTAGCCTCCACTCGGTAGTAGGCCGACAGGTAGACATTGTCCATGATCGACTCAACGTACTGGTAGATGTGGGGATTCCTCTGTTCAGGTACCCTCTGACGCTGGAGGTGGTCAAACAGAGTGACGTAGGGGTTCTTGAAGTGCTCCCGGAGTACCTCGCGGGCGCGAAGAGAGGTCACCTTGATGTGCATAAAGTCATCTTCCAGAAACCTGACAATGTTGCGTATCTGCCTCGCGTGTATTGGTCGGGACGAGTAGAAGAGCTCACCGACAATGTGCGTTCGTTGCTTCCATCGCTCAAGCTGTGTCAAGCTCACCAATCTATGGGCCCAAGGAAAGTTGGAGTAGTCGTTTTCGTTTTCTTCCTCGAGCTGTTCTAGCCGCCGCAGCTCCTGTGGTGAGAGCGGTTCTAGGAGTGTTGGCGGTGACAGCTTCATATTGTCGGTCGAAGCATTACTTCCAGCTACTCCAACCACAGCATTGGCAGGAGGGGGATATGCAGGGTATCGCGTAAGACAGGTTTCGTTACACACTCGGAGCGCGTGGAAATGAGGGTGGCCATGAAACATGAGTTTGAACTGCATCAGTTGGTTTCGAAGATGCAGAGCCAGTAACTCGTTCCTGGAACACTCCAGAGCCAGCTTCTCATCATCCTTCTCTCGCTGCTCTCGCTCGTCAAGTCGATGGTGTGACAACTCGACGATTTCACCTTCACACTTGTTCATGGCGTCGTACTGTCCGAGCGTCAGAGGTTGGTTGATATCCCACGCCCTGACGGTCGAGTACTGCAGGTCCTCGCAGATCTTGACCTTGGCAACCGCTCGCTCAAGCCGGTTGCAGATGTTCACATCCTCTGCCGTCTCAGGTTCCAACGGCATCTGGATCCGTGCAGAATACCATCGTTGAAACGGGTCTGTTCTCCAAGGACGAGAGGAAAAGCCGATGGGAGCTGCCGGAGCGACAATCATCTGGAACTGGTTAGGTGATGGTTGGTTAGACAGAGTCGCGTTAGAAGGAGCAGCACCCACGTGAAACTGAAGCGTGCGAGTTACCGGAGACATCACTTGTTGAGCAGGAAACTGAGCCATGGTCAGCTCCTGCGACGGTTCTCCGAGCTGGGGTTGGAATTGTGCTTGTTGGGGAACTTGGAATGGTGAGTTCAGAAGCTGCTGGTTGTAAATGAGAGACGAATTCTGGACAACCAGTTGCTGCCGTTGCAGCTGAGACTCACTACTACTCTGATCAAGACTCTGGCTATACTGAGCAGGGAACTGAGGAGTGGTAGACTGCTTTCCGGCAGAAACGGTTCCAGGAGAGGTATCATTTGCATGCACGGGCGGAGAGTTCAGACAGGGCGAGGGGACAGTTTCGGGTGTCGACTGCGCCGATACGGCAGAAGGATGTTGGTTCTGAGCCTGAGAAGGCTGCGCAGAGCCAGTCTGCAGAGCACTCGGTTGAGGTTGAGCAGCACCATTTTGAAAAGTCTCAGCATGAGATTGCATGCCAACTCCAGAATGAGACTGAACAGGAGGATGTGGATGTGGCTCGAACTCCAGTTTCAACTGAGTCTGGCGATCAAAATGAATCTGACCAGACATTGTCTGAGGAGGATCGCCGTGGTTCAAGTGATTCTGAGTTTGAATATGAGACTGAGCAGTGGGATGATGATGAAACTGAGTCTGGCCTGGTCGCTGAAGATGAACCAGCTGAGAATCTTGAAGCTGAGCCCGAGACCGGGATTGAACAAACTCAGCATGATCATGGTTGGGAAACAGAGAAGTCTGGGGGCGAACTTGCAGCTGAGACTGGACAGCAGCATGCCCAGACGGGTGAGCCTGAAGCTGCAGTTGATGGTCCGCAGAGTACAGTTGCTGAGCATAGTGACCAACCGGAGGCTCATTCGTAGTCTGATTCTCCAACTCGACTTGAAGCTGCTGTTGGTGGTGGGTTTGCTGGTGGTGGGTTTGCTGGTGGTGGGTTTGGTGCTCGGCGTCAGATTGATGCTGGGTCTGCTGTTCATGATCTAGCTGACTTTGCAGGTTCTGGAAATGGGGTTGCCGCTGAGGGTGAGCCAAGGACGGAGTCTGGGCCTGCTCTTGCTGGGGCTGGTGATCCTCAGTATGGACCTGGGTCTGGTATTGTTGCTGGATGTGCACGTTTGACTGCTGCTGCTCAGGAACAGCCGGAGCACCCATCAGTCCATGCTGAGCCAATACGCTCTGAGGCGTAACGTTGGCTGAATGGGGGGCTGAATCAATCGGCGCCAACGAGGGGGACCCAAATGTTGGATTCGAGGTTGAGTTGACGGAGTTGTGCGAAGCGGAATCAATCGCCGATTCGTACATGTCGTCATGGCAAAACTCGTCAAACAGCTTAACAGTAAGATCGTTCTCAGTCGGAATAGCTGTGATGTCAAGTGCACCGCGACCGATGGCATCGGGGGCGATGGTGTTTGACACCTCCAAAAAGTCACCTTGGATGAAGTTGTAGCCGGAGCTGGGATCAGTCCAGTCCATCTTACCGTCTTGTATGGGTAGAGCGATCCCCAGACCCACTGGCTTTATATCTTTTGGGCTCATAATCCTCGCAATGTCTCCAGTTTATGTGAATGGCTGGATCGAGAAGACGGACGATCGAAGTGGATATCTTGTGTCCGTCACTGTCAAGATGGTCTTCCATACTCTTGGACAGAGTGGTACAGCAGGTTGCAGCAGTCGAGCGAGAGCAAATGATAGCGCGGAATGTTTTCGAGCAGTGAAACGAGAGGGGTGTATAAGCTACAGTATACACCAACAGACAAGCACTTTAGACATGACCGCGAAACTAAAGAGCTCACTCAAAACACTCAGATTCACTGTGTGCACCCAACTCACCACTCACAACTGCGACCGCCAACATTATGGCGACTCTCATTTCGTGCTCGCCATAATTTTCCAGTCAAGTAGCATATGTTATCTGGCCCCAAATCACGTGAAGAGTACGAAAACTTGTACGACAACTTGTTTTTCCTCATCACGTGAGACACAAGGTATCAAAATGGCCGCGGATATCGTGTTTGTATCTGTTTGTAGGGCGGGCTTGTGTCGTGAACTATGTCTCCGCATGTTGATATTGGGCAGTAGAGTTTGGAGTGTCTCTTTGAAGATGCTGTGATGTATGATCTGGATCAGCTCTCCAGGGAGTGATTATAGGAGAGTTTTGATTCTACCATCAGAACCGCCTTGTCAGTAGCCACATTCAGGTACCAATATCGGGCAGGATTGCGTAATTTTCAGGGTAGCACCTGGTAATTCAAGTATCCAGAATCGGAACGTGGAATAACTCATCTACAGCAGATTTGTTTCTCGATTGTTTCTCGATTGTTTATCTCCATCGGCCTGGTTGTTACTAGCCTACATTGTACCACGCTATGAGTGGGCTTCTCAGCCGGAAGAATGAGCATGCCATCTCCAAATATGAATGATCATCCTGTCCCCATGTATTGAGGTGTCGCGCTTGGTAAGTGACCGCCAAAGCCGAATACAAGTACAGTAGTGGAAGATACTTATTCTGATGAATCTAGATCTACACTTGCTGGAAGGCCCACCATCGATCTACACTTGCTGTGGATCTCGTCCCTCAATCTGCAGACAGACTCCTCGTACAGGCACAGGTTTCATATGACCAAAAGAAGATAGAGCATGCAATGCTTGTAGCCCGTACCTGTTCCAGCAAGCTGTCTGCAGCTAGGCCGTGGAGGACACCCAGCAGCATGTTGGTGAGCAGCTGTGCAGCTGTGGGTTGTCCAACTCCTATCCACTGTGGCTACAACTCGCTTCCAGCCCTCTGCATCATGTACGATTCACCTGTCTGCTGGCGGCTACGTACGTCTATCCAGTTCGGATGCGAGCCCCTGTAGTCTATTGGGGGTTGAGTGCGGGCTGTAGGGCAAAGTAGGAGTCGCGGTGCAGTAACCAGCCTGGTTGAAATAGGTGTTTTTAGACGGCTTGACAGAGGCGGTGCAGGTGCGGATGAAACGGTCGCCATGGCAGTCGTACCACACTACCCCTTGCAACACTACAAGTAGCAGCTCCACGGTGACACAGATGTGACACGGTTCGTCGACACTGCTCCGAGAGAGATTTTCACGAGTTTATGGCGAGTGTTTGATTACTCCGGGCGAGACATGAGCCCACTTTGGAGTCGGCAAACGAGTCTAATGGCGTCTTTACTTTTTCCGCAATGCATCAGCGTTGTCCATGCATTTTGGGGTCTTTTGGGGTCTTTTGGGAAGGGCCTAACTGGATCAGGAGTTGGCGGATTTGGCTGGGGTTTGGAATGGAAACACCTGTAGCGGATCTGATTTGATTCGAGGTTTCCGCTTGTTTCCACCGTGTCCAAGTCTCGAGTTACAGTCCTCATGTCAACTCTACCCCGGAAAGTCTACACCAAAGCACATGCAGTGGCTCTGTCCATCTTTCTGCCTACAGTCAGTACTTTTTCTGGTAGGGCCGCAGTAGGGTTTCTACATGGATCGGGTTCTACATGGATCGGGTTCTACATGGATCGGGGAGTTTCCGGCGAAGTGAATAGTGAAAAAATATTTCCCGACTTTGAGCAATTTTCAGATGCCGAAGACGAACCGCAAATTATAACGTCTTCTGTTGGAGCTGCAGGCTGCATGACAGTACTGGCGGTTGAAGTTTTTTGTCCCTTGTTGAGTTGGCGCACGCGCAAAAATAGAAGAAAAACACAAGAAAAAGAAGAAAAACACAGGAAAAAGAAGAAAAACACGGGAAAAAGAAGAAAAACACAAGAAACACAAAGGGAGGCGGTGTGCTGTGCGTCAGGAACCGATCGTCTGATTTATGGACCTCAATGCATCTGAGTGAGGTACGGTTTGAGTGCCATACGGTGTACCCGCGTCCTGAGTAACAGTAAGGTACATTGCATTATGTAGTTCGATTGGTGTGGTGACAGTAGTTGACAGATGTAATACGTTCCACTAATGATATATGGCTGGTCTAAGTAATACTTACAAATGCGTGGAAACATGACAAGACCAAGACAAGACCGAGACAAAACCAAGACAACCAAGACAAAACCAAGACGGCCTGTTGAGACCACACCCAAGTGCCTTGTCCAAAACGGCCTTCGGGAAGAACACCAGGGGTCCAAAAAGCTCACCGTTAAACACAAGGCCAAACACCAGCGGCTACACAAGGCCAAAAAAACAACAACCCAAGCTTCGCGCTTTTGTTTCAGCGCAGAAAGTGGTGTGATGTTTCCACCAGTTATGCGTGCGAAGGTTCATCTAGGGTTGGGGGGAAGCGTGGTCTCAACTCTATGCGGGGTGGGGTACGTGTTTGCAGAGACTCTCTGGTGCTCAATTGTGCACGAAAAGACGAAATATTTTGTGCATCGCGTGCCAAACAAGGGGCTGCGTCGCCGGCAACTTTTCTGTGTGTTTTTCGGCATCGTGCGAGCTGCTGGAGTGTGTTGTGTGGACGTGTCGAGGATGATGAGAAATACAAAAAAGCAACGGTGAAAAGTAGTGGGACAAAAAAAAAAAAACTAATCTAGATCAAGCTCTCGGACAAGTATCAGCACTTGTGAAAGTGGAGGTTGGAGTGGAAAAAGCAAGCGCTCGAGTCACTGCCAAACTCCAGACAGGTTGCAAAGTCGGCAATAACGTCTGAAACGTTGCCATTAACTTCTGCAACGTTGGGTGGGCGTTGTGTTTTACATAAGCCAGCCGGTGGTGATGTGGGCTGTCAACGACGAGCGTGAGATTCGTCTCGAACCAAACTGACCCGGCTCTGTGTATGTAATATTGTCCAAGAGCTTTTGTCACCGTTGCCATGGTCTGGTTCTGTTGTGGTGCACCAACCCCAACTTACCCCTTGATCATACGAGATGGAAGAAGAAACAGACAGAGCAGGAGGAAGAAGCAACTAAACGACGCGGCAGGAGACAGAAGCAATCGGACACTAAACAAGACTCTGACGACGATGTCTTTTAACGAAGAAGCAATTCTAAACTACAATACTGTACAAGCACACTTGTCCGCAACCAATCTCCTCTCCTAACCCTGTTGGCGGATGATCGACTAGCTACTGCACCGAGTATCATATTGGGGTTGCGTTTTCGCGTTTCCACACCCCAATATTGATTCCTTGTTTGCCATTTCAGAAATTCCTCTTCATCGTCTGTTCGTCGCCTTCCTGTTTGGATCCCTTGCTTTCCCCGTAATAATATCCGGGCCGCCGCCGACATCCCTTGGCCAAAAGAAACGTCCAAGCCATGCCAATGGGGTGATGAGACAAAGTGACCATCACTCAAACTGCGACTCAACATTGGACCGTTACTTGTTTTGCTTCCGGGAACGTAGAATTCGACTGGCTCATAGCGTCGTCCTTGGTACTCGACTATCATACAGAGGACACCTCCAGGGTCTGCACACGATCAATATTATCGCAGATGCAGAGTCGAACGATGTAGATGTCACGCGACGTTGCCAAGGAATGTGGGTGGTTCAATCCTGGTGATTTTTCCACCTTTGTTGCAGTATTACCAGACCTTTTCAAAGCGCAGAGCGTCATGTTCCTGGGCACATATCGGTACAGTACGTACCGTACATGTGAAAGAACCGTAGCAGACGCACCGTACTGTCGTGTAAAAGCACCAATTCGCACAATTACGGTGATTAATCACAAGCATCACCGTTAATTGTACAAACAATGGCTCCACATGTCGCTCCAGTCGCTCTAACACACTTCATACAGCTATGCACCAGAATATCGTGCAATGGTCCAACCGCGGCCAAACTTCGGATAGTGACGAACCGCATCTGGTCACTTTGGCGGTATATACGCTTGCCAATTAGTTGATTTAGAGAGATTCTGCGACAACTGCTACAGGGTTCTGTAAGCTGTTACTTGTACAAGTACAATACTAGCAATTGAGCTCCTACAAGTAATAGTACAGTATCCTACCTCTAGTCTTCCATTCTCAGTTGCCAGACTGATTACTACCGTAATACCATACTAGTAGGACAATGTGTCTTAGCCTGCAAACATCAATATAAACCAAGTAGTAGACGCTGAGCTATTGTGTCCACAATAACTAACACTTGTTGGCTCATACTAGCCCAGTGGCGATTCAGTCTCCTATTGCAGTGTCAATGGCGGTCTACCTTGCACTTGTATGTACTGTATACCAGTGTAAACACCATCAATCTTCCAAAATAAGCAAAACTTGTACAGTATGTGCTACTGTTGCGAAGTTCACTGGATCTACTCCTTCCAATCTAACCAATCCAGCCTCCTTGGGCAAATAGCTGCGATTTAGATCCCCACTAGTCGAACCCACTTGTGCTCAACAATGGAAGACATTAGATGATCCACGTCTAGACTGAGATCTATAGATCACTTTGGACTGGTGTTGATGATGTGTCTTTAGCAAGATTGGCAGACAATACTCGTAACATTCTACTCTTTGCAATTCGTTCAGTCATGGCATGTATTGTGGATCAGGCAGTGTCTTTTGCGTGCTTGCGCGCTTGGTCGCATGCGCTCACCCGCTCCTATAAATAGATAAATAATTACTTGATGAATCTCCCCTTCAATGTGCGAAGTCTCGAGGAGATGTCGGCCTTCATCTTTTCCGAGCCGGTCGACCCTTGTGTGACGGTGGGTTGCAGCTGGTGCATCTGAGACTCGGAAACGTGTGTGTAGACGATTTCGGTCTGGTAGCCCAGACCCTGGAACTTTTCCGACTGGTCTGCGGTCTGTCTGTGGCCCTGGTGGCTCTGGTGGAAGTCCATTTTGATGGCGCCGGTGGCGCCGGTCGTCGAGTCCTTGATGGCCTGCAGCAGGAAGTCGTTGCTGAGGTCCGACAAGTCCGATCCCGACGACGAGAAGGAGCCCATAGACAGACGCTTGTTGTCCGCATAGCTGTCGTAGATGTCTGCGACCGAGTCGGTGTTGTGAGAGGAGGGGGTGGTTGTGGAGGTAGCTGTGGCGGAGTCCAGCTTCTTCTCCACAATGAGAGAGTCACCTAGAACCACCATTGGTTTTTGGGAGGTGGGAGAAACGCCACCGCTCTGGGCGCTGTAGGTGGACTCGGGATAGCTGTTATAGGAAAACTGTGAGTTGAGAGATGAGTGGGTTGATGTCGACAGTCGCTGGTTGGGTTTTTCGCTGCCGGCACACGTCGACGTGTGTCTAGCCTTGGCCTTCATGAGTCTGTCCATGTGATGTGGATGTGTGTAGGGGGTATGTGATGTGTCTGTGTGTGAAGACGAGAGAGGATCTGGGCTCCAGTCTGTGGACTTGTGGCTGCGACTTGGGTGGGTTGTGTCTGGTCTTCCAGCGGGCCCACGCTTCTTATACAGCTCGGGCTTTTCTATCTATCAAAAAGCGGAGGCTGTAAGTTTTGGCTAGGTTTGATGTAGAGTTTGATTTTGTGTTTTTTGGGGTTCTTTTGTTTTTTTTGATTTGGGCCTTTTTTCAAGGTGCATTTTTTTGAAGGCTAAAATGCACCCGATCCGAAGGTTGGCAGATCCGACGATCTGAAAATCAGGGGTCGTAGAGACGGTAGAGAGCGGAAAAGAGACAAGTGGACGGCCGCAGTGGCTTGATACGCCCCATCGGCATTAGCCGAAGCGCCGTGGCTCTGACCAGAGCAAAATGTGGTCTGCTGGCAACCCTTGTTCACACCACTACTGGCTCCTTTCAGCAAGGGGCAACTTTGTAGTGAGCGTAGGGTACGGGTCCGACATGTGTGCTGTAGCTACCTTCCCTGGTTCCGGTACCCTAAGTCGTACTCGTGTTACCGCCAATGGCGTCCACAATTGCCCCAAGCCCGACATTTCCTGACCCGCGTTCGGCTGTGGTGGCTCCAATCATGGCCTGTTTCAACTTCCGGAAGCCCAAACACTGGTGGTTCCATCCTTGAATAATATCGGGCTCGGTCTGGCACGGTGTTTGTTTTGGCACATCTTGGGTACAGCACAAGTACAGCACAAGAAACAGCACACAAAGTGTCTCTGCTGGCCCGAGTTTAGTCAGGTTTTTTGCCCTATTTGCGCTGCATCACTGTTGTGGTTCATTCGTGCCAGTCTCTTGTTATTTCACTTTGCGTTTTTCACTCTGCTTGTTGGTGATAATATTTCTTCGCCGTCAACTGGAGCCATGATTTTGTGTTTTGCGCGGTGAACTGGTCGGTGAAGTCGGCGGTGAAGTCGGCAGTGAAGTCGGCGGCGAAGGCGGTGGACGAGGTTGGTCTACACTCGACACTCTCCGACCTGCTCGTTGTCGTCTCGTTTCGCCTGTCTCGTCTCGTCTCGTCTCGTCGCCATGTCAGTGGCTCACTTTCAGCCTCTCTCTCCCGTCTCGCTAAAGAATAATAATTGCAGACCCGGATGGCGCCACGGCCATAATGTCGGACGACTCTGGTACAGCACACGCCGTACAGTCGCCAGCAGACCTGGTTGTCATTTAACAGCGCACGGTGGAGTGTGGTAATTTCGGACCAAGAGGCGCTGTGTACCCGGAGAGACGGAAGCTCTTGTACTCCACCGGATCACATGACACGTGCACACTACACACAATCCCCTTATCTCGCCTCCTTCTCACCACTACCACCGACTAATCCGGAATCCGGTTTGGGCAAAAGACAAGGGTGCGAAACCAAGTAAACAGGTAGCGTTGCAGGAGAAAAGAGAAGGAACAGGCCGTGAGGGAACAACAGAGCGGACAGCCACAGCTGCATAACTTGATTTATCCTGGCTGCTCTGTGATTCTGCGGTGTTTGGCCGTCGTGGCAGCGCACGTTGGGGGATTGCTGATTTAGTGCTGCCAACGCCAAGTAACGGTGAAGTAACGGCTCAACTACGAACCGACATTACACGACCCAAAATGCAACTCGATTACACACACCATGACCAATACGAAGACGACACGTGACAACCGTTCTTTTTCTGCACACCTCCGCCCTTTCCACCCGTCTTCCACGCCTGCTCCCGCTTCTCCATGCCTCAACTCTTTTGCCGCTAACTGGTTTCACCTTCCGAGAGTTGCACTAAGTGCGTCAGTCTGACACCCGAAACGAAACCATCTCGGCCCAAGATGCTAAACAGACGCTAAAACACACACTAGCAGCGGGTTAGCGGGTGTCAGGAGTGATGCAGAGGCGGGTAAGAGTGGGCACATTGGCGGAATCGTGTATTTACCAGCAAGCGTTCAACCAAATCACCTTCTCATCAACCTAGTCCCCAATCGCCTTTTCGCCTTCCTGTCTCCGTCCAACCTCTACGATCCCACCCATTCCAGCCCGACTTTTCGATTATCCTGCATTAATTGAACGCACGCCGCTCCCACCATTTCTCCCTCTGCACTCTGTGGATCTCGACTCGCGATAAGCCAGATACGCAATGCATACGAAAAGGCTCACGGCGCAGCGCCTCCACTGTGCCCTCTGCCTAAGGCGGTGCTGATCCCTGTGCCTATACGACCATTGTCCGTGCAATTTTAAGGAGTTATGCCCCCCAGGTGTTGTCGTCGAATGTCGCCATGAGCGTGAGTGACACAGCAGGATCATGACAAGATATTTTATTTTCCAAAATATTTATTTTCCAGAACATTTACTTTTCAGGAATATTTATTTTTCAGATGTGGACAATTCGGGCCGTTACAGCAACCACATCAGCTACAAGTACACCCTGCAACATGACTGATTAGCAGAAAAACACACACCAAAACCGCTTGGCATCTCGTTCTTCGCTCTACACCAACCTGAGAGGCAACAACACCCTCGTATCTCAACATGGAACCATCATAAGCCCTCGTACCGGCACGCTCACTCATGTCAAAACACGCTCACTCGTGTCAAGACACACCCACCCACACCCACCGACATCCACCGACATCCCCATCCCTGCATACACACGTATTCGATCGTGCATACATGACAGGGGTGCGTCTGTGCGTCTGTCCCGTGTCTGAAACGTCACGTGACCGCGCATACATCGACATGTCTTGGTGGGGGGTACCATGTATGTACAATGTACTGTGGTGTAGGTAGTAGGTATCGATGGAGTTCAGTAGGTATCAGTGGGGTCACGGTTATGCGAAGAAGGACTGAAAAGAAGTCACTGATTGTTCTTCAGACAGGGAAGAACACAGTCATGATTTTACTCGATTTCCTCTGATTAAATCCGATTAAATCAGCTATCTATAGAGGGATCCTTCACCTGTGTCCTCCACCAAAAACGCCAATACGGAAGACGCATTTGGATGGGCAATGCGCACCAACCATAAAAAGATTTATGCAAACAAATACACAGATCTTGAACTGTGTAGGGGCGTATAGATGTGTTGTTAACTAGACCAGTTGGTCTCGTATGGACAATCTGACAGCTCCAGAATCATCCACCACCTCTTGCGACTACATTTAAAGTCTCGCCACATCTCTATCTCTCTCACAGCCCCTTCCACAGCCTCTCTTCTCGCCCTACCTAGACTCACAAGGTCACTTTTCCGTAAAAGTTTGTTTTTCGGGAAGATCTTTTGCCAGATGCGGCCTACATGTGACATCAACAAAGGGAGCATGTAGCGGCTGAACGGAGGGGTTTTCTGACTAAACAATTGGGTGAGGGGAGATGCTGATACCTCAATTGGCCCCATTTCGATCTTTTTCCCTCTGTTTTGCCAGACCTGCAGCTCCTGCAACTCCTGTCTATGGTCTGTAACACATTTGATCTATCCATGTCTCTGCTCTCATAATTAATACGACACTGGCTGAAAAGTTTGACTTTGAGTCTAACCTACGCCGAAAGTATTTTTTGGGGCCGTGCGATTGGGTGTTGATTTGGCGGTGGTGGTTATAATCGCTGGGGAAATGGATCAATGGTCAATGGTCAATGGGGTAGATCAAGAGAGATCCATCATTGTTTGGTTTTTTTTTTTTTTTTTTTTTTTTTTTTTTTTTTTTCTTTTCAGCGTCAACATTTTTCTCTCAGTTTTACCGTTTCCACGGGGCAGTGTTGTGGAAATCGAGTAACATAAACAGTGTCGTTGATAAACCATGTCGACGACTCTTCTGGTACCATATACTGGAGCAATTTGGCCGGGTTGGTCCCCATACTGTTCCCCTGGACGTTTCTGAAACCATCGGTGCCGTTCAATAGTTGGGAAAGGAAACATTATCCAGGGCAGCTGTTGCAGATTGAGAATGACAGGGAGGAGATGGCGAGTATTGACTTTGTCCATGGCACACTTGCCCGTTGCACATTTTGCCCGTTGCACACTTTGTCCTTTGCACATTTTATTCGTTGCATATTTTGCCCTTTATTATTCTTCTCTCCTTTATTCTCTCCTTTATTATCTTTATTCGCAGTCTGGTTCTCCTTCTCCTTCTCCACTTACTACTGTACCTTTTCTTTGGCACTCTTTCTTCCCCCACACATCCCTGCCTAAGGGCCGGAGTTTAACTTAACCGGCCAGGGGTAAGAGTGGAGAGGTGTGGAGGGTGCAATGGGCCACCGAGTCGGTGTGGTTGCCAGAAAACACGCCTCGAGCTTCTTGAGCGTTATATAATGGCCGCCGTTTCCACAAGGCTCAGCAACTCAGCCGTCGCGTCGTCGCCCGTCAACCTCGCTTTCATGTTGGCTATAATATCGCTTGGTTGGAAACACTAATTATGCCATCGCATTGACACTCGTAAACCTGACACTATTGCGCGAGGGTTTGGGCATGTCGGAGAGCAGCTGCGTGGATACAAGGTGCGACACGGCCACATGGCACATGTGCTAGAATGAACCGTTGCAATGGCGACCACACGCGCCGGGGTGTCGGCGTTGCCCCTGCAAAGGTTCCGGTAACCGGCGTCATCGCTCAAAGTCGATGACTGGGCCGGGGAGTAGATGGGCAATGGTGACTCAGGCGGACCGTGGCGAACGAGAAAGACACAAACAGCAGACGCAGACGGAGACTGTGGTGAACGATACAGCCATTTGTTTCTTTCTGCGACATTGCTCTAACACTCTGCATTGTTCCCACTAATTTGTCAACACTCAACGACCATACCCACTAATTATGTTGGTGTAGTTAGACTCGAGGTAGATCCATGGTGCCATTCTGAAAAAATAAATAAATAAAAACAACTGATTTTTCCGCTCTGATATTTTATGTCAAAATGATTGCGTTCATCTTCCGACTTGTTCTGTTCTCTCTGATCGCTCCTCGATGTAATCATTGTACTATACCTCACACGCCGTTATCTCGGTATTAACAGCAAATGTGCAAGCCACTCGCCCCCTGAAACAGCCGATGAGGTTTCATAAGTAATTGCGGCCTTGTCGAGACGCTAACAGACACATGCCCTATGTACCCGTGCTTTGGAGAAGTTTTGCGTCATGCGCGCTAGTGAGACATGTTGTTGAGGTGCTCGAATCCGTGTTTGGAATACGTTAGCGAACCGATGCTAATTACGAGCGTTGGTGATGTGTTTGATATGACGGGAAAATGAGCGATACTACGACTAAAACAGTACAGATGGGCCAGTTCAGGTTGGACAGATCATGTCGTCGATGTTGCTGGTTTTTCTTCTTGAGACGGTTCCCTTCATTTGTAGCCACCAGTAAATGTACAGTGAGAGTGCAATACTGGTACAGTTTCACCCGTACAGCACCTCCAAGTCGTCCAACGTATCTAACTCGCTTTTCCACTTTTATTGACATTTATTTAGCGGCAGTAGAGGCGGCAGACAGTCTAGAAGAAGTCTTGTCTCCAACTGGCTACTGTTAGTTTTTTTTCTTCTTTCTGCATATACATTCATTTACTTATAACTTTGTTAGTTAATTAGTTGATTGAAGCAGTACTTGAAGTAAAGCTAAGTAATTACTGGAACTAAAAATGTTATAAAAACAAAAAAGCGCTCATGTGTTCTCCGAATTACTAATCTCATTTAGTAATTCGGAGAACACATGTCCGGAAAAATGAGGAATTGGCCCTTTCTGACTCTTCGTCCGCTCTTCAGTCTTTACTTCACATCCAAAGTCCACTCAACACCAGTATTCAACACCCCTGTCTCAATTGTTCACCGGTTTCACAGGCCCTGATCGGCTCTTGGAACCATTATTGTAGAATGTCTAGGCCGGGCGTTGGACCGCGTGACAACTAATGTTACTACAAAGAGGATAGTGACGTAGCTCAATATACCACAACTATTTCCGACCATTATAGAACTTCATCTCTCTGCTTCAGCGTCGAAAGGACAACTGCCTATGAAAAATGCATCTCATGGCAGTAGGACCAATTCGACACAATTTTGTTTTATATTCATCTCAAACGTCTTACGGAAACCATCTACGAAAGAGATAATGTCATCTGTTCGCTTAGCTACTGAAGTACTCAGCTACTGATGCACTCAGCTACTGACGCACTTCACGACTACCGCCGGCGACGAACATATCATCTTACAAGTACAGCTGTCCTGAAACAGCATGAAACGAGACTGAAAGTCCTGTCACTTGTGCTTGCACGTCTCATGTCGGCCCGTCTCTCGGATGATGCAAAAAGCAACCATAGTCGCGGTACGCGCAAGATATTATGAGCGCATATTGTTCCAACACATGTCTGAGACATGGACCAGGTACCAAGCTGCTCAATTCAGATGAAATGAGGTTGATAAGCGTTTCAGACGCTTTAAAGATGACACCCGTCAAGATTGGTACTGTTACTGTACTGTAGTTCTGCACTGACTTCGAGTTCCTAAGATTCATGTACATGCACTTTCATTGTACTAGAAACACCACTAGAGATCTGAAAGAAGACGATAGCGGCATGGAGAGTTGAAAAACTACTTGTGATGAGCTTTTTAATTGTCACAATTCATCTTTTTTGTCCACACCTCAACTACTTCACTACATACAATACGGAAAATCCTCCGATCAAGTTGTGGTACTGTACATACATCTTCATTCTCCAGCAATGATTGCAGGTTGCGTCGGATGAAGCCCACTCGAGAAATAGACGGCTCCGTCCCGTGGAATGCTCCTCCACTCTTACTGTGACATTGTCGACATCTCGATAAGTCCCCCCGCGTTGCGTCAATGTTGGAATCTCGCAGCCTGTCAGACGGTTATTATTGCCAGACACAGACGTGAGACAGGTTCCATAGGTTGAGAACCCCGCTAACTTCATCAAATGTCGCCAATGTCATCAAATGTCGCCAGCTTCATCATGTCGCTGGCATTATATTATCGCCAACACTGATGAATGTGCTGCACAAGATGGATGAAAGGAGAAAGATCCGGCTGCAAGCTGGTAAATACGCTAGAAGATCGAATCACTCACCAATAATGACCGCAAACAAAGTCACCACCTCTACTAGAGATGCGACAGAGCTGGTATATCGATATTATTCACATCACCCCCCCCCCCCCCCCCCCAGTATTGTACTGCAACAAGGGGTTTCACAACTGTCACTTGTGTCAGACGTCAATGTGTCAAACAACCAGGTCCAGAGATTATGGACTCGGGGAGCTTGCCACAGTGACAGAAAAAACCACGTCGACGGTCTGGGAAGGGCAATTAGGAGGAGGTAGATCTTTGCAATGGTGTAGTCGATTAGAACAGTTCCAGGATCACATTTGGAGTCGGACAACAGAATTTGTCTCGCAGAATGTTGACCAGAAACAACTGAAAGGAGAGTAGGACCAACACGAATCTCTTGATAACAAATCTTATATATATATAATTTTTTTTTTTGAAACAAATGCTACAGTCTTGCACTCTGCTGTATCTTTAGTCATCATGTGTCCACTCACATACCACCACACCCCCAAACTGCCTATATGTGCAGGAGATAATTAGACGTTCTCGAAAAGGCAACTTCCACGGTTTGTGGGTGGGCTCATTTTTCAACTTTCTCGAGTCACTCGAGTCTTCGCAGCCCTCATCATGTGTCTTGCAAGTTTCATTAATACTCGTTTTTTTGAGTGAGAAAAGAACAGTGTTACAAGAGTGTTAAAGGCTTGATAACGCTCTAGATGGATCATCTATATGCGAAATACCCATATTTGTTTCTTCAACTGCAAATATTCTCCGTTAATGTCTTCAAAACCTCGTTCCAAGCACTGTACCGCATGCTCTGTTCATGGTGATATGGCCACAGTAGCGCGGCAGACTTGAATACAAGTTCTTGAATGCGCTACCGGTTTCTACTATTACTGGTACATACAGTACATACTATTATTCTACCATAATTTGAATCCAGAACCCGCTTGGCCTAACCCGCTTGGCCTGGGTTTAAGAGGTCGTCGGTGAAACTGATCTTGGTCTAGAACCGTGTCGAGCTATTGTACAGACAGCTGGATTCAAGTCTAGACAGTGGTGCAGGTATGGTGTACAGAAAGTAGCCGACACGAAGACTTGAATAACTCATTGACGTACCGCCCTCTTGCTTCTAAGATGTCGCTTCTAAGATGGACGTAGTGTCTGCAACTCCACATTCTCTAGATCTTAACTAGTTTCAGACTACAATGGGCAGAAAGACCCCTGTTCTTCTTCCCATAGTCATTTTAACGACAAGACACTTTGATGCTAGGTGACATCTGGAAAAGCTGCTGTCTTATCTCAGCGGTATCTCGACGTGCTACTCTATCATCTCGTACTGGAAGGAAACAATGCTGAGGATGTGTGGGACATAAAGCGTGGATGGAACTTGAAACGTGCTCACGATTGTTGAAGTCGGAAGAAGATCCTTTATCCCTTCTCAGCATTCTCAGCATTCTCGGGTACATTTTCATAGTTCCGATGTTCCCTGAAATTTCGATTTACTGTAATCGAACCTTGTCAACCCTTCCTTGCATTACATTACCCGTCAAGTAACTCCTTAACCAAATACTTGTCGTCTTCCTACCACACAATGCAGAAAAAAAGCAGAAGAAAAAAAAGCAGAAGCAAAAAAAAGCAGAAAAAAAAAAGCAGAAAAAAAAAAGCAGAAAAAAAAAGCAGAAGAAAAACAAAACAAAAACAATTTGCCTTAATAAGCAGATAGGAGAAAAATACAAAATGTTCCGAGTGGCCACTTTATCCAGAAGCGAATTAGACCACCGTTGAGCTCTTCTTTATCGCCGTGGTCTGGACATGGTCCTCTCGCATTAAACTTCACTGCAAGCACGCTACTACTCCCAACATGCAGCGTTTCAGATCACCACTTGTCACCACCTCCACACCTCACAACACACCATGGAAGCGATATTTATCACGGATGCCACGTCTCTCATTTTCGAGTACCCCGTGTCGGGCTCACCACCCGCGTGGAAGACGATCAGTGAGGAAATCGACCTGCATCCGGGCTCGGACATCATCCAAAGCACGTCGTCGTCAAACTACGTCATCTACCGGTTCAAGCGGGCCAGCGGGCTCACGTTCGTGATTGTGGCTGATCCAACGGTTTCGCCGTCAGTACCAGCGCAGTTTGTGCAACTGCTCACCGACTCCATGGCCCAGTACTTTGTGCTCGGCAAGCTGGACTCCAACTATGACACAGTGACTCTGATCCTGAGTGAGACGCTGGACAACGGAGTGCCTTATCTCAGCGAACCGGACCAAGTGCGCGAATTCGTGAGCAAGGGAGGCGTGCTCAGTAAACTGCTGAGCCAGAGTGCAACCCCCCACAAGGTGAGCCGCTCGGCGGCCGATGGACCCTACTGGAGAAGACAGAACGTGCGACACACGCAGAACGAGCTGTTTGTGGACGTCGAGGAGTCAATCACGTGTGTTGTCCGACGTCAGGGGGCTTCTAAGACTACACCCGTCGTTTCATATGTCGACGGCTCTGTGTACCTCACATCGCATCTCTCAGGTGTCCCCGAAATCGAACTTTCTCTCAGTCGTCCTATTGCTGGAGGCAAACATGTGTGCATTACAAAATCGGGACCCGCCAGCCGCTTTCGTTTCACCCCTCCTGACGGAAGAACAAAACTGCTGACGTACACACAGGATGTGAACGTGTCCTCATATCTGGTCAATTGCACGTTCCACACGGGTCTGGGGCTGCAGAAGGACGAATTTGAGGTCCGAGTGGGCGTGCTCATGAACAGAGGAGTCAAGGCTGTCGACAATCTCGCGGTGGAGGTGTTTGGAGGAAAAATCAAGACATTGCGAAACACGACCGGAGACTTTATTACTAATCAAAAGGGCGGGGTGTGGAATCTGGGCACCACGACCCCCATGGGGTTCAACGCAACGTTTAGAGGCATCTGTGACGGTAATGTGAGTCATGTAACCCTGAAGTACTCGCTGCAGGGTGCTGTTCCCTCGGGTCTCAAGGTGGACAGTGTGAACATTGTGGCCGCCCGGGGTCTGGGCGAGGGAGTCAAGCCATACAAGGGAGTCAAGTATGCCACCGATGTGGCTGAGTATGTGGTGAGATAGACGAATGAGTTATAGACGAAATGACGATAGAGAACCCGTTATGGCGTGATTGAGCGAATAGGAAAACTTTTCTGGCCGTAGCTTTGCTAGATCCACCAATGATTGTCCGTCCGCGTTAGCTTTCAGATCGCCTTATCTATGTCTTGATAACCTCAGTATTTGTTTGATCATCTGTGACTTACATTACCCGGCTTGACAATATTGGTGGCTTACTTAGCCTTTCACTAGTGAGTGTGGCTCTATAGGATGGAGTTATGATTGCGAATGGCAAGATTGAATAATCAGGTCTATGGCATGGTGGGCTTGTGGCTTGATGAATCCCCAGTGACCGAGTGGTTGAGTGACTCTGAATCAACTAGCCCCGAGAGCATCTACAAGTGACAGTTACAGATCTGAAGAGCTGGATGGACCATCTTACTGTCATTACCGTACAGTAATGATGATGATGATGACTACAGGCTACGGTAGATTGGACTTTTCCAAGAGATCTCAACTGCAGTGGCTTCAAGAGGCTTCCTCCACCTGCGGGGGTGATCTTGTGTGGCGTTACTGATGATTCAGTGATGCTGGCTGTCTACATATACTCCTTGTGCTACGCCCTCTTACCATTCACCTTTCACAGTGCAACTACTAACATGTCTTCCAAAAACGGAGTTGGCCACACAGACACCTCGTCCGTCGACAAGGAAGAACTCATCTCTCAATTCCCCCATTTGGACCGTCTCGACCCGTCTCCATGGGCTCAGAAGATCCTTTCTCGTCCTCCTCTCGGCCGTGAGAAGATCAGTGTTGTTCTCTCGGGGGCAGGTCTTGCTGGTATTTCAACCGGAATCATCCTTTCTCAAAAGGTAGACAACATTGACCTCACCATTCTGGAGCGGTCTCCGGACTTTGGGGGCGTTTGGTTCGACAACAGCTACCCAGGTGTCCAATGCGATGTTCCTGTTCACGCCTACCAATTATCTTTTGACCCCAAGCGCGACTGGGACAGACCGTACGCCTACGGAAACGATATCAAGCAGTATTGGGGTGACAGGGCAAAGAAGTATCAACTAAACGAGAAGACCAGGTTTGGACACAACATTCTAGAGGCCAAGTTCAACAAGAATACCAGTCAGTGGGTGATTCAGGTGGAAACCGTGGCCGATAAGAAACGTTCAGAGATTCGTGCTGACGTATTTATCGCCACCAGTGGAGCTCTTAACAACCCCAGGTATCCTCCTACTCAACCGGGATTCGACTCCTTCCAGGGGATCAAGTTTCATCCTCAACAGTGGCCTGAGGGACTGGACTTGACCGGCAAACGAGTGGCTCTGATAGGAAACGGAGCCACTGGAGTCCAGATCTTGCCTCAGATTGTCGAACAAGCGGCCCACGTGGACCACTACGCCAAGTCCTCTTCTTGGATTGGTCATGCTCTGTTTGGACCCGGAGTCCCCGGCTACGTGGAGTACTCGAGGGACGACATTGAGTCTATCAAGTCCGACAAAGACTACTTGGAGTTCCAGAAGGAGTTGCACAGAAACATTGGAGGCAAGTATGATTTTTTTTTTTACGGAACTCCTGCGTTTAGAGAACTCACCAAGGAACTACTGGCTGTGGCGTGGATTCGGGTTGGCAAAGACCCCAAACTGTTCCGGAAAGTGGTACCCACGTACCCCTTTGGAGCCAAACGACTTCTACCTGCCCCTGGATACCTCGAGGCTCTCACCCGACCAAATGTTGACTACCTCCTCGGTGACGTGAAGGAGTTTACCAAGAACGGTATCATTGGAGCTGATGGTGTTGAAAGACAAGTGGATGTTATTATTGCCGCCACGGGCTATCCTCTGACCAACGGAAATGGATTCACCCCCAACTATGAAATTATTGGCACCGATGGGTACAGTTTGAGACAACACTTCTCCCCTCTGGAGTCCAGACTTGGCTATTCAGCATCCTACCTCGGTCTAGCTGCCCCGGGGTTCCCCAACTTCTTCTACACCCTTTCTGTCAACTCGTACATCACCAAGAGCACTCCTGCTGAGACTGTGGAGCTGCAAGCTGCTTATATTGCCAGAGCTATCCGAAAGAAACAGCTTGAGAAAATCAAGTCATTGGAGCCGTCCCTCAAGGCGACAGTGTCGTTCAACAGGAGAATCACTGAGCTGTCTAAAGCGATTTCGGTCACTAAAGGCAACGGATTCTTCAACGAAGTAACCAAAGACGGTACTAAACGATCCAAGGTCGACTGGCCCGGTTCCGTGTCCCATGCTATTGCCGTGCTTCGAGAACCACGATGGGAGGACTTTGAGTATAGGTATGAAGACAATGACGATCCGTTTGCCTACTTTGGGTCTGGCAAGACGTGGATCGACGATCATGATGGTGATAAGACGTTTTACATCACTCAGTCAGCTACAGTAGCTGCCAAAGTTCACGAAGGCTGGATTTCTTTGCCTTCAGATGGGCCCCCCAGGGTGGTTGCAAGATGACAGTGGATATGGAGGCAATGTTGTTTAGATTGAGAGTGACATGTGATTTAAGGATGTGATTTAATGGTGCAATTTATATGCTGAGCAAGCACGATGTTACACTTGTAGCCCGATGGTCCATCAAGAAATACTTTGTTAATATCACGTATATTTTAGTTGAGGTTGGTTGATAATTTAGTTGGGGAATGTGATCTTTAAGAAAATAAAGGGGAAAAAAAAACAGAAAAACAATCCAGACAGAAAAAAAAAACAGACAGAAAAAAAAGAGAGAAGAAAGAAAAAGAAGAGAAAAAAAAAGGGGTGACCATCAGTGTTCCCTAAGAAGGGCGGATATTATCACCGTCTCCTGTTCCTAAATCAAAAAATACCGGTACCTGTGAATAACTACTGTACTTGTACTGTTCCAGTTTACCGAACTGAGAGTTTAGTGGGGGTTTAATTGACTTTGATCTCTTCATCTTAACCAGGTAGATACACCAAACAACAGGACAACAACAGAGACCCTTTTGCAATAGCGTCATGGACGGAGGTTATGCGTTTTGTCGATGATACCACGTTTTGTGTTAATGCCCCAAATACCTGTCCCCCAGCTGTCATAACGTCAAGCGTTTGACACAGGAGATTTCCCATGAGTCCAGCGCTATTGTGCCGCAAATTGAAGCCTGAGTTTGTCAGATTCATACAAACAGTGGGTGGGCTATCCCAATGCACTTGGTACACGTTAACAGCGAGTTCTATCTGCATTTGAGCTGCTGAGAAAACGTGCTCGGAGTGAATCTAGGGGAACTGGATGCCTGAAAGCTGTGAATGGGAACTTCTAGTGTCACGATGATTCAACGACCCACTTTTCTTCTTGAATAGATCCCGAAGCACATCGGAAACTGTTACGGCGTTTTTACTCGATTGACAGAGACTTACTACTACCACACTACCCTTCCTCTTCTTTCGATGCACGTTGTGCCTGAGTCAGCCATGAAATCGCTTCTATAATCTCCCATTCGTCGGAGACATCATACTTCAGGACAGCTGCTGGAACATGGCTGCTTTTCTATTCTGGCCAGACTGCCCAAGCGTTTCACCCAGGCATTTCACAGATTGGTTTCTCGACGCGTCGTATCGGGTATTTCCGTCCTAATTTTCTGGTTGAATCATCGAGAATAAAGGAGTTCACCACGGCAAAGCTGTTCATCTACAAGAAGGATCTATCACTACTTATTGTACCAGCACCCAAGCGGACATTCTTCAAGAAACCCCTGTTGCAGGTTTTCAACAAAAATCGATGAGATATTGGGTTTCCTAACAGCACCAAGACCGAGTTCCAGAGATCCATGATCACCTATTATGCCGAGGAGGATGCTCAAACTTCAGCAGGTGCGTGCTGACTACAGTATGTACATGTACTTCTCTTTTTGCATACTGTGGACCAGCAAGCTGGAGAATGTCATTACTCCCTACTACCCTGAGCCGGTCGCTGCTTCCTACAACTGGTTCTACAATAGGAAACACCCGAGTCCCAGAATTCCTCCATTTAGCGAGAACAGCTTCCGGCAACCAGTTCTGGAGGCCTACTTATATTGGGCTGCCCAGGAAGCCACATGGGCAGCAGGAATACCTGAAGAGATTCCCCGCAAAACCTGAAGAGGTGCCCGTGGTTATCTAGCCACCCAGAAAAGCAAATTGTGCCATGTCACCTATCCATGGAAATCTGCGCTTCCCACCGGACTCCTGTTCCTTCCCGGACGCCTGCTCCACCGGTGCCCGCTGCACCCTCTTCAACTCTCTCTCCCGCTACACCACTCACTCAACTCGATTTCACTGTCATCCACGTTGCTCCTGAACGACTCCCAGAAGCTCCAATCTCTCGTCACCAGCGTCTCGGCTTTTCTAGACTGTATTATGAGTCTTATAGCCGAGCTGCTGGCAAATACTCGGGCTAAACGACGTCTTCTCAAGAGAGATACGGCTTCTGATCTCAACAACAACGTCGTGACTCTTTGGGTCAGCTTGAAGCGATAGTTGCCACCATTGAACCTGTCGAAAACAAGTCTGCCGCGCTGCAGCTACTGTCTGTTGGGCACTATTGTCGAGATCGAGGCTTGGTTGGAGCAGAAGAGACTATCTCTGAATCAGACTCCGAGCCGGCTGGTAATCTGCATCTGTCGCTACAAAAAAACGTGACTTCAGAGGGTGTCCATGTCTCTTCCAGTTCAAGCACGTCTGGTACAACCTCTGCTGGTCTCAGACGACACCTCTGCTGGTTCAACTGACAACCCAGTTTCCGCTTCTGCCTCCCCCATTGCAGCCAACACCACGAGCTCCGAATCTACCACTATTATTACCACCACCCAGACGTCACTAACTGTGAACTCGACTCATGTAACCCCACCGACGTCACCCTGACCACCCGTGTTCCTATCAAACACACCCACACCACCTGACCCACGGTAATTGAAAGCAAGACCCTTATTATGGTTGGAATTGAGACCAAGTTACTAAGGCCAAGACTGTCTGGCACTTCTCACGAGGCTGAAACGAATACTGAAACTAATACTGGGATTTCTCGCAAGACGTTCATCAAGACTGCTTTACAAGGGCGAGGTTACCAAGCCCCCTGAATCTGTTACAAATCCGGCTCCATATCCACACAAGAAACCATTGAGATTCTCCTAACCACCCAGACTCTCCTAACCGCCTCTTGAGGATTACAGCTCCAATCAATCAATACAATTCATTTCAATTCAAATATAAAAATAACACAAAATCCTCCTTTTTCCTCCTGGGAGTCACAGACTAGTCGTAGATGCAAGACTGTCTCGTACATTGGCTCACTGGCTACTCCCAAATCTCCGCCTCGTCCTCCCGCTTATCACTCTCCATGTCGTCTCCTCCCTCCTCCAGTCGCTCTCGCTCAGCCTGGGCCAGTCTCATGGCAACACGCTTAGTGTAGTCGCCAATAGACCGTCCGTTGTTGGGCAGCTCCGACTGCACCTCTCCAAACCACTTGTCAAACTCTGTGGAACCAGTAACCAGGTCGAACAGAGCCAACCACGCCTTCTCAGCAGCAAGCTTGATAGGAATGACCATTTCTCGCACACACGCAAACGTGGAAGTAGCAAGAAGAGTCACGTGGGGCTTGGTAAGCGCATGCTGCTGTCTAGCAACAGTACGAAGCACCACCAGTGCCAGACGTCGAGTGTCGGAAGACGAAGAGGCCGGTGCAGTGATGTTCTGAGCCAGCTGAGTCAACAGAATCTTTGTGATCTCAAACGGCAGGCCACCGAAAGCCAGCAGCAGCTTTCCACAGGCTAGAGTGGCAGCATCGGAAACTGCAGGTGTCTCGGACTTCATCAACTCGAGCGTAGAAGTGACGTAATCAGGCGAATCATCGGGGAGGTCACGTGTAGACACACGTTCATCGCCAGCCTGGGCCACAAGCAGCTCATTCAGCACATAGGCGCCAAACTCGCTGTTGTTGACCTTCTGGGACACCTCATAGACCACAGAAGCGTCTCCGACCTTAGCTAGACCTCCAAGCATCTTGGCCAACACATGCTTGTCGAGTCCCGTGACCTCATCGGCGAGGTTAAAAACGAGATCCCGTGACTGTTGGCTCATCTGGCCGCCGGCCTTGGACACGACGCCCTGCAGAGCCTTGAACATTGCGTTGGTGACGCCCTCGTCGGTGGAGTTTTTGACTCCGGTAACGAGCTCGCTGACCAGAGGATCCACTCGGGACTGCAGGGTAATCAGGGTACCCAGGGCCTCGGCAGCCTCGTTTCGCAGTCGCTCAGAGCCGGTATCACTGAGACACTTGGCAAAGGTTCTCTGAAGCTGGGGCAGGAAAGGCTTGAGGAAAGCAGAGCAGTTCTTGAGGAGCAGGTTGAGAGTTGTAACGATAGCCACCTTGACAGAGGCCGGGAACCGTTCTCCAATGGTTCGAATGAGGGGACCTGTGATCTGGGTAACGTGCAACTTGAGCAGCGACGCGTCAACTCGCTCTACAATGCATCCCATACCGTTGGCAGAGGCCTCTCGCTGGTCCGAAGTACCGTACATGAGACCCTGCACGAAGATGGGGAGAATACAGGCGGGTCCCTTGGGCACATTGATACCGGCCAGGGGGATGGAGGTGTTGGCGAGAGCGGAATAAGCAGGCTTGGAGAGGGTTTCCAACTCCTCCTTGGACAGATTCTTGACCAGAGTCTCCAGAGCGCTCTTGGCAGCAGAAGAAACAGACTCGTCGTCAAGACCATAGATACACAGCTCAGCCCAGTCAATGTAGTAAGCAGAAAGATCCAACTGGGTGTCCTTGAAAAAGGGTGTGAGGGTCTCGAACAGCAGTGTTCGCACGGCCGAGTCCTCGTCCTTGGCCATGGACTTGAGCTGCTGCATGAGTGAATGGATTCCTTCGTCAGACACCGACAGGAAAATGGAGACAAGAGAGTCAAACAAAGCAGACGCTCGTTCGTCGTCCTTCTGATCACGCGCGCTGATAATGGCGGACACAAGGTTGCCAACCACCTGGGGAAGTCGTCGCAGCAGGGTCTGGCCAGCAACAGGAGCCAGAGAAGCGAGGGCCTCGGCGTTGAAGACGGAAATAGGCTGAGACAGCAGCTTGGGCAGCACAACGGGGAAAATCGAGTTGGCTCGCGATTGCATGATGTCCTTGAGAGCCGCCAGAGCAGCCTCGGGACGCTCCTTGAGCAGCAACAGCAGCTTGGGGAGAATGTCGTCGACAGCCGAGTTTCCCATAATCTCGTTGTAGGCATCGAACGCAGAGGCGGCAGCGGAACGCACATCGCGTGACGAGTCGGTCAGAGTCTCGTGCAGAATGTGAACAACGGTCGTCTTATGGGCGTCCAGCTGGTCTCTAGAGGAGGAGACGATGAGCTCCTTGAGAGCAATGCAGATACCCTGTTTCTGGTCAGAGTCGGAGTTGTCGAGGTTGGTCTGCAGAGTAGGGAGAAGCTGCTGCAGGGAGTCCGAGACTCGTCGGACGAGTTCTCCGAGGGTGGAGGCGGCGATTTCTCGCTGCTCGTGGTCCCGAGAAGCCAGCCGGGTAACCACCTGGTTGGTGAGCTCGGGAAGAATCTCCTTGACAGTTCGAGGGGTGTTGGCCACCAGCGCTTTCCAGATTTCGATCGACGCAAGTCGCACCTGTCCAGAGGTATCTGCTCGACAAACAAACAAGTTGGCCAGAACAGTGTCTCGAGTCTGTTGTCCCAGCAACGAGAGCAGGGCCTGGCCTGCGTTGACATCATCAGACTCATCAAGCTCGTTCTTGGTGAGACCAGTGAGCTGGAAGAGTAGGTCTCCCATGAGTTCAACCGAGGCAAGTCGAATTCGGTGGTTGGAGTCAGACATGCCGACGAGAAGCTCGGGCAACAGCAGGTCAACAGACTTGCTGGAGAAGTTGGACACCAGGAGCCGACCAGCCTTGAGGGAAGCGTCTCTGACGGAATCAACATCATCGGCAAGTCCAGAAAGAATCACAGGAATGATCTGGGACAGGTAAGGGGTCAGCGAGTTGCCAAAGGTGGCAGGCAGGAAGATCATCAGCGGCATGAAAGCAGCTCGAATGTGATTCTTGGGGGAAGCGCAGGATTTGATCACCTGAGGCAGAATTTCTTCCAGCTTTCGAAGACCCAGACCGCACACAACCTCAGACAGACCCTGGGCAGCACCAAGGTGGTCTCCAGCTCGAGACTCGTCTCTGAGAGTGGAAAGAAGTCGAGGGACCAGATCAGGGAACGCAGGCTCGCCCAGCTTCTCGACAAGAGAACCCAGAGCCCGGGCAGCAGTAGCACGAGTGCCAGGTACGGGATCGACCATGGCGGTCTCCAGGGAAACAGTCAGCTCGGGCAAGTAAGGTGCAATGTCCTGAGCCGAAGTCAAAATGGCCATGTTGCCAACAATCTGACAAGCCTTCTTCTTGACTGCGGCGGATCGGTCTCCAAGACCACGCTGGAGCACGTGACTAATGAGAGCGAGGGAGGGAGCGTCAATGTAATGCACAAACTGGGTCTTGAGCAGACCGTCCAGAGCAACCTCGGTCTTCTCAGGCTCGGCAATGGCACCAATGAGCTTGGGAACAAGAGCCTGAATCTCGGGGTTGGAAATCACGTGACCAAACCGGTTGAGAGAGCTGTTAGCCGCGGCCCGCACCTCCTTGTGCGTATCGTTGAGCACCGCCACAATCTCGGGGACAATTAGCGACAGGTTGGTGGACAGTTCATGGGGGGACAGGTAGGCCATGTTACCGAGCAATTCCACAGCTCCTCTCTTAGATCGCCAAGCAGTGAGGTTGAGGTTTTCAATGGCCATGGGAATGAGTTTGGTCACTCCGTAGGCAGTGGTGTGCTTCATAACCTGACGAGAAGCATCGTTGGTAGCTTCTCGGACCTCGAAAACGGGATCACCAAGAGCAGCAAGCACCAGAGGCATGAGCTGCAGGGCATAGGGCTCAAAGTGTCGCTGGAGTGCCATCGACAGAGTCTCGACCACAAACTGGGCACTCTGACGGGCGGCAGACGACTTCTTGTTCTCCATAGCATCTGTCAGGGTTCGCATGAGATCAGTCTCTCCAATGGAAGCAATTCCGCCTCCTCTAACGAGACCAGCAATACCATATGCTGCTCCTCGTCGAATGGCGAGAGAAGAGTCAGAAAGAAGCTTCTCGGTGAGCTGGTCCAAGTAGCCATCTCTAGCCTTCTTGTCCATCTTGCTGACCAGTCCAGAAAGACATTCGGAGACTCGGAACTGCACAGACTCAGAAGGAGTATCTAGAGCAACCAACATTCGGTCGTAGATGACAGGCAGACGGGAATCTGAAGATTCCAGGTGGCGGGCCAGAGCACCATACAGAACAACACAAGACGAAATCACGTGGTCATCGCTCTCGGAGCCGTTAGACGCCTTGTTGAGTCGGTTCTGAATGATCTTCATCAGCTCCTCAACGTTCTTGAGGCCATGCTGATCAACAAGAGCCAGACCGGCATCATTGAACTCCTGTCGGACGTCAGAGTTGACATCAGAGTAGCCGGTTTCGACAAGGAACTCAATGAACGAAATCACATGCTCGGGAGACATGCCAGGTGCCATCTCGTGAACAGCTAGACCAGCTCCGCATCGAGCTTCCCACTGGTCACGTGCAGACTCGCCCTTCTTGGGCTTTCCGTACTGGTCCAGGGTAGGAGGAATGGGCACAGAAGCCTCGATAATGTAGGCCATGAGCTGGTTGTAGGAGTCAGCTTCGGCAGTGGCAGCATAGGCACGTGCCGAAGACAGGCGCAGAGAAGACGACTCAGCAGCCAGGAAGGGGAGAAGAACAGAAGAAGAGGGCTTGCAGAGCTTGTTCTCGGAGTAAATCTGCTCGGCAAGTTCTCGGTTCACGTCGTCCACATCGAAACAGGTCACGTAGAGTTCAGGAGAGGAGTCATCAAGAGTGAGATGAGCGTCAACAGCCTCCAGAATAGCATGACGAACACCAGTGTCTCCAGTGAACAGGTTACTCAGCAACACGTGCTCTTCGGGTTTCGTAATTGTCAGAGCCACGTGCTCAACCACAGAGTACAGACACTCACGAGCAAGCTTGGCCTTGGTGGGAGTGCTCTTCATGAGCTGAATGAGGGCGCTCATGATTTCAGATCGAGGAGTAATCACGTCGGCAAAAGCAGAGGTGTGACAAGTGACAATCTCAATGGCAAGATGCGTTTGCTCCTCAGCCACGTCCTTGTCACGAGACTGGTTCTTGAGCACAAACAAGACAATGGGAAGCACGAAAATCAGAGAAATAGCGTCAAGAGGAGAAGACATGGCCACAGAATGAATCTTGTACAGCACCCGCGTGATGAGAGAGTCACGTGACTCCTTCTGGAGGTCCTCGCTCACGTGATTACCATACATTCTGAGCAGGCAGACGGCCAGGAAGGGTCTAATGGAACCCAGCTTGTCGTTGGTGATCCAAGACATGTCCGTGAGAGTCTTGGTCACGTGACTGGAACAAAGCACATCCACGTTGGGGTGTCTGAGGAGCTCGAGCATGAGCGTCATGGCCGGTCCAAACCACGTTTCTTTGCCGTTATCAACCGTCATGGCCTCCTTGGAGAGGGCGGAAATGATGCCCATGAGCCGGGTCACGTGATCTGCGACTGCGGTGACCTCCGTTCTAATTTCTGCCTCCTTCTTCATCTGTTCGTCTACCTTGATTTGTTCCTCCTTGGTGTACTTTGGCTTTTCGACAACACCCTTCTTCTTTTGGAGCTCCTTCTTGAGGTTTTCTTCCCACAGCTTGTCCTGGTATTCCTTGGAGTTTTTGTGAGCCACACGCTCCGTTCGCTTGATATCGAAAGCCAGTTCGTCAGCGGGAGTGTTGAAGATGGTCACGGCCTCAGTGGTGACACAGGAGAGGTTCGAAACAGTGAACTGCTCGGCAACCTCACCAGCAAAGACGTCAGGAGCAATGAAACAGACTGTAGCGATGGTAGGATAGAGGTTGGAGGAGGTAGCCGAAGACAGAATCGACTTGACATGCTTCTCATTGTCCAACAACAACTTTCGGGGATCTCGAGATGCTCCCAGAACGGACTCAATCCACAGTCCGACGCCACACAGTACCTCTAGCCCATCGACAAGAGCCTTGTCGCAGTTGTTCTCGGCACTAAACAGCGAGTAAAGCAACTTGGAGTACTTTCTCTCGCTGACGTGGGTGTCAGAAATTCCAGAAATGACAGCCCCAGCCAGACCATCCGAGTAATTGCTCCTCAGAGCGGGACCAACCAATCTAGAGCAGTCAACGTCCACCTTGACCTCGGAGTCGCCATAAGCATAGAAGAAGATGGTCTTACCAAAGTCGGGGGCATTGTCAGGGTTAACCTCCTTGAACAGCGACTCCAGAGCCTTGAAACCAGTGACAAATTCGCCTGCACTGAGTTTGGTGTACACTCGAGGAGATAGAGCCAGTTCCAGAGCCTTGTCAGATTTTACAGCTTTTCCAGCCTTGGTGAGCAGGTAAACAGCTCCAAGACCAGAAATCGCACCCTTGACGATGGTGGAAGAAGCGAGAATCTTCTCCAGCTCACCTGTCACGTGCTCAGCGTGTTGGGGGAAGTTGACCAGCTGTAGAACCCAGGTCTTGACGACGCCAGCGTTGGAGTCAGACAGTCCAGAAGAGAGAGTCTTAGCCTGATCAGGGGAAAAGTGGACCAAAAAGGCACGCGACAGAGCAGTCAGGGCAATCTCGTTCTTCTCCTTGGTAACCACAGGAGCAAGGGCGGCAGACAGAGAAGGATCGGTCACGTGACAGCCAGCAATAGCGTTTCCATAGGCCACTTTTTGCTCCAACACAGTCACCTTAGACACAGTCTTGGCCAACTCGGAGTAGAGGGTCTCGTGAGAGATAGCACAGGCCACTCCGATGCATGTGACAGCTCCATCTCGAGTGAGCTGATTGGAAGACTTGAGACATGTGACCAGGGAAGCGGAAATGCCGTCAACCAGCTTCTTTGCTGACTCATCGTCTTTATCGAGACTCTCTAGCAACAGGGGAATTGCGTACTCGAGAACAGACTCGGGAGACCTCAGAATCGACTTCTTGGTGGCATCAAAGATATCAGCCGCGACCTTGGACTTTTGGTCACGAGACAGGTTGCCAAAGTATCCCGTGCAAAACTGTTTGGTGGCGTTTTTGCAGGGCAGAACCTTGGCGCCAAGCACGTTGGCGCCGTAAAACTGCGAGTAGGCTGAAAGATCCAGCTGCTCAAAAGTTTGAGGAGCATTTTCAGCGCATGCAGATGCTAGACAGCCCAGCAGAGCCGTAGACGTGGGGGTGCCTGGAAGGCATACGTTCAGCAGTTTGGTCAGAGCTCCGTTAGCTGTGATGCAGGCTGCAAACGCGGCTCGGGTCTGCCTCAGAGCGCTCTTGGCCATTCGCTCCCGGTTGCATGCTGAGCACAGGTCCACGAGCTCGGCCTGCATGGAAATGAGGTCCTTGAAGACAAAGTCGTTGAGCTCGGACCCGGCGTTGGTCAGGGAGAAGGACACAAAGTAGTTGGTCCACTCCAGCAGCACCATGAGGTTGTTTGTGGAGGACTTTTTGTAGATGGCAAACTGCTTGGCGAGCACGGGCACAACCTTTTGAAGGGCGGCAGGGTGTTCCTTTAGCAGCAGTTTCCACGTGTCGACTACCACGTCCCTCGATACGTGGTCGGAGTAGTGTGGAATAGTCTGAAAAAGAGCACTGAGGATAGACGGAAGGGAGTCGGGAGAGGACAGGAGCATTTGCTGTTCCTTCCAAAACTCCAGCCGGTCTTTGGTGGATGACATCTGGGTTAGTGAATGAATGGTTGTGCGTGACAAAAGAACACGAACCCGTCCAGCAATTGCACGGAAGCTGTATTTCTATTCTGAGCGTGGACAACAAGCATCTATGAGCTCAGTAACGAGCGCACTATTAATGCACAGCGTCATTGGGGGTCAACAAGTGTTGAGAGTGAAGTCTTAGCTCGAGAGAACACATTTAGGAACGAGATAAGGCTTCAAAAGACATTGGGCATAGCACATGAGTCGACAAAGAGATAGACTTGGGTTCAATCCGCAGATGAAACCAGCAAGCCTCTGAGTGAGATCTGGAGTCTCTGAGACATCAGGAATTGCGCGCGACGGACAATCTGAGACTTGCACAAGAGACTTGCACAAGAGGATGCAGACACGAAAGCGCAACGGGGACTTGGAGAAAAGCTCAATCAACTGGGGACCCCAAAACCAACTGATCCAGATGAGAAGACGATGACATGATGTGATAATGGACACGGAAGTAGATCACGATCCAGCCTGATCACACCGCGTATCATAGCTGTTCTCCACTCATCACGGAATCGATTCAGATGACTCTCCAGCTCGTTGTCACTGTGTCTGAGGATATGTGTCTTATCTTGGCTCTTCTCCAGAACCCACCGATCAACCGGGGATTATGGTGAATCTCACAGATGATCGCTTTGAGTATGAGGACTGAGTAATTGGTTAGATCTGTAGTTTGTTGATCTGTCTGTCTGAAGTTGTCTGAGTCGGTCTCTGCGTCATTCTCTCTATCTGTCTGTCTGTCTGAAACAATCCACATCTAATCCACACCAAGGTATCAAGATAACCACCTGAAAATCCGAGTCCTGAGATCAGACAAGGTGACATGACTCCACACTCTCCAGAACAAACCCTTCAACGGACCAACCAACCAGCCACCAATATCATTCTAGAACTGGCCAATGTCGCTCACAATTCGCTCCTCACACACATCTCTCCATTGCCCACATCTCTCGCTCACCCCTTCACTCTCAGTACCTCTCATAACCCTCTATAACCACCTCATTAACCATCGTGTATAACTCACCATAATTGTCTGTGTTAGTGTTGTTCTGGTTTGAGCCACACTCTCCGTGTCATTCCCCCCAGTCCCCTTCTCGTACTCACTGTATTCAACAGCTGCGATGGCCTGTATAATCCTCAAAGTCCAAACTCGTAATTTGTATGTGATCCGACATCTTTGCTTCAAATGCAGGTGTGACACTTTTTCATGGGTTAGGGCGGGAGACGGGAGGTTAGGGTTGTGGGGACCCCAGGATGTGATAGAAATGCAGACATGTTGTCGGCGGTGAGATATATAGATTGATCACTGCTTAGTGAATACAACAATCTACTTTATATTTGTCGAAGACTCTTTTCCATCTAATTCTGGGTCACGTCCCTCATAAAACCGCATCTCGAGATGCTATCACAATGATAATGGTACCATCGTGACCGCTAGAACCGGGGGATTCTGATGATAGTACGATTTCACTCTCTGATATCCATACTAGACGTTTCACGTCATTCAGTCATATCTTGCACAACAAACCGGCTTTAAAGTCCAGTGAAAAATCTGAACTTTCCAACATTAAGTTTCAGCAGCTTCATTCTACAGATTACGAGTATTATTGGACACTGCAACTACTCGTCATAGCTTAAAATACAGCTAATATCGATTGTTATCTCTTTTCAACACCCTACGAACCACCATGGACCCATCCACAATTTTCGGTCAGATCACATCTCTTGCCTTATTTAAGGTTTGGAACTCGTCTTGGTGAAATAAAATTAAACTGTAAACTCAAGTTACCCGGCCTCTGCGAAATATAAAAACCACCGTTTCACACCTACAAACGGCAACTAAACCGGCCAGTGATGAACGACGTTGTTATTCCGTGCCAGATCTCTTTACGAGAGTCGCGTGACATACCATCATGCGACTGAAGGGCGCTGTGGATCAAAACCCGCGTCTCAACCACCACATGGGGTCTTTTGCCAATCTGAGGCTGGTTTAGTTGACTACAGTTGGTATTTAGTCAAGTCAGGACATTTTGTCCAGTGCATAGTTAGAATTTGGTAAGGCAGTATAGTGGAGGCTGATTACCAGTCAAGTAAATGGACCGAGAAGAGAGACGTGGATATATCTCTGGAAGGAAGGGGGATTGGAGTAGAGAAGTCGAGCCAACCAACAAGTGGATTCGACAGGATACAAAAATCACACAATTTCCAAAAGATCCATATAATTCCGGAAATCTCGAGGATAGCAATACAACATAGAATACACAACGGTGGGTACAAATCAGACGAAAAGGGAAGCCCAAGACCCAGAAGAAGATCAATTACAACAAGCCGTGGTAGAAAATTCAATTGCAGATACTTGTAAAATCATATCATCAGTTGCTGGTCGTGATCCTGAGCATCAAAGTTCAAAAATCGCTTGAAATGGCCCTGAATAGCCCAAAATCGGTACAAACTCAATGAGATAACTACAGTCTCAATACGATCTTGCGACGAACTTGCGCTTTTCCCTTATTGCGCATCGCCTTTACCACCACTCGTCATTTCCATCGAAAATTTCCGTCTCTGACAACGCCGCCAAGAATTAACCGAAACCCTAAAATGGGATATGAAAAATATGCGACCGGACAACGGCTGGGGCAAGGTCACGGGGTTTGGCCAGAGTGGGGTCACATGGTGTCCTCTAATGTCTCCGATATCGACTCGGAATGCTATTCGGGTCGGTATTGGTCGAGTTGGGTGGATTATAATGGAGTAGCAATGTGGGGTTATGCAGGGAATCCATCTGAGAATGTTCAGTGGGACAGGTTATGAGCGGAAGGATAATATGAGAGATACGAGCGATAATGAGACCTATTCGGATAAGGGTGCGATATATTAAAAAAAAAACAGGAGAAAAAATGCCGTCTGGGGCTGCTCTATCTGCCCTGTATTGGTAACTACTTGTAGAAGGGCTACAGTATACATTTTGGAAAAAGATTGCAATTCTCGTGGGTTTGTTTCTGGGGACACCTTTACCCTGGCGCAAAGATTTGCACGGCGAGGTTGAGATTGAAGATATTGAAAATATTTGGCGATTTTCGGGGCGATTTTCGGGGCGATCGTCTTTGTTTCTTCTTTCCTTGTGGATCTCAGATTGGGTTACTTGGGTTTAGTTGGGAATTTCGGGGGTAGTTGGGAGCAGTAGTGAAGAGATTGGGTTTCATAACAGGTGCCCTCCATGGCAGAAACACGGAGCAGATTTGGGGGCTGTAAAGCAGTGCTTAAGGGTGAAGTCGGATATACAACCAGTTTTTACCTCATATTCATTTGCGGGTTTTTCCAGCTTTCTAGCACCTCCCGACGTCCCCATTCAGTGTTCCCTTTCGTTCGCGATCTGTACAGTGAAATGTTTATCTTTTCCCAAAGAGGCAGGATCCAAACGCACCCATGCAGGGAGGATGCAGAGGGCAAGCAGTCCGCAAAGGGATTAATGACTTGACTGGAGATCCATTGAAGTCGATTTGAGCGACACCACTATTGTGAGTACCAGTTGGCGATGGAGAGATTCGACAAGTCGGTTTGAGGCGGTAGGCGTCTAGAACTACGGAGGAGTTTGCCTGCGAGCTGCGACAGAGATGATTTGGGGATTATCCCCCGGTACTGTACTGAAGATTGATGAGGCGATGAGATCTCGTCTTCGCAGACCTTTTCTCCGCCGCCTTTTCCCCGTAAAGGAAGATACCCTGTTGATGATCTTTCATTCACGAGGCTGACAAACTGACATCTCCTTCCTTCCAAAGTTGTCTGACTAAATACTAACATAGATTTTTCTCTGCTGGCCAGAATTACCAGGTACACTACCAATTGCAACTGACAATCTCAGATAGATCAACACTGGTCACTTTCGAAACACAGTCTGATTGTTAAAACGAGACGACGACTGCGCCAAATACCCAGATAACCACTGTTACTCGACGATACCATCTGCTCTAGTCGACAATCACCAACTCCGTTACTCACACACCGACCATCGGTTAGTAACCCGCTTGTCTTCAGTGGTTTCCAACTTCAAACATGAACACCCTCTACTCGTCCCACCACGTCTATCTGCACTTGTCCAACAATGACCTGCTGCAGATCCCTTATAATCAGACCTTGAGTTCCGAGACCCCCATTTCCTCCCTTACTCCTCCCCCTGGTGGCTCGCGTCTCGTCATCTCGTCTCCCTTCTCTGCTCAGCCTGTGTTGTACGCCATCGACGGACACAACCTCAACTACTACGACCCGATCGGGGATGTGTGGCACCAAATCAACTCCAACGCGCTCCCCTGGTGCTCTGACGCTACCCCGTTTGCTCCTCCGGTGCTTCAGCAAGGCATTCTCTTCTACGGAGGAAGCTGCTCTAACAACCAGGCCCTGTACAGCTACAACACTAGCACAAAAGCGACCCAGAAACAGGACACGACCGTGCATCCTCTCGGCTTTGCAGACGCAGCATACACAAACATTGATTATGCAACCACCGTGTTTGTGGGAGGAAACACGTCTACTTCTGTGTGGGTTGGCATGAACCAAGTGGCGTACTACCAGGGAGGCTGGAACTACAGAAACGTCGACAACTCCAACATGCTTGACTCAAGAAGTGGCGCCCTTCTTCTACCCATTTACCCAGCCTCTTATAGCCTCGATAGCACCTCGACTGCAGACAGAGCCCTTATTCTGGGAGGTACAGTTGATGGACGGACCGCAGAGCCGTATTCAGCAGTTCTGGAGTTTGGAGATCAGGGCTGGGGCTACCATGCCAATGCGTCCTTTGAGGTAGACGGAAATGTTGTTGGCGCTGCTCTCTTGTTTGAGACTCTTGTTACTATTGGAGAGGGACAGGGCCAGGATCAAAGTAAGGAAGCTGACTCTGAAGGCGGTCTTCAGGTCCAGGAGAAGGTGAAAAAGTCCGCCTTGAATCCTCTCCGCAAGCGATCCACATACTCCATCCAGCTGTACAACGTCAACAACTTGGAGCCGGTGCAAAAGTATGTCCCCAGTCAAGCTGCAACTTCCACAACACCTGTTACTAGGGCCAGTACCACAGTCAGCCAGGCTTCCAGTACGTCTGTTGCTGCTACTACAGACACTTCGATTTCTTCTCCTCCTTCCAGCACAACCAAGTCCCACTCTGGCATGTCTACCGGTGGAATAGCTGCTCTGAGTACGATTCTTCCCCTGGCTGCGATTTTCGCTCTTCTGGGTATCTGGTGGTACAGAAAAAAGAAGACCAATGAGGTCCAGCTTCCCCGTGAACGTCTTGACTACTTTGACGACTTTATGCCCCGTGACCGAGACGTGATGAGCGATGCAAACTCGCTCAACTCTTGGACTGAAAAGCGACGAATCTGGGAATCGGATCACAACCGGAACTCGATTCTGAGCAACAAGGATTTAGTGAATAATCGGGATTCGATTCTGGATCCCGATTTGCCGCTGCCCAGCCCTCCCAGACCGGCTAGAAAGGCGTCTGTCAAGAGCGCCTTCTCCTACGACGGTAACGTGAATGATGTCCAGGTGTTGGTCAGCAGTAGGCGACGGACACAGTTGCGGGTGGTTAACGCTGATGAGGATTTGATAGATTTGTAGTGAGAAACCCAACCAGGCCACTACAAATCGACCAATGGTAAGGCCAGCAAGCCTCCATCAAGACAGGTCCAATAGTGCTCTTTCGACTTGGTCTTTACCTGAGCAGAAAGCTCTGTTATTGAGACAGCTCTCTCTAACTAGCTCCTCGGCTTGGATGGACTTTGGTCTACCCCAACTGCGCACAACTGGGATTGGCGTTTGGATTTTGAAACTAACTGTATGTATTATATAATGAGTGTATTGATTTTGGATGTTTTTATCACGTTGTGATGTCTATGGCCGAGTCGATTGTCCCTCCGTAGCATGAGCAGGAGTAGATACTGTACTCAGATCCGAATTGTCAACTATTGAGACGAGGTGAATAGCCATTCCCAGATACTGCACTGCATTGTCGTGTACACAAACCGTTCAGAAAGCCATACCCTTGGGAGTATGGCTATTCAGAAGCAACGGCTTCACCACTACTTCTTCTTTTCTTCATCCCAATCACCTACATCTCCCTCCACAGCATCCAGCACCAAATTACTCTTGGGGCCCTGGAACCATCTGTGTGCCCAGAAGAAGTAATAACACAGTGAGCCGGCCCAAACTGCTCCATTGATCACCACAGTGTAGTTCATGTTTTCTTTGTTTGGATTTGGTCCGTTCAAAGGAAACATGAGCAGGCAGATGGCGAAGCAGAGATAGGTGCAGGCGAATGCTGACACGATTTTAGACAGAGCAAGTCCGAGATAGAATGGACCCGGCTTGAAGTTCGGGTAACCCCAGAACAATCGACAGGCAATGGGGATCATCCAGGCGAGATCGTTGGAAGCTGCTGCAAGAGAGAATAGGGCTGAAGCCGCTGCACTGTCAATCATACACAGACAGCCAATGACCAGTCCCAGAGTGCAGTTTCCCCAGACACATCTCACCGGAACAGACATCTTTTTGTTGACCACCTTGAAGAAGTTTGAAAACGGCAGGGCTCCGTCTCTCGAAAAGGCCCAGGACTGACGCGAGGCAGCTACCACAACTGATAAGCCCATTGTCCATTGAAGCGTAAAGATAATGACCATCATTGCTAGCGTCCATTTTTTGCCCAAACAGTCGTAAATCACCTGGGCCATGGGCTGCTGGAAGGGAGTGTTGAGTACTCTTTCGATGTCAGGCGAAAGAACACAGGCCAGGACAATGTTGATGACAAAGCCCAAGAGCCAGCACATGCCGATGGAGGAGATTATTCCAAATGGAACAGCTGTGGTGGCATTGGATGCCTCTTCGGCCATGTGAACACAAGAGTCGAAAGCCCCAATGGTCCAGATAGGAGCAAGCCATCCCAGCATAAAGTTCCAGCCCTTGGGCCATGTTGTGAGGTTCTCCAGTCGACCAAAGATGTAGCTGCCGTTGTGGAGATGATGTTTACTTCCCGCTCCAACCGGAAGAGCTATGATCATCACCACAATCAGGGCAATGTTGAGAAAAATGCAGACTGTCTGCAGTTTAGACATGAGTCCAGAGGCAATAGAGCCTGCTACGGCGTGCGAAATGACACACGCCGCAAAGACTCCATAGACTGTGAATCTTGTCGCCACGTATTTGCCGTCGGTCGCGACTCCTGCCACTGCCAGAACCAGCTCCGCAAATCCGTAATCGATACTCACAATGGCTCCTGTGAGTCCCAGAGTGTTGCTGTAACCCACTAAAAAGCACAGCGGACGTTTGAATCTGTCACCGGCAAAGTGGTAAGTCCACCAATAGAGGCCGCCAGATGTTGGTAGGGAAGACCCGAGCTCGGCCATAGACAGGCCTACCATGAAAATGCAGAAAGACGCCACGAACCAGCCCCACACCATCCCTGCTGGCCCAGACGGTAGAGAGTAACCCAGAACGGAGCTGATGGATGGAAACAGACCCATGATACTGAAAGCGATACCAAACACCTGAACCGCGGTGTAGTTTCGCCTCAACTCGGGTTTGTAGCCCATAGTAGCCAGGACTGTGTTGTCGGAAGTAACAACAGGTTCCATTTCTATCATAGCCTTGGTAGTTTTTCAGCCCAGTCGTATCAGTGTATATATATATAGATCAATAGTCGGTTGACTATTGTCTTTGACAGCTGCGAGGGGTCGCATTGATCCGGACGGGGTCATTTGTTAGTGAGTGAACATAGTAATCAAGTTGTGGGGATGCCCTAGTGTCTCAGCCTAGACAATATAGGCAGGAGGACTGTTGGTGGAAACGACTTTAGCAAGAGTGACATTAATCCAACAGTTGCGGAATGCTGTGCAATTAGTAAACAGCTGAGTACAACTCCCACGATACGACAGCTGAGCACTCGTGTCTCCCTCTCGTATTGGGCTCTATCGTCGACTCTTCACAAAACCGGTTAAACAACAACTGCTAGCACCGATAGACAGATAATGGACCCTAAAATCACATTAGTGTCTCTCTGTTAGAAGACTAGTTGTCAAATGTGGGGAATCGTCCACCTTTGAATGGGATGTTTCAACTTCCATGAGCTGAGCCCTTTCATGATAGATTTAAAAAGAATCTCGCCGCTCCAGTCTCGCTCAGACGCACTCACCATTGTTCCAGGACCAAATCATGCAAGAAGAAAAAAATTGATAGACCCCCAATGCTTACTGACTCTCATTCCCCCTAACATGAGTGGAATTTTCGAAACTAACCCTCAGACCGCGGCAACAAATACCCGTTTCAAAAGTCACACATTGGAGCTCCTTCAACATTCCAACATAAACAAGTAGACTGAGTTTGAGGGGTACAGTACATACAGAGTGGTATGTCCCCGTGGTTCAACTACATCAGCAGCGCCACCTCATCCATTACCTATTTCACATGCAATCCCGCCTCTATGGCGGTGTCTATCTCTTGAACATCAGATATGAGGTATCTGTGAGGACGTGGAACTCCATCGGCGGAAGCACTGAGATATCCCTAATAAATAGTAACACTAGCGATAGACCCCTGCTTGCAAAACTCAAACACTGCTCCGTCCATGCCGCACAAATCAGCCATGCCCCAGTTAGAATCCGGAAAGACCTCGTTACCGCCATTCACAAGCTCAATAGACGAACTAGGAGATTCCATCGCTTTGGCCAAGGTCAAACCCTTGGAATGAGATAGATCCAGTTTCTGAGCCAGCTCAGTGTAGTCCATCTCCGAAGTGACGGTTACATGATTACTTGCCTCGAGGCTCCATCGTGCACGGGAGTAGCGCTGGAACTCAATGGTTCCTGGGATGTTATGATGGAAAATGACCTTGAGAAGCTGGCCTGAGTTGGAGAAACAGAAATCAATGCCGAGTCGGAAATAATTGAAGAATGTCACGTGTCCGGATTCTGTGCGTGTGCTCTTGCTGGAGTCTTTTCTGTGGATACTGAGAGCAGAGTCTTTCCGCACAAACTTCTCTTCGGGCGATCCGAACATGGCAACGATATCCTGCATTGTTGTGGATCCCACGGTTACTTTACCGGCCGGGAAATAAATTTCCCCCTTTTGCGGCCGTAAACTCACCTGATGGGACACATCTGCTCCCTCCTGGTTCAGCTCCTTGAGTGCTTCCCACCAAGTAGGACCCTTGAAGATGGCCATGGATGTGGTTTCTGAGGACGATAGGTGTTTGATGAAGGACTGGGAGTCGCTCAGAGAGTTTTTCTCCACCGTTTGCGCATCCACGTTGAAACTGAAGGCCACTCCAGGATACGACAGCACGTACTTCTCCAGCTCCTTCTTATATTCCCCGGCGTAAGTTGGACCAAACAGTTTTCCCCCGTAGATTGCCCTCAAGCTGATATTTCCCTTTGGTAAGGCTGTTTCGTTGTACTCCAGGGCCAGTCCGTTGGCAGGCGTGAAGTTGTACACTTCGATGAGCAACAGTTTCTGCGTGACTCCTCCAAACTGCAGTCGCAGCCCGACACGCGGCATATCCGCCACAATGAAGTTGCTAAGCGGGCTCTGAGACGAGTAGATGACGTTGACCAGAGGGAACGTGGTGTGGTGTTTCTTGATGAATTGTAGACAGTCGTAGAGATCCATGCCAAGAACTGTGTTAGAACGCGTTAGATTTCTCATATCACCTGAAAATACTCACTGAACGGACCGAGTCCAATTCCGGGCTTGATAGCTAGACTGCTCATGATTTCGGCGTCTTGTTGTCCTGTTGCGGTGTTGCGTTGTTGCGTTGTTATGTGTGGAGTAAAAGTCACGTCGATAATGTCTTTTATCAGGGTGGCAATATGCACGATAGTGATTTAAGGTTTCTTATGTGGGGGTATAAGGAGGGTAGATGTGCGGGGTTGTAGAGGAGTTGGAGAAAGTTTGGATATTAATCGAAACCGTGGATCACCATGAGTAATATGGAGCTTTCGCGGCTCTTGTATCTTCTCCACAGCTCGAGTTATCGTGGACATGTTTTTCTGCCCTCTCAATCTAATTTTAGCTGGGTCACATGATAAGGTCAGCAATGTATATAGACATAGACAAAAAGTAGGGACTGTGGAGACATTGAAACAGCCTTCTCGTTATCTTGGACACTAGTGCTTGTATATGTCATATGTTATCTAGAGCTATGTGAAGGATTTCTATGTAAGCAAATGTGAAGTGTTTGTACCATCTTTTGAAGCTGTAGGATTGTTTTTGGAGAATTCACAGGACCGATGTTCTTGTGTTCAGATGTCCGTCCGTGTTCAGATGTCCAAAGTGCCTCACAGTCTCTCGTGTAGAGCAATATGACGGGAACTGAAGGTCAAATGTTCTATTGATTCTCAATAAAACATCACCTGTATCTTCATTCTTATACCAGCAAAGAGCGAGTTGGCGAGGTCCATGCCACTGTCCCATAGTTCTCTTGTATCTTGTCTAACACAGCATCGGTCCAAAAGGTCGCATCCGAAGTATCAGAAGAGGGAGAATCGAACGCGGTATCGTTGAATGTCGATGAAGAGACGGACTCAGAGCTGAGCTGCAGGTCCAAGGCTTTCAGTTCACTTCGGAGTCGTTTTCTTCGTCGTTTGAGAGAGGACTCCACGGCATAATGAAGGTAGTTGGAGGATTTGACAGGAGTCGTCACATGGGAGGAGGTTGATTCTGGTCGTACTGGTCGTACTGGTGTTCCAGGCTCCTTCTTCACTCTTGAGCCCATCGATTCCATAAACAGCTGGTGTCTAAAGATGTTCATAGGGTGTATATGGTACTTCTCCTTAGGTGGGTGGTATAACGAGAATAAGGGTCCGATTGAGAAAGTAAACAGTAATACTAAGACACATAGTTTGATATTACAACTACAGTACTTTACTGTATGTACTTGGACTGTAAAGGTCTAGAACCAGAGCCAGAACTCCAACAATAATTATTCGTTAATAAATCGGTTTAAACAGCCACCTTTGGAGGCTGGACAGGCAACTCGTCGACCTTTTCCTTCTTCTCTGTCGCGCTCAGATTCTCCAGCTTTTGCTTGGTCTCCTCCAGCTTTTCAGCCTCCAGAGCCTCCTTGTAGCCCGTACTGTTGACATCCAAGTACGGCTTTTCTCCGATAGACAAGACTCGGTGGCCCAGCCGGTCGCCGGTATCGAAATCAAAAGTGGCCGAGTGGAAAGTCGACCGGTTGTCCCAGATAGCCACGTCGTTCTCGTTCCACTTGAATCGCACATGAGCATCATGGCCCTGGCTCAGGTTTCGGAACAACAAGTCAAGCAGGGAGGCGCTCTCATCGGGAGTGAGTCCAATTATCTTCTTGGTGAAGCCGGGATTGACAAACAGGGACTTCCAGCCGGTGACGGGGTTGGTTCGAATCACAGGGTGGGTGGTGAAGAGCTTGTTGCCTACATTGGCTGGGTTGCCTCTAGGCTGGTCGTAGACTTCATCTCCTCGCTTGTTGACCACCTGGTGGAAGAATTGACCCGAGTGAAGAGCTGTTAGTTTCTCCAGAAGCTCCTTGTAGTGAGGAGACAGCTGCTCGTACGCCTCGTACCCACTGGCCCACAGAGTGTCTCCTCCTCCGTTCTCGGGGATGGTCAGAAGCTTGAGAATGGCGTAGTCGGACGGAACAGGCTCAAATGTAATGTCCGTGTGCCAGCCACGGGAAGCTCGAACTGTGGGAACAACTGCGTCCTCTGCATCAAATCTGGTGACCAGTTCTTTGGCAGACTTTCCCTCGGGAAGAATCTCTAGAATCTCCTTGCCGGCGGGTCTGGAGAGATCCTTGGCAGGATGGACATGGAGAGTGGACTCGGCAGGCTTACCGGTCAGCTCGCCAAACCGCTGACCCAAAAACTGCTGCTGGTCGTCAGTGATATCTTGGTTTCGAAAGAAGACAACTCCTCTTCGAGACACCTCGACAGCCAGGTCTCGGATCAAAGTATCGTCTTCCAGAATCGAGGTCAACTGCAGCTCAGGGAACTCGGTGCCAATCTTGGGAGTCACCGTAAACGACTTGAACTGGTTGAGAGAACCAGAAGACTTGATAGGTTCTCGGCGGGAGGCGTTGGCAGTGGGATCAGTAGAAGGCATGTTTTGAATCGACGATTGCAAACTGTTGTTTGTACACAACTGCAAACGTGTTTATATAACATCAGCTATAGTCACCGTTTTCAATATACCGCTCTCCAGTGTGGCTGCTGATGTCTTAGCGACAATGGCGTTATCGAGGCTATACCAAGAGTCTATACTTTCGGAGAGATTCATCGGCATTAGTGATATCTATAGGCTTCATCGTAAGTGTGGACTTGCACCAGCTGAATTGCGGTTTGTATATTACTCGTGAGTCTGCTCGTCAATGTTACTGTACTGTACATACTGAACATACTTGACAATTGTGTAGGGCTAGAGGTGTCCATTTTCTTAGGTAAGACTTGCTCATATCACTGGAGATCCACTCGATTACTTTACAGTACATAATAACCGACCAATCGCTTCAAATTCGTATCACATTCATACATTCTGATCTCGTGTAAAGTTCCATATCATCCTATCTCCCGTCTCTCATGTAAGCCACCAAGCCACACATTGCAATAGGCATTCTTTGGGCTTATTCATGGCAAATATCATCATACGCCACCAATGCTGTACATTTAATCGGATGAACAATTTGATAGAGAGTGTGGTCTTTCTTTGGTGTCTTCTGTGCATCATATTGATATGTGTGCAACCTGATGTGCATGCTTCAGACGGAAATGACGTCATTCTGTTCACACCCATTCCTGAGCTGTTAAATTTCGTCTTCCAATCCCCTGTTTTCGCCATACTACCCTCCTTTCTCCACAATATGAATCTCATACTCGTGGCTTATCCCCACTCTCCGACTTTAGCCACACTTGTCGGACTCCGAAGAAGCAGAAATATGGGACGATAATGATTGATTGTTTCGTAATGTGGCTAATCCAGCTGTTCTGAGCCGTTCAGAGCTCCCTCTGCTTACGACTATGAGCTTAGCACGACAAATAGAGCACTTTTTAGATGCGTCTCGCTGGTGTTGATTCTTCACCCATCATGGCTACCCCATGTATCAATAAATAACTATGCTATATACCACTAAATACTCAAGGCCAGCTTCTCCAAGGTCTTGATGTTTTTAGCAGCTCCGTCAGCGCTGTCTCCCTCAATCTGCATCTTGGCTCGTCCAGCATTTAGACCCTCCAGCAAGACACAGGCCTTGCAAACGGCATTATGAGATAAATAGCCACACTTGGTGCATCTGTTGGAGAGCCCAAGGCTGGAATCAAATGCTAGAGGTACCGAACAGCCACCGGAGGGGACAGGTTTTTCCTCCACCTTGGCCTTCACAACCACAGAGCCCTTGCCTTTCTTCTCCTTCTTCTTCTTGAGCACAAAGGCTTCTCCAGAGTGAATGATGTCAATGATGGTAGACGGTCTAATGGCCTCCAAATTTTTGATCAGCGTACGAGCCGTGCCCCGGAATGCCTCGGGAGAGTATGTGCACTCGGTGGAAAAGTAGTCGAGCTTCTTGTAATGGGCATAAAGCACAATCTCCTTTTCATATGCGTACTTAAGAGGCTTACTTCTCTTGACAGGAGAGTCATCTGAACCAGTCACCAGTTCGGTACATCTATCCAGACGAGCAGTATCGCCCCGTAACAAGTTCATCAGCACTGTCTCGGCCATATCGTCAGCATTATGACCTGTGACGATATGTGCGATTCCTAGCTTGGCACTACCTCTATCAAGAGCCTGTCTTCGAAACACTCCACAGTAGGTGCAGTTGTTCTTGTTGCCGATCTGGGCCACAATCTGGTCCATGCTCCACCCGTACAGCTCACTGTAACTGACCACCTCCAGATCCATGTCGTACTGCACCTTGTTTCGCTTCACCGTCTCCAGAGAGTCGTCTCGGTAGCCATGGATACCCTCGTCGATAGAGAGCAGCACAAAGTCCACACCATAGTTGTACCGCTCATTCAGCGTTTTCATCACGTGCGCAAGCACCGTACTGTCTTTGCCACCACTGGCTCCAATGGCCACCCGTTCTCCCGGAAAGAAGAGGTTTGATTCAACAATCGTGTTGTGGATTTCGGTCTCAAACACGTTGTAGAAGCACGGTTTGCAGATGGGTTGCAGCGTCTTGGGTCGCTTCAGCATGGCCTTGCGGCACTCGCACAGCACACACAGCATTTTTCCGATCTTCTTGTGTTGTAGAAGGAGAAACGGCTAATTACTCAGCATTTTTCAAAAAATCACCCAGGTTGCGTTTTATACGCATGTTAAATGCTTATTTAGTAAGTTTATTTATGGTGGTTGTGGGTTCGATCCGGAGCCGCGTCAAAATGTTTTAATTTTGATATAATTTTGATATAACGCGCTTCTCGCATATCTGAGGAGCTTTACTGGCTTGTATAACCAAATGGTATTGATTTCAGCCTCATTCGAATCTATATACATCTAAACACGTGTGATCGTACGGCGCTGTTCCTGTTTTTTTTTTTTTCTTTTGTTTTTTTTTTTGCGAATTTTATTTTTCCGTGGATCCACACTAAGGTTATTTTCGTGCAGGGTGGTATTGGTGACGGGTCCTGTTGAGCCGCTTAATTCCATCTATACCGTCAAACAAACGCCATCACTGCGTTCCTCTCGTTTCCAGCTCTTGATTCGTATCTCTAACGATCCGCATTATCGTCTGCATTCTTACAAACCGCTCCATATCGTGGCTTAAGCCACATGCACGCACACCAAAAAGAACATAAAAAGAAAGAAAAGAAGAAAAGAAAAAGAAGAAAAAAAACACCCTGGACGAGTAGATCTGTAATGACATGATGGTTGGGAGCTTTCCTCTTACTGCGTTCTGAACCCCACATCTACCACCATGGCGACCATTGCAATTGATAGCAACCCTTTTCAGTCTCTGAAGGCGCTTTCTGAACCCCACTTTGACACTGAGCGTCCTCGAATGGTCCAGTCTTCTCCCTACACGGGTCAGGCTCACCTGCTGGACCTCGGAGGGGTGCCCCAAAACCTCCATGAGATTGTGGTTGCCCTCCGGGACCTTTTCCGGGCCGTCAAGCCCGATTATGCTGTAGGTGACTACATCGAGTCGTTCCCGTTTGAAGACCTGACTCCCCTGGTGCCCGAAGGCGTCACTCTTCACTGCGTGGCTTTCCGATCCCGGCTGTTTGAACACGTGCGAACCTCCCACGATATGCGTCAGAAGCTCTCCGACCTCGACGAGTCTTCTCATGCCGAGGCTAACAACTCTGGAGGTCTGCTCAAGTACTGGTTTGGCGTGCCCGACGAGGCCGGAAACAATCTGGCCACCTGTGTGTGGATCAGCAAGAAGCACGCTGACGACGCCACCGCTCATCAGCGTCATAATGCCGCCGCCAAGACGGTCCGAGGCTGGTATGAGAACTGGCAAGTAGAGATCTACGAATGGTCTCGGGCAGGACTCACCCGGGTCCGATAACAAGTTGCACAACGTACAGGGGCATCCCAGGATGAACGCGCCGAGACGAAGACGGCCGTCGTCCGAATCCGTTGGCTGTATTATTGATATTGTCTCCTCATGAGAATGGGTGGATTGATGATTCTTTAATGGCCGTCAGTGTTGCTGAACAGGAGCTGGGTCTGGGTGAAGCTATAGTACAAATCTCGTGCTATAGCATTTTTCAAGTCCTCCCTGAACAAGCCCCGCTAACCCCTTCTGCAGCACTTTCAAGGGTACTACGTCTGTGCATCATACCTAGCTAGCTACAAGTAGTTCAGGTACAAGGCACGGTCCTGAGTCACAAGTCGCTCAAGTCGTTCGAACGAAAGACATTATTTATATTATAGATCAACATGTTGTTGAAGATAAATACTTGTTTTGCTGTAGACGGTGAAGTGTCTCATATTGTAGCTACGGTACTACCTGCACTTGGTATGTCTCACTAGCTACTCTCTTTAGATCTTTTAGGTGAGTATATCTTGAGAAGTGGCAATCTCAGAGATACTCTGAAAACTTCTGAAGGAATATCAAGGGCTATATCAACCCCCATGCCGAAATCCAACCCTCTGCCGCAGTCTTTCACCCCCGTTTTATTACTTCTCAATATTCCATTATTGAACTCTAACTCTTATCATGCATAATCAGCGAGTGTGCAGAAAACGTCTTTAATGCGACAATGTCCTATTTCGGACGTTCTTTCTGTGTCTCTTTGAGCGTCCTAATATAAAACGTGTCTTCTTCTCCCCTCTCGTCTTGTTCTTCTAAACAAAACAGAACGGCCACGAAAGCCCAGACTTCTGATATCACCAGTTGAGATATCCTTCAGGTGACACCAAAGGCGCGCCTTATACCGTGTGTCACACATACCTCGTCAAAAACCAACTACCTACCCACAGTGATTCAGCCACGCACACCTATTATGACAGTATTGTCACTCCCTTCATTCCCCCTCATGCAGTACGCGCGCAACCTGTTCCAGGACCTACTCGTGCGAGTACTCAGAACAGGACCCGTGCCCCGTCACGTTGCCTTCATCATGGACGGAAACCGTCGTTTCGCAAAGACCAACAATCTAGAGCTGCGAGAAGGTCACGTGGCAGGTACAGAGTTGCTGCTCAAGCTACTGGAGGTCTGCTTCCGGATGGGCATCAACACCGTTACAATCTACGCCTTCTCAATCGAGAACTTCAACCGACCCAAGGTCGAGACCGACGCACTATTTGACCTCATCCGAAACAACATTGTCGTACTCGGTAGCAAGGACGAGATGGCTGAGCGCTACGGTCTCGCCATCAAAATCCTCGGTAACAGAGACCTCATCCCGGAAGACATTCTCGAGCTGATTGTCCGTGTCGAAGAGACCACGAAGGACAACAAGCGTGGAACACTCAACATTTGTTTCCCTTACACCTCCAGAGACGACATAGCCCAGGCAATTCAAAAGGTCGTCACCGACGTGTTTGCAGACACAAAGCAAGCCCCGCCTCCTAAGTCGTTTGGTCCACCCTCCTCTACCTCCCGACCCTCTCCCCTCCACGTAACCGAAAAGATGCTGGAGAAAGCCATGTACACTGGTGAGAGTCCTCCACTGGATATCATGATCCGAACGTCTGGCGTGACCCGTCTCTCCGACTTTATGTTGTGGCAGAGTCACAAGAACTGCACACTCGAGTTTGTTGACACGCTGTGGCCGGACTTTGGTGTTCGGGAGCTGTATCGGCTGCTGCTCAAGTGGTCCTACGTCAAGACTCTGGAGTTGCAGCGGGACGACCTCATCCAGACCACCAAGGTGAACAACAGCACCAAGAACGACTACGTGGGCAATTACGATGAAGAGGTGAGCTCCCATGCCTCTGCTTTGACAAAGATCTCCTCTGTCGAAAAGGCTGTTGTTCATGACGAGGGCATTGTTGAAGGCATCTGCATTGACTAATGCATAAGATACCGCTAGGTATTGGGAACTGCCGTAGCTTACATGCTCACCCTCTGTGGCTTGCTGAAAAAGAATAAATACAACTGTTTACGAGCGTATGTTTAGTACATACAGTACATACTTTAGTCTCATCGTTAGTAGTTATGTGCTCTGCTCGGGGTCTAGTTTTGTCGCTTGGTCTGGTTGTACATGTCGTTGAGGGTGTACTCGATTGCTGTTCTGGCCCAGATGGCGGCGACTAGAGGCCAGGTGGCTCGTTCGCCCACAGTGGTCCAGTAGCGGACCTTCTCGGGAATGTCGTGGTTCGAAAAGGCCTTTTTGAAGTCGGAGATCATGCCAGCCGCTAGCTCAGGAACAATGAGCACCTCGGCGTTGGGACCGATGCCAGGGATCTTATCGTCGATGAAGAACCGACGGAAGATGGTCGGCAGCAGGCCTATGTAGTCGAACTGGGCGAGTCTGTGTTCGAATTCTAGTTTCAGTACTCGGATCAGGTTCACTCTCCAGCCGTGGTAGCCTCTATGTCGGCCTTCGATGGCCAGAAGAGGCGCCAGGTAGGGTCTTGAGAGAGAGACGATGAAGTGGTTGACGTTAAAGAGTTCGGAAAGGCGAGCGTAGGGAGAGACAATCTTGCCCTGGTTAATCATGGAGTACGAAGGTGTAGGTAGAGCACTCACGCGGCCCGGGAGAGTATCCACGTGGTCCTCGTCGTCTGCATTGTTTCGTTTCCAGGTGTCAGTTGTGATTTCGAGTTTGGGAGGTCCAGAAGAGTTAGTACCGTTAGCTGTTGAATCTAATGGATCCACCTCCTCCTGGACAGGTCCCAGAATCACGTCGGTCGAGCTTCCTCGCCTGGATTTGCAGGCGTCATAGGGAATGACGCTGTTGTCGTCATCCTTGACCAGCAGATGGGCACATGCCTTTTTCGTTTGGGGCTCGTCGTGGGCGGTCACCATGGAAGCTCTACATGCGCTTCTGATGAGCACATTGGGAGTGGTGAGGTAGTTCATCAGTGTCGGGAAGGAAGAGTCATGGGAATGGGCGACAATGTTGAGCACGCGGTCGCTTTTGTTGAAGGCCTCTTCGAACGTGAGGTCTCCGAGTTGATTCTCGATGAACTCCTCGTACATTTTGACTTCCGGGGGGTACTCCGATCGCAATACTTTGTCAGTGACAGACGAGAAGGTCACATTATAGGTGTTTGCAAACTGTTCAAAGTCAAATGCGTAGTCAAAGTCGTAGTCCGAATTGGAGTTACTGAACGAGTGGTCCTTGTGTTTGTTTTCCTCCGCCAGTCGCTCCTTGTATTTTTGGTACAGGTCATTGAGAGTGTCTGGCAAAGAGTCAATGGTTTCGAGCAGCTCCAGGTCGGATACGTAGATGCCTGTGAGAGCGGCAATAAACGCCCCCTCCTTGAAACCGGTGACAATACCCGGTAGCAGACCCTGGAGAGTAAGAGCCTTGATTGTTCCGAGATGAGTAAGTCCGAAAATAGTTCCTCCCTGCAACACGAGGGCCGTTCGGCCAAAAGATTGTCGTGTGTCGTAGAATAACTTGTGTTTCTTTTGTCGAGTCAGCTGTTCACTGTCCAGTTGTCGCTGTTCGGACTTTGGGAAGAAATGCACTCCCTTGGTGTCCAGTCCGCCCGTCGTCCCATAGTCCTTGATGTACTTGAGACAGTCAATGACCTCGGTGATGTACTCTTCGATGAGCAGTTTAGAGCCGAGGTACGAGCGAGTGTACAGCTGGAGCGACGAAATCGAGCCCAAATTCCGCAGCAGTCCGCTTCGCAGACGAGAAATCAGCGTCGCAATGTCGCCGACCGCCCGGCACTCGATAAAGTCTCTCAGACGGCCTGCAATCAGCCGGTAGTCGTATCGTTTCGAGGCTGCGGTCTGACGCCACACGTCGTTGCCCAGCAGCTCGTCCAGCTCCGATGCAATGCTTTCCCATTCCTCGTAGGTGTCTGCCTGGTCCAGCTGCAGTTGTAGCAGTGTTTTTTGGTCGGTGGAGCACCACCAGTGCCATGATTGTAACATCCAGTGCCAGCTAACGTCGAATAAGAGCTCCAGTAGAGCTGTGAAGAAGACCCACAGGTTTTTCAAAATCGCCACAAATGGTGCCAGAACCGGCGCCAAGACAACGGCCACGCGGCTTTTCATAATCGCGGTAGAAAAGGAGCTGAACGGGGGAAGAGAGCTGGATAGCCGAAATGATACTGATCTTGCTGCATAATCATGTGATGATACACACTCGTAAAAGTTAGAGTTAGCCGAGGCATAATCGACCGGAGGGGGTCGTCTATGGCGGGACGTAGACAGCACTTTTGGGGGAGATTTTGTGGTTATCTCGATCCAATCGGCGGGGTCATCATTGAGTGAAAAATTCGTTCAATTCCATACTTCCTTTCCCGGTCTGTATACGCCCTTCTAGTTTCACTCTATCGGCACACACTTATGTAAGCACTGTAGATACGGCAATCAGAACGCAACTAAAATAGTACATACTAATACACAAAGGGGATCTTGGAAAGGGGCTAGAGGATATTATGGTCTGATTAGGGGCTCATTTTTGGGTCTTGTTGTCATTTTTTTGATCATAATATACCTTTTGGGCGACTTTTGAGTGATATATCTCCTGTCTCATACTTTGGGAGGGCTGGTCGACAAGTCTTGTTTGGGTGGACGATAGATATCCCTTTTTTTTCTTCTTTTATGAATTATTATTCTAATGATTCATAGGGTCGATGGCAGATGACTTCAATTGGAACCATTTCCGCAAAGTACAAGTACAAGTACAAGTACTGTACATTAGTATGGTGGGGTATATCAAGGGTGAAATTTCAAAGTGGGGGTTGATAATACCCCCTTATTATCGAGATGCTGTGTATTCGGCACAACCTTTGGGGTTGATTTCAACGAGCTTTCGGCGTAATATATCCGTAATATCCACGTCTGAGATCGGTGAGATTACAATGGCCCCTGGAGATGGATTGAAATAGGGGTTGGCAACCTCTTCTTGTCGTACTGTACTTTTCTGGCTGTACTGAATGTATGTATTTCACTTGCTCTTCACTCTCTCTACTGGATGCGGCTCGTCTTTGTTAAGCTCCTCATCTCATGTGTTTTACCTGTATCGACACATGCTACCGCCCGAACTTGTGGATATCCTGTGCGAGCATCTGGACATTGGCTCTCTTGTCGCTCTCTCGCAAACCAGCACTTCATGGAGAGGGGCTATCAATGATACCGTCTTCAAGACCCGTTTGACAAGGATATGTCCGTGGTTTGAACCCCACCTGTCACGCCGCTTCTCGTGGAAGGAGTGTGCTGCAGTTTATGAGACAAGACTCAATGGAGGGAGAATTGCTTCAGCATTGGAATTAACCAGCTGTAACAAGTTCTCAGAACCACTAAAGATCCGGTCCGGGGCTGAACAACTTGACAACAGGAAACTGCTGGAGAACCCAGTGTACACCAGTGAACACGGAATCCAAGTCGATCTAGCTGACTATGTCAAGCATTTGAGGAAACGGCCAGATTATGAGCGAGATGACAACTTCACAAGAATCATATCGCTACCCGATATGCTCATAGTCGTCTGGTTATCGTCCACCATGTGTTCATGGGTCAACTTGTGTGACATTCGGGTAAAGATGAGAGGAGACGGAGACGGAGACGGTGACAAGAATGTCTCCCTCAAAGCTGACTGTAGTCAACAGTTGGAAGTTCATACCATGCCGTGGTTTCAGGTTCTGGGCACACATGTCTTTCTCGTCACTATTGAGTACTGGAATAGCGACAGAGACCCTAGATGGACCTTGTGGTATGTTGATGGAGGAATCAGGAAACTGTTTCAATGTCCCGGAGAACGTCCTCAATCAGTAGTATGTTATGATGGCTTGTTTCGCTACTTTGAAGACAACACATACCATGTGTTTCAGGTGGGGTTAGATGGAACGGAGGTACGAGACTCTACCGACTTTTTCCTCACAGCCCTTCACTTTTGGAACGAGCAAGATGAGGTATATCCTCGCAATAACTACTCGGTGATCATAGATGAGAATGATAGGCCGTACATTGTTGACTATGATGGGGGGACGGTGCACAGTGCTAGGAAGGACGGAGATGTTTATTCGAGTCACGTGTGACTGCCCTGAGTGAAAAATGTCACTCTTCGTGATCCATGAACTAATCTGTTGGCTCCCTCGAACTTGTACAGGCCTGGTCTCTGAAACACACTCTTGTAAAGTACAAGTAAAAGTACAAGTAAAAGTACCGCAAAATCCACGGTCACTGTCAGTTGAATTCACTCCGACAATTCCTGACGACTTTCAGATTGGACACTCATGGTCTTCTTCTGGACAAGTCCTCCTTTGATATGCAAATCCCATTTTGACATCATAATCTCGGAGACGCAAAATTTGAACCCAAGAGAGTCTCCATATCACCAATGCAATCAGAAGATACAAGCTGACAAAATCAATCTATGTACTCTGAAAATCATTCTATCAAATGCGACTGTCGACTTATAATGTCGACTTATAAATATCGCCGGGTCTGCGTTGACGGGGCCGGGGTCACATCGTCATACAGATACTTGTAGATACTTGCAGTTTATTATTCTCATACTGAATGTACTCGAACCTGCAGAATACGCGGCGATTACTTCAGCACTAGTAGCTGTACCAGCTCTTAGATCTTTCTACAGAACACTCTACACCGCATCTCTCCCAATTCCTGATCATTCGCTTCGCTCATGATCCATCATATCAAGGGCATGTATTCATCAATCTATCGTAAAACTTAGTGCTCCTCCTTGACACCACCGGCCTTAAATCGGGGGTTTCGGGGGTCGTTGATGAACTCCTCAGTGTTCATGGAGGCGTTGGCAGCCTTGGCGAAGAGGAAGAAGGTAATGACACCTGCGTTAGTAAGTGATTGAGCGCGGCGGGTGCCATAGTGCACGTTTAGCACACAAACCATGACAGGCACGCACAGAGACAAACAAAGTAAAACGCTGCACGTTCAGGTGGCTGAAAAATGTCTTGGACGTCACAAGGGCAAGGGAAATGGCACTGAATTGGCAACGACAAGATTAGGTGGACATGTAATGCTCAATGTAGTTTGTAGACATTGCAAAGAATCCGGTGACACTCAAAGGCAAAGCCCTCAATCGCCAACACCATTCCACCACAGCTCACTACACGTCACTCCATTGTCAACCACCCAATTCAGCTCTCCTCCACCTCTCCACAATCTCAATCCTTCTGTCATGTCATCCATTCACTTTGTCATTGTCGTGTCACACCATGACTCTCCGTGGTTCTCGTCGCTTGTGTCGTGTATCTGACTCCATCCATCTCTTCTGTTCAGGTAGCTCAATTCAACAGCTACTGCTCAATTAATACTCACCACCAACGGCGTAGGGCCAGAGGGGCTTGACTATGGTTAGTATTGGTTTCAATTGCGGTATGGCCATGTTCTGTGTCTTCAACTTCGTCTTCAAGACACCACACAACACCACCACAAGTCATTCATTGTAGGCGCTGTCTCAAAGAAAAGAACACAAAGTGCTACCACCGTTCTCATCTCCTTCTCCTCTCCACTCATACTCACCAATAGGGGTGGGGTAAGCTCGTCGAATTCCAAAAGCCATTTTTGTGTGATGTTCAACCAAAGGGTCTTGACGTGTTTGTGCAAAGCAAAATGTAGCGAGTTGGTTTTCGAGGTGGTGTGCGCCTCCTATTGGCTGGACCGAGTTACCCGGAAGTGGGAGAATCAAACTCCGAGCGGTTTAGAGTTTATGCTGGGGGCGAAAGAGTGCATGTGCGTTCGATTCCCCAGGAATGCATTTTCCGAATATATGAGGTGACAAGAATTTGCTCTAAAAGACCATTAATGGAGGGGCATAGTGAGTGCTTGATTGCTCCGTATAAGACACAAACGGGTAAAACCAGGCCCCATCGAGATAGTTCAAATTTGTCTCCTTGACTATAAATATCGGAATATGTCGTTGTCTACACCACTGCCACCCTTGTAACCCCGTCTTGATATTCACTCCAACAGAGGGACCTCTGTCCAATCATCGTAATAATACAGACCTCGATCTAAAGTCTTTGCGTCCCGCTTCACCTCCTGTCCGTACTTGTCCAGAAGCTCTGCGGTAGCTTCATTACCAATAATCAGCCCGATATCGGCTTCCAACAATGCTGCAAGATCAGTAGAAGAGTCTCCACAGTACACAGACTTGGTCTGGTGGGTCTGCGCACTCATTACTCGTTTAAGACACTGTAATTTATCGTCTGACGTTCGGATTCCTGGAGATTCGTCACTGCTGAGCTTTCCCGTACCCCGACCCAGTTCATCCATGTACACCTTGTTGGCCATAATTCCCCCCGGAGTCACATTGTGGACACGAAAGGTTTCGCGAATGAACTCGTCGCTCCAATTAACTGAAATAACATGAATTGGCGTCTCCAGTTTGCGTGCAAATTCCCACCAACCGCCCTTGAATTCCACCTTGTGGGCCTGATCTCTGATTCCAGTCTCCGTCACCCCCAGATACAGATCTGACTTCTCCACACGATGAACCGACGCCATTTCAAACGGTTTGAGCTGCTTCTGGAACTCCAGACGCTTTTCCAGCGAGTCGATGGGCCCAAAATCCCGCTTGAAAGCCGTGTAATCCTCCATGTATGCCGACCCGAAATACGTCCAATGGGGCTTGAACCCGGGCTTGATCGAATAGGCGCACTCGGATAACAACGCCAGGGTGTCTCCGGCAGTCATGGTGTCGTCGAAATCGGTCATAAACGTGTACTTCATTTTTCGTATCGGTCGCAGTGATCTGAGCATGTCGCAAGAATATAGATCACTGATGCAGAGTAATTATGCACGCCGAGAGTCACTTGAGTCACATTCCCTCATCTTCACACAAGGCTCATAATCTGTTACCCAAGTAGATGCGCCAATGCCACTCAAATCCAGAGGCGAAAAGCCCCGGGCCATTAAACCAGCCTCGATAAACACTCTTAACCAGTCGGCGCCTACCAAATCTGCCTTCTCCGTCAACTTCGCTAGTTCTGACTCAGTGCCGTCTTATCGGTTGGGACTGGATGCCCCAATCGGGAACGCCGTAGATTAAGCGGGATAAGGTTTCATCGACCTCGGCACAACATGTTGACGCAAGGTGACCCTAGAAGGGTCAGATCGGGATGATTTTTGGAATTTGAATAGAACCTTTGGTCCCAAGACTACAGTAAATTTTTTGAATCAAGACGACTAGTTCCTGGGCCACTATGAGACAACTCCGTGGGACTCGATTTTTGCCAAACCTTATATACAAACCTTATCCCCGCTACAAGTGCCATACACGGTCCAGACTGCCAACTTCATCTACATCCCCTGACATCAGTTGACGATGAAACTCAGCTCCGTCTTCTTCCTCGGCCTCTCTGCGGCTGCTGTGGCCGACCAGCAGATTCTTGCCATTCCCGACGACGTGCAGGTTTCTCAACACCACGACTCTGCGCTGCTCAAGCTCCATCGACAACTCATTGAGATCCCCAGTATCTCCTTGAACGAGTCCCATGTCTCGGCGTTTCTGGCCGAGCATCTGAGGAGCCTCAATTACAGCGTGGAACTGCTGGGTGAAAAAGAGCGACCCAATATCTACGCATACAAGGGCGACAAAGACACTAGCAAGGTGCTGCTGACCTCCCATATTGATACCGTGCCCCCTTACATCCCCTACAGTGTCAAGGGCAACCGAATCTACGGCAGAGGTGCAGTTGATGCCAAATCCTGCGTTGCTTCTCAGATTACCGCCGTGGAAGAACTCCTTGAAAGTGGAGACATCAACCCCGAAGACGTGGCTTTGCTGTACGTTGTGGGAGAAGAGATTAGTGGAAACGGAGGTATGCGAATTGTCAATGACCTGCTGAAGAAGCAATGGAACGCGGCCATTTTCGGCGAGCCCACAGAGCTCAAACTGGGCGTGGGACATAAGGGGTTTGGTACTATTCGAATCACTGTCAAGGGTAAGGCTTCCCACAGTGGTTACCCCGAGCTTGGAATATCGGCCAATGAGATTCTGGTTGATGCTCTGTACGAACTGAGCCACTCTACGCTGCCCAAATCGCCTCTTTTGGGGCCCTCCACCCTGAACATTGGACAAATGCATGGAGGTATTGCTGCCAACATTGTGCCTGCAGATGCCAGTGCCGTGGTGACTATTCGAATTGCGGCTGATGAGGACGACGTTCGAAAAGTCGTCACTTCTGTGCTTGAAAAGTACGAGCACCTCACTTTCACGTTCGATTCGCGACCTCCCCAGCTGTTGGACTACAAGGTCGACGGCTTTGAAACCATCGTCCTGGCTTACTCTACAGACGTTCCCTACCTCACAGGAGACTTCAAGAAGTACCTCTATGGCCCCGGATCCATCCACGTGGCCCATGCTCCTGACGAGTTTGTCTCCATTGAAGATTTGAAGGCCAGTGTCGAGGGCTACAAGAAGCTGATCCACTTGGCTCTTTGAGGGTGAACTATTGGTCCGACTGTACCGCTATCTATTAGTACAAGTATTTCTATCATGTCCCTGTATATGGCTCTAGTTGATGTTATGATGAGACGGTTCTAATCATATCACGCACACTCATAGCACTCATGTTACTTACAAAATTCAGAAATAAAAATACTTTACAGCTCAGCCAAGCTCTACGCTGGCACAGCTGCTTTATATACTGCAGCCGCACCGACTATATTGGGTCGAGTACAGCTACTTAGGGGAAAGTGCGATGCTCAGGATGGAGTGTAGCTGTCCATAGTGAGTGAGGCTGCTCAATCGGAGCACACCTTGTCGGGTGGAGATGCTCTATTCGATGTTCACATTTTCACAGTGTTCAAACGTGTTCAACCCCTAATAGGATCAGCAGGAACCTGCGCAGGCTTAAACTCCGCGGCAGGCTCGTCAGGAATCTTCTCCACTTTCTGCTCCACCTGGGGCTCCTTCTTGGCAGCCTGCACAGGAGCTCGAGTCCAACCAGTGGTAAACAGAGGCTCCATATCAAACTTGGGGAAGGGATGAGCCTCGGTGTTGAAGACAATATCGGTAAGAGGCAGCACCTCCTCCTTGGAGTCGTCAAACAGCAGGTACAGGTACTTGAGGGTTTCGGACAGCCAGAAGGACTCCATATTGTTTCTCCAAGATGGCTCTGTCGACTCGACGTTGTTGATGGAGTCGTAACCGGCGTCTCCAGGAACCTTGGTGTACTTTTGGAACGCCTGGAAAATCTCCCAGCCCCATTCTCGATAGATGGGGTTTCGGGTGATTCGCCAGAGGTAGAAGAGCGACTCAACTGTCTCGGGACGCTGCAGGTTATGGGCGTCCTGGGGCTTGACAGAAAAGTCCTTGCTGAGAGTGTTGTGGTCGTTGAAGAAAACGATTTCAGGAGACAGACCGGTGACAGTCTGGTGGTACATTTCGTAACAGGTTCGAGTGAGCTCAACTCCAAGTCTCAGGTTCACCTGTCGGGTCTGAGTCCACGACTCAGATCGCTCCACCTCCTTTTGAGTGTATCCTTCGGTGGCACCCAGAGCAAACATACCGCCTGCAAAACAGACCAGATGGTCCATTTTGGTGGAGAAGGGGCCACTAATACCCCGGTCAAGCTCGCCAATGAACGCCAGATCGCCAGGGACGCTCTGTTTCACCATATGGTGCTTGATTCCGTCCACAGCCTCCTCGTACATGTCTCGGTAGATTTCCTCCCGCTTTTCGGTCTGCAGATATTGCTTGATGAGATACTCGTAGTACGAGTCGCCGCGCGAGCCGAGCCGAATCTGGTTGCCCTGGAACTTGCCAGTATCCGGCTGGATGAAAATGGGAACCAGACCCTCCTCAGCCTTGTTAGCCTCCATAACCTTCATCACCTTCTCAGCAGTCTCCCAGTACAGAGCCTCTCCGGTGAGTTTGGAGAGGTACTTGAACTCCAGTTGGACAGTGGCCGCCTCGGCGGTACTGGAAGCTCCTCCATCTGCGTGACTTTTGACTCCCTTTCGGGTCTTGAGGTTGACAGAAGCATAAGGCACTCCAGATTCGCTGTCAAAGGCACCTAGAAGTCGGTTTCCAAGATTCACAGCCTTGTCAAGGTACAAGTCGTCCTTGGAGAGGTAGTGTGCCGAAAGCAGACCTCCCAGCATCCGAATTGTCGTCTCAAAAGTGTTGACTTCGTAGTCTATGTTGTAGTCCAGATCCTTGTCGACCCAGTATCGAGCTTCAGCCAGTTCCTTCTCCAGCCCCATGAGCATCAGAGAGTCCAGAGAGTCCACAATGAACCAGCCCAGAGGCTTGGGTCCCATGTTCTTGCCAGTCTTGGTCTGGGGCTTGTACACATCCTTGCCCCAGGCGTACTTGTGATAGCCGTTCCAACTGTCGACAAAGGCCTGCTTCACGGCATTCTGTTCCGCTACCCAATTGGTTTTGGGCTTGCCTCGTCCCTTCCATCCCTTGAACTCATAGTCCTTGATTCCGTCCTTCAGAGACACATTTCCGTCCAGGGAGCGCGAGAAGGTGTAGATCGCCCAGAACAGAAGACCTACCACCACTCCGTAGATGATGTTGCGTCTTCGGCGGCCAGAGGTGGTCCGGGCCACAAACCCCTCTCCATACGGCTTGTCTTTGTATAGCGGCAACGTGGAGTCCTTAGATTTTTCGAGCCCACTAGCTTGCCACAGTTGATCTTCGAGTTTCCGCGCTTTGGCTGAGAAATTCGGCGTGGTTTTGGGAATGTTGAAGCTCATGACGGTGAGACAGTGGAGGTTGTGGTAGATATAGCAGCTGGAGATTGTCACAGGGTACTGCGGACATGCAGTAGGGTAACCCGATTATAATGACATCCGGGTCCGGCTGGGGCGCGGAAGAGAGACAGGTAGGGTAATTGGGGGATGGCTAGTCCGTCGGTGGCAACAGTTTTGCAATTGCTTTTGTGGTCATGATGCTGGAGCGTATGTCCATGTATCACCGCATACTTGGGGTTTACACGTATCAACTTTATAGAGTTGTAAACAACCGAGCAAATGACGTCACCTGGACAGGATGTAGCTTGCGATAGAGGCAATGTGGGAGGAAACAAAGAGTCATAGACGAGTCAGCCATGCGAAAAAAATCTCTTGGTTCTTTTCTACTTTCAAAATCACGTACTTTTCGCCTGTTTAGTCCCCAAAATACCGCAGATTTTGCTGCATTCAAGCAACCTCCAGATAGACTTGATATTCGTGCGCAGGAGATCCACAGGAATCGTACGGTATGCTGGATTAAGGTGCAGCTATGTCTGACCAAAAGTTCAGGCCTTTGCTGGTATTTTTGCCGAGTATGAAGGTGGGAGAATGTGTCTCAAACGAACACAAGAGACGCCAGAAACATAGGGAGTTATACCAATCGAGTCAGGATGAGATTAGAAATGTAATGACGTGGTTATTGTTGGTTATTGTTGGTCCAATCACTTTTTAATGCCGTTTTATGAACAACTTGCCTGCATAGCTGGGGGGGTCGAAGAAGGTGTGTCCAACAAGCACAGAAAAGTGGCGACTGGCCGCGTGAACCCCAACTTACACCATATCACCCGAGTCAGAAACGTCCCTGGAATTCGTCCATGTATATATAAATTCCAATCCGCCTTTATCCAGCGATATCTCGCCATTTTAGTTTGGTCCACTTGACCTCTCTCCACCCTCCCAAATGACGACCCATCTTATCACGTGACCCTGCCTACATGTTGTAGCGTGGACAATGCAACCCCGGCTCATGTGCATGTGCATTAGCGAAGGGGGTCAGTATTTCGACGACGGCAATATAATTTGGTTAGTGGGCAATACCAGATTGTGAAGCGCCACTAGAGAAGCAGATCGCATTACTCAGATCTGAAATCGGACCAAAACTGAGAGAGCAAGGGGCGCAAAGACGAAGTTCGACCCCGTACTGCATGATTCAAGATACTCGAGCTAGTGCGTCGACGAAATACTCCCTCACCGACTCCAGAAACCGAATCAGCACCTCCAAAACACCCCCTCCAATGGCCCTGTTCCAGTTTCTCCACCCTCATCAAACTCTCCAGCCGCTTATCATTATTTTTCATTAAACTCTATCGGATCCATCTTTCAGCACAAGGAGGGGTCGCAACGATGAGCGGAAAGTCGGAATCAGACCGTCTCGACGAGGCGGATTGACTTCCGTTGTCACATTTGGTCTGCCTACTCCACATTCGTCGCTGGAGACGTCCTCCAAATTCGCCTTCCCCGAGTCAAAGTATAAGCTTGATTGACTCTTTTAGTCACATGTGTAAAGTCCTCCTCCATGTGAGTAATCCTTCGTCTAGCTGCCATCTCATACCCGTTTCGAACCGCTCAACCAAATGGGATTTTCGATTCTGCCACCGACCGAGGTGGGCTGCCCCATCCCCGAAAACACGCCACATGCCGTTTCCGTCACTCTACCGACCTGGGAAGCCACCGTTGCCTACGAAGAGGGCGAGGACTGGGTGGTCCAGAAGATGAGCTCGGGCTACCCCCGATTTTTTGTGCATTCGCGGATCCAAGAACTTTGCGCCTGGGCCGAGCAACGCTACGGCCGTCCAGGAGAATGTGCCTGGGCCTTTCCCACTTTTGAGATTGCCAAACGATGTCGAGATTTCGTGCGAGCTCGAAGTGACCACAAAAAGATCCGGATCATGCAACTGACAACCCCGCACAATGATGAGGGCGTGCCGCCGGTGACAATCGTCTTTGTTTTTGTTCCTGTTGCCCTCAAGCCCATCTGCAAGCAGTACTGGCAGCACACAGGCGAGGGTATCTCTTCGCGACTCGGAGAGTTCTGCTTGGAGGAGTTCTCGGTGATCCCCAAAACGGATGGCCACGTGAAGGACTACAACGCCTTCCATGGCTCCAAATTCGAAGAAAAAGTGTCCGCTAAGCCTATCTCAGAATCCGCCGAGATGCAGACATTTGTGGAGGAGCGTTTCGGCCGAAATCTGGACGGCAAGTTCGCCGCAGAGGCCAAGGAGGCTCTACAAAAGCGAATCTCTAGCCAGATCAAACACTGCTCGCAGAATGACGTGTTCCTGTACCCCACCGGCATGACCGCCATCTTTTCAGCCCATAGAGCGATACTGGAGATCGCTGGCGACCACAAATCAATCTGCTTCGGATTCCCGTACGTCGACACTCTCAATATCCTGCGAAAATTCGGCCCTGGTGTTCATTTTCTGGGCAATGGAGAAGATGTCGATATTGACGAGGTGGAGAGACTGTGCAAGGAAGAGAAGATCTTGGCCTTGTTCTGCGAGGTGCCCAGCAACCCTCTACTCAAGACTCCTGACCTCAAACGACTCAGAGCTCTTGCTGATAAGTACAATTTTGCCATTATTGTCGACGACACTGTGGGCAACATGTTGAACATTGATGTGCACGACTACGCCGACGTGGTTGCTAGTTCGCTCACAAAGGTCTTTTCTGGCGATTCCAACGTCATGGGAGGCTGTGTCGTGCTGAATTCAAAGTCTCCATGGTACTCCAAGTTCCAGGAGACTCTCGAACACCAATATGAAGACACAGTTTGGGGCGAAGACGCCATTTACCTGGAGCGAAACTCACGAGACTTTGCCGAACGAAACAGCCACATTAACCAAAACGCCGAGGCTGTGGTTGAGTTGTTGGAAAAGTCGCCTCTTGTTAAGAAGGTGTTTTACCCCAAGACTGCGCCTTCCAAGCATCACTATGAGGCCATCAAGACGGAGAATGGAGGTTATGGAGGACTCGTGTCGATTGTTTTGAACGACGAGGACTCAGCCAAGCGGTTTTTTGACACTCTTCAGACTGCCAAGGGTCCTTCGCTGGGCACAAACTTCACCCTCACGTGTCCCTACGCCATTCTGGCTCACTACGGAGAGCTGGACTTTGTCGAAAGCTTTGGAGTGGATAGAAACCTGGTGCGGATCAGTGTGGGTCTGGAGCCCAAGGAGGAGTTGATTAGGGTGTTTGAGAAGGCTCTGAGTGTGTGTCAGTAGGCGGAGCGACAAGCGAACGAGCAGCTACTTATGAACCAAAGTTGCTTCCATCGGAAGTCTGCGACATGCCCCACGCAGAAGCCGACTCAATGAACAGGTGTCTTAACATCTGTTTGTCCAGACCCTTTGCGTACAATCTTCTATAAAAGCGAGATGTACTCTATGTACTGTATATACTGTACATACTATAGATAATGCATGTAGATGCAGAGCCCCGAAGAAGCAAGTTGGATAGTCGCTTGTTTCTACGTACTCTATTATAGCTCGTATTAACGAGCGTTTCATATGGTTCCCAAGCGGCTTGTATCCAGACTAGAAAAGTGACGGAATCCTGGTGTAAATCCTCGGTGAAAATTTCAACCAAGGTTGACAGAAGTTTACTTGACTATATTTGACAAAACTACCCTAAGATAGAGTCTCTTCAACTCGCTCAAAAAACAACCGATTGCTCTCAATCTTTGGATGAGGAATACTGGCACCCATGACTCAGGTCTCACCACTTCTGTCCATCTTCTAAGTCCACTATATCACCCCTCCAACCCCTCCCCGTTCCCTCTCCTACCCCATATTTCCGAACCTAATTACAAACAAAGGTTAAATTGAGCAGCTCTAAATTCTCCACATCAAAGTACAAATACCGTGCACAGCCTCCACATATGCCTCTGTTCAGATCACTGCACACTCTCAAACGTCTCTCAACCATGCCCACAATCACTCTCATCCACAACCCCAAGTGCTCCAAATCATGTGCTGCTCTCGAGCTGCTGGAGCAGAAGCAAATTAGCCCCAATGTCGTGCAGTACCTCGACACACCTCTTTCCGTTGCTGAGATTTCGTCTATTGTTCGGAAACTCGACATGAAGCCCGTCGAGCTGCTCAGAAAGGGCGAGCCGCAATTTTCTGAGCTCAATTTGGGGGCGGCCAACACGCCCGATGCCGAGATCATTGATGCCATGGCGAAACACCCCAATCTAATCGAGCGGCCTATTCTGATTGTGGATGACAAGGCTGTGATTGGACGGCCCACAGAAAAGCTCAATGACCTGCTGGGAAAGCTGTAGATACGCAAGTACTGAGTAATAGAAAGAGTTGATTTGGCCTAAATATCGTTTCTAGAATTTTTGAAAAAAAGATGCCTTCGACCAGATTTGAACTGATGATCTCAGCATTACTAGTGCTGCGCCTTACCACTTGGCCACGAAGGCTGGTTTTTGAAAAGAAGAATAATTAAAAGTGTGCTACGTGAAAATTGAAATAAATATCCATGAATCATTAGCAAAAAAATAAATAAAATAAAAAATACATCATTAGAATAAAAAAAAAACAAGACATGCCCTTTATGACCTCAAACACCACTCCAAGGCCTGGATGATAAACATGTTTTTCCTGTCCAAGCTAGTCTTCTATCTCCCGTCGTCACCTATATTACGGAAGCAGTGGTACTCAAGCTCAGAACGTGCTGCGACAAGATCAACGAATACTGGCTGGCAAGAACAAGGACGGCAATCGCACCTTCAACGACGAACTCATATATCAGCCTCTCAGAGCGGGAGGCATTGGCCTTTTGAACATTGTCGAGCAGGCAAAGAGTCTCCGTGCCACGCGAGCGGCTCGTTTCTTTCAGGGATGATACTGCTGCAAGACAAAATGCTATGTTTCTCTTTTCCAGCGAGACAGTAGAATTGGGCTATGGGCTTGAATCCCACCCTGCTACGATAATGAACAAGATTCAGTGGTTCGAGACGGGAAGCTGGCACTGGCGCCACTTCCTATCTGACTTCATGGACCGATGTCTAGGACTTGCAAGGCTGTCTTCTATAGCTGTACTGGCGGAGCCTCCAGCCGACTTGCGCCCTAGGGCGCAGTGGTCAAGAGAGAGGACGAAAGTTGACCTGTTCGAACGCCAGCGTCGTGAAAACCCGATCGCAACCATGTCTCGGGAGCAAGGTGCATATCTCGAGTCGCAAATCGATGTCCCTGTCAAGGTGGCAAAGGACAGCTGGCGAGATCGTTTCAAGGCCATGAAGAACAAGCACTGGTTGGGGACACTGCCATCCGAGCTTGATCCGAACCACCTACACTGGCTTAAGACAAATCAGTTCCTGAGCAAGCACTACCGACGAGATGATAAGAGCGCTGCTACGCTACACATGTTGCGGCTGAGCCGCCTCCCCTTCACCCGGTGGTACCCTAAATCAAAATCTGTCCAGTACAGAGACATTGGATGTAGTTCTTGTCAACTCTTCAAACAGAAGAACTACCTCCACGAGCACCTTTTCGTCAATTGTCCAGCGTCCAAGGCCATCTGCCAGACGATTGGTGTCCCCCTTCCATCAAAGATGGCGGACTGGATCTTACTGGAAGCTAAGGACGGCCCGCTGAACTACATTAGAGAGCTCGCCCATGCTTTGTGGCAGTTCGAGCGAGCTATGCGAAAAACTGGCCTAGTGGGTACTGACTCCGTGGTCCAGCGAGACTTCGCTCACTTGTTCACCCGAGTTTCTGCAGCATATCGTCGCGACTTGGTGGTCGTGGCTATGAGGCGGATGCGCGGAGAGGAATGAGCGCGGAGAGGAATGAGCGCGGAAGTTGTTTTTTACTCTAGGAGGATTGTTATAAAGGCAGGTACACATGACGCACTCGTGAGGTCTTCTCACGCTAAATATTCACGCTGACGTCTCTGATAAATGGAATTATGGAAAAAAAAGAAAAAAAAGAAAAAAAAGAAAAAAACCAACAACATAACAACCAAACACCTAGCTACTCCAACTTCAACTCCCCGATGTCGCAAAGACTCCATCGCGATACACACGAATCATATTCACTATCCTTATCCGAATTACACCTTCTACGATCTTTATGAGAACAAACAAAACCAACCTCGAGTCTGGATAAGACATGGAACGATTGATATGATTACTTGATCTGTTAGCCTTGATTCTCTACTACGAGACCACGACAAAGACAAGAACGAGACGAAGTGTCGACAAACCAACTGATATGCACCTCGCAGCGCACATCGCAATGATTCAGAAGTGTATGATTTATTGAACGCCAATAACCCGGCTTACTAGGTATATAGTTGTAATAAATCATAAGAATATATAAAAAACACCCAATTGAGACCTTACACCATAGTCTCTGGAATCCCGGGAGCTCTAGAATATGGTTATTTCTACTCCTGACATAACTACATACTGTACAGTATGTACTGTACTGCACCTGTAGATGACGCTCTAAACTGGCATGCGCGAAGGAAAATTGTGGTGGGGAGTCTATATGTCCAGAGATCGGTGAAGTTTCTGAATATCGAAGTCTGTGGAATGCACATTGTAGTTATGATTGCCATTCAATACTCTGAATTCATTAATTCCTTGTTTATAGAAACCAAATGCTCAATTACCGAGCGTTGACTTTTGGCGGCGGTTGGGGAGATGTCTTCAAAGCTCAGAATGGTTCGCGTCACTTTGAGTAAATGTAGACTTGTATATATAGAGCTCTAGATCGGAAGCTCCTCAGCTCCTCTGTAGCCTTCACCTCATTCAGTACAGACCGCAGTCCTTGTGTCTCTCAACAAATCTTGTTCTATTTAGCAGATCACCCTTGGAGAACAAGCACGAACTTGTTATAGTCGTCGTTGTACACCTGGAGAACATTCAGACACTGCGTTATTCTTTCTTCTCTTTCTCCTCATACTCAAGGTAACGTCGAGCTACCTCCCTTGTCTCCGAACCTGTAGCAAGACCTCTACACAACTTCATAGAACATATCCACTACTGGGCATGTTATTATATGGAATAAGGAGAAGGCCTACTTGTCGATAAGTTCCCCGAACACCTAGAACACCATTTTGAGACTCTCAGTAGATCCTATGTACAAGTTTTGCCAATTGCGTACTGTACTCTCGTGCTACGCCGAAGTCTTGTTGAGACAAGAGAGGTGAGAAAAATCATGTTGACTATGGAGACCCAAGCAGCAGGTTCCGCTACTTATATAGCCATAGATAACAGAGAGATTTGGTAAGTTGGAAACGCCAAGCTGTAGGTCCCTTGATGTTACTGGGCTATCTGAGAAACCAAGGCAGTTTCTAATACGTTCTTCGGCATGATAGACCATTGCCAATTGTGCACCATTTATCTGGTCTGCCAAACTGGGACAAGAAGAACTTATTATCTACAGAGCCGTCTTGATACACAGGACACTAACTTGATCCACATAGTTTGAAACGACTTTCAGTCCAAACACAATGTTCGCAGAGAAGCTCGTTGCGCTCTTCACACAAGGCTGATTCGAAAACAGCCAGTAGAGCGATAAAGGACAACCTTCAATTATGTTCAATAGCTGCATGGTAATCCTAGCAGCTGACCTCGTTTCGCTTTCGCACGGCACCGAAGCTTATACCTGCATGCCAAGCCATAGATACGGCACACGATGCAGATTTGAGGTGTGTGCTCGGTTAGATTGTGCAAGCGTGTGCACAAGCCAAAAATCTCAAATTTGTGATACATCCCTGAGATTTGTGATTCGAATCACATGCTAGAACGACATGAGTTTATTGCAATCATGTCATCTCTTGTAGACATGCTTACTCACATTTATTCGCTAAACTACTGCTGTTGTAAATATCAATTCTAACCAACTAGAGCTTACTAAGTTTAACTCCTTCAACGAGGTCGCCACGTCTCTCTCTCAGGACTCTCCTCAGAATCTTGCCAGATGCGTTCTTGGGAACCTTGTCTACCAAGACAATACCCCCATGTAGCTGTTTATGCTTGGGGAGCTGGCTGTCAGTCCAAGATCGCAACTCAGCAGCCTTGAAACCGCTCTTGGGAACAACAAAGGCACGGGGGGACTCGGTTCCAAGCTTCTCGTTGGAAACACCAATCACAGCAGCGTCAGCAACAAGCTCGTGGCTCAGAAGAAGATCTTCAATTTCAGCTGGAGCAACCTGCTTCCCCATACTCTTGATCATCTCCTTGGTTCGATCCACCACCATGACACGTCCTTTGGCGTCAATAAAACCAACGTCTCCAGTCTTGAACCACTTGAGATGAAACCAGGGAACGTGGGGATCATAGCACTGCTCGAAAGAGACAGAGTCGGCATGATCGTCGTTCAGGTAACCCAGAGTCACTTGGGGACCTCGTACATAGATATCTCCAATAGGTAGTGTCTCTTTGGAAGGATAGGCGTCATAATTTTCAATCAAAATAGGAGCCTTCTGTAAATCCTGACCTTGGCCCCGAATTCGAATCTCGGTGTTGGCAACAATCTTGCCACAAGCCTTGATGTGGAGGTCGGGGTCCAAGGGATCAAAAGTCGTGCACGTGGGTGAGGTTTCGGTCAACCCCCAGCCCTGAATGATTTGGAGACGTGGAGCGTCACGGGACTGACCAGCAGACTCAGCAGTGTTGGCTGATGTGATGCCTGCTGCCGCTGGATCAGCCACATGGGCCCGAATCGAGCTGAAGAAGCCGGAGTCCCGGGACTTGGACTTGTCTCGTGAAGTTATTGTCGGCTGAATAATACCATCGGGGCTTCCTGTAATGGCGGTCAGGAAGTCACGTGCAGCCTTTTCTCCTAGAGGAGCAGCTCCGCAGCAGACAATACGCAAATGGGCTCTCAGAGACTCAGAGAACTCTTTGACAAGTGGATGGTTGGTCAGCAGGACTACTAGAGGCGGTACGATGGGCCAAGAATTCACTTGGAATTGTTTCTGGGCCTCCAGAAATTCTTTGATTTCGAATTTCTCATGGAACACAGTGGTGCTGCCCACGTAAGGGGCCATAATCAGAAACTTACTCAGTCCGTAGAGATGGGAGACGGGAATCACTGCCGAGGCAATTTGCGACGCTGTGTCTCTGTTTGGAGCAGACTTTTGGCACACTTGAATGCAGCTGGTAATGTTGAAGTGGGTGATTTTGACTGCCTTGAAAATTCCTCCTGAGGTGCCGCTGCTCATGGCCAGGTACGCTACTCTGCGGTATCCAGAGTTTTTGTTGAACTTGACAGAGTCGGATTCTGGGTATTTTGGGGCGTTTGAAATCACATGTTCAAGTTCCAGAACCGCTGTCTTGACTCTAGCCATCAGTACCGCCTTCTTTGCCAGGCTGACTTTGCTCTTGCAGGCGACAATGACCTTAGGCCGCACAGTTCGCACCTGATGAGCCAGCTCGTTCAGAGTGTAAGACACAGAAGCTGGAGACACGGTTCCTCCTCGAATCAGAGCTGCCCAGTGAACGGGACTGCTGTAGATGGAGTTGGGGAAGAGGGTGACAAGTACGTCTCCAATGTGAGACTTGGGGTCGAAATTGGGCTCATAACCGGATTCTGTCAGAATTGAGGCAATCTGACGTGAGAGGATATGTTGGTTAACGTGCGAGAGAGACTCCCCGGTGGCTGCATCGATAGCACTTGTTTTGGAGCTCTTGGAATGGCCGCCCTTGACGATGAAGTCTGCAATGTTGCCACAGAACAGATCGTTGACTCGGATCGAGGAGGTATCGGACGTGTGGATGATCATTCTGCTGCTGTAACTGACTGGGAGCCATTCTGAGGGTATATATGTTGTTTGATGCGCTAGTGTCTCAATGTGGGGTTTCGGCCGAGAGTGGGGGAGAGTTGAGAATAAGCGGAAGGCGATTTTTCAAAAATGCGGAAAATTTACAGACTCAACAATAACGCCCCTAAGAACAACTCCTGCCATTTTTCATCTTTTTAAATAATCAATAGAAAGATATAGAGCCCACTTGCAACGAGTCTCGGATCCCCACAATTGTAATCACCATCTGTCAACTTTAATGGAGTAGTGTGGGGTGGAGGCATGGCCATTTTCTCTGCCGAGACATGCGGTAGCCAGTAATATAAAAGGTGAGATGTTGAATTGTTTCTACAAGTAATGATCCATTGGTCAGGCTTGTAAGCCGTCCGACTCACTGGGCCATAATGTATCGCTGATTAGTCTACTAGAGGCATGCTGCTTGTACTTGTATCTAACATGCCCTACAGAGATGCCATGACGGATCGGAAAGCAGATTTCCGGTCTGCGTAGATGGAAAAATTCTCTTCCAGGTTTCATACCTCTTCCAAAGTCAACATTGATCATTCCAGAGGTCTTGTCTCTGTTCCATGATTACTGAACAAGGTTGGGATTATGCACAGTCGGACGAAGATGGCCAACAGTGGTGAGCGACCATGTACTGCATTTTACAGTCTGAATATATCAACCAATTGGAGGTAGAACACTCTGAGTGAGATTCCAAATATTATGAATCTCCAGGATTTCTTTTTTTCTCAATAGCTCGGCGGGAAGGAGCCTTTCTCTCAGCGCGTTAGGCTCACTATCTTCTCAAGTATGTCTTCAACTAAACCTAACGGCCTTGAAGTAAAGGTTTTGGTCAACTGGAGTGTTAAATAGGAGCAAGTGTCTCCAGTATCATTATTTACTCATCTATTGTCTCCAGTCAGTCTTCTCGTCAGGGTTATTCAATCGATTGAAACCCACAAATATCTAACTTGGACCCTCAGTGCAATCACGCCCTAACTATTTCTCAACAAACCCTGCAAACACGAACTACAAGTGAAGATGGATGTATTATGCAGAAAAATACCTATATAAATACCTATACAAATTCCCCTACTACACCACATGATCCTGCCAATTTGAAATCACGTGAACCTCTCTTGCCTCCTCCCTCTTCCTGGACGTCTAGTAGCAGACTTGCTTTTGTCCTTTCCCGTTCACTTTTAGTCCGAATAGCGGTTTGTTCCATCTTCGGTGACCCCAATTCCACTCCCCCTCTAACTCTCGTCATCCTGCTGAGAGAAATGGCCGTAGAAAACCATTCCCAGCCCCAGAATGGCAAAGGCGATGGCTACGCCCGGGCTGGAGACGGGCTCATTGGACGTTTCGGCTCTGGCGGGTGAAACAAGTGCACACAGCGTCAGAAGTTGATTTATCGACATTTTTTCAAGGTGCGCGTTCAAGTGAGAGACCAAAGTAAGACCGTATTGGGCTTTATATGGCGAGCTCAAAACGTATCTCTTCTTCTTCCATCGCCGCCTTGTTTTGAACCTGGTGTCTCATTTTAGTATGGAGAGCTGAGATAGTGCAGAGTTAAAACAAAAAAAAAACAAAAAACAAAGAGTGAGGATAAAAGGGAGCATGGTTATGATCTGTGCAAGACGCCGAAGGTTGAGAGGACAAGAGAAATGGACGAAGGATGAGCGGAGACCGCCAATCACGTGATCAGCTGAAATACGACAATCAGCTGAAATACGACGGCTCCCTCTCCGCATTCCCAGTGCGTACATCACTGTCACAATTTTCAGGTGGGGAAGGAGCGGGGTGCATACAGTGGGGAAGCCTGCATGCGGAACCTTGCATTGGTGTTAGACGAGTGAGATTATGAGTTATTAGTGTGTGAGCTGAATGGGAGGAGTTGAGCTGAGTGGAGAGCTATCTATGTCTCGTGGTGTTATGATCGTTGTTGTATGTTTGATTGTTTCAGCCCCTGGGTGTCAACAGGTGCCTTTGACACAAGTGGTGCGAATGACATTCTCCATAGCTGAGATCGGACTGAAATGGGAAATGTTTACGCTTCTCAAGTTTGGTGACAGATTGTTTTGTTATCTTTCATGTTTTCCATGTTTTTCATGTTTTCCATGTTTCCCCTTTTTTTGGTAGGTGATTGACAATGTACTGTACGCAAATTGATCTCTTAAACGTCGGCTGCTCCTTCCCTAAAGCCGTCTGCCCCCTCAGCTGCCCTATTGCTGATGTTTGCAACTTGTTTTGGATGCCAACGAGAATCCCAGACCTACAGTGTTGACCGTGAGCTTTCCGTCATTCACCTAGCTCTAAATCGGAGTCCTTTACCGCATTTTGGATATGGAATTAGTCAGATTTTTAATAAGTCGCCCATGGATCGGCCACTTGCCAATGGCGGCTTCATTCGTATACAGATTCGTCAAGGTCGCTGTCATCAACAATGCCTGAGGCGGTGCTAGTAGGCGTCTCTTTGGCGCCCTAGAAAGAACAGCAATGTTGGGGTCTACAGTTGAAAAAGTAGCTTGACTGGAAATTACAGTCGTTGAAGCAGACCGGATCGAGCTTGGTGTCTCGGAACCCGGAGCAGACATTCTCGGAGGCACTATTGTCTTCATTCCCATATCTTGTCGAACTGGCTCAGCATCAACGGACTGGCAGAAACGGTGCTTCTGGTTATGGTGAAGGTAAGTCATACACTAGTCGAACTTGCACACCTCCTTGTCGCAAGACTTGGGTCTCTGATTGGCGAATGTAAACAGGTTGGCTTCATCACTGTTCGTCAGATGGTACGTCGGACCAATGCGGGTTAGCCGGTAAGCCATCCTAGCAGTTCTATCGTGGTAATTGACCCAGTTCTTCTCATTAAACCACCCGAGGAATAGCAGATCCCGGACGTTGGAAAAGGCGTGCTTTTGAAGGCGTCGTGGCGGTGGTCCAATGTCGATGAGCTTGGAGACAACTACCTTGGCGTTGAGATGGATTCCCAATTCCCTGCTAAGAATCGCAACTGGAAGCTCTTGGATTCCTCGAGATAGCTGTCCTCCGAGTGGCATTCCAGAAGAGTCTCACCACCCAGTCATCCGCCAAACCGTTCAGCAGCCACATCGGACATGTCCATGTCTAATCACCCCTCGTACTGCGGCGTAGTAGAGCAGCATGGATAATTTCCAGAAAATGGAGACCTCTTTTTAGGAGTAGGACAATATGTCAGAGATTCATAAGTCCTTGTCGTCAAGAAGTCTTATCCCGTTGGGGATGTTTAACCACCTTCTTGAACGCACCCTTGTGTTTCACTCTTGCAAGATTCGTCTAGCCCTGAACACAAGTGCCCCCGGGTCTGCAGATTACACAAAATCGGCCAGACTGTCTCTCGTATCTTCGAGCTGCTTGTCCTGTACAGTATGTACATACTTGAAGTTCCGCAGGCGCTAGATGGCAGGTTGAACTCGTCATCAACAGCCAGCACGATTGTAATACCGGCCTCGAAAAAGTTGAGACAACAGTCATCATTGACGCTCTATGGGAAAGTCCGTCTTCATCTCTCGTCACTGTCTTTATTATGCCTTTCTCTCCAAATCCGGAGAGGCACACACGAGTCAAGGTCGTTCCAACTCACTCTAGGTCACGTCCGAAGGCAAATATCCTCGTGGAACCCTGGAAATCGTGAGAACCGACCAAATACTCACTCCCCAACTCCCATGTCGATCGGCGATGGTGGTGACTTCGAGGAGGAGTGTACAGCAACTTGTCCCCAGCAGTCACGTCTCACATGCAAAGATGATGAGCTCGCGTGTAAAAAAGGTTTGGCGCCGGAGGGCTTTGTCGATACACCTATCGGTGTCCCCAATCTGTTAACATGTCGTTTAATAGATATATACGGGCTGAGGAGTAAAGATGACGACGGAGACTCCAACATGATAATCCACCATACATGTCAAGGTGAAAAGCCCGCGTGGGCCAACTGCAACTCATCCCAGCCATGGTATCTTTGGGTTTGGATAATGCATCTCCGGCACGAACCTTACACGATAACCAGCGTACTGTGATGGACAGTCTGGCAAGAGTAGAACCTCGGATATCTCCATGTAGCAGAACACGGAGTATTTGCAAGTGTTTGAGATACATACAGAACAATACAAGATATAGTAATGAGAGGGTAACATCGAATGGCACTTCCACACTACAACATATACTTGCACTGTAGCTTGTAGCTTGTCAAAGAGGAGGATTTCTTGTCGTCGATTTCAGTAGATTTTTTTGATAAGTATTTTCTCCTTCACTCCCATATCAATCAGACATGAGGTTTGATCAACGGTCCATTGAAGCACAGCAGTGAATTGTGTTTATATTTTTTCATATTTCTTTTTTATTTCTTTTTGCTTTTTTCTTCCTTTTTTTTTTTTTTGTAGCGACAATGAGTTCCCTACTTTTCGCTCTGGGTCTGTATCAAGTCACGAAACAGTACTGTGGTCACAGCTCCAGTCAGTGTAACTCACGAATGATCCTGCCAACAGCGCACTCGTTCACTCAAACATTGTCTCTCAAGTACATCCCGGTCTCTCACGCTCTTCACAACTTGTGTTTATTTTCATATTTGGTGTTCTAGGACGAGGGGCAGATCTGACGTCAATATCGCGATATCACACCTGATGGTAATGTGGCAAAACTGGTTTTCATTGTCGTCGGCATAGTTGTTTGTCCTCGTGTTGTCGCAGCAGATTGCTCGAGAGGGGCACTTGTTCTTCGAAAGGTCTCCTCAAAGTCACCGCTCAAAAAGTCAACCGCTCGCCCCGCATCAGCTTCTGGAGATTCTCCTCCTCCCTCTCGAGATTGCGCTTGTAAATCTGGACAAACTCGCTGACCTCGGCCATTTCCTCCTGCTGCTGCTCATTGGGCACCCCGTCCCCCTCGGTGGCAGCCTTGAGCGCAACGTTGGCCTCCTCGATGCGCTGCTTGAGGTTGCCAATCGACGCCAGAACGTCGGACTTGGTTCGAAGGGGCTGCTCGGCAGTGATTGAGTCGGTATGGGTCATGTTTGCCGGTGAAGAAGACCCTGCAACGTCTTTATATCGCCCCTGGAACAGCCGATATTATCGCAACCCTGCATGGTAGGAGACTGCAGGACGTCCCAGTGGTGGGTGCCGGTGGCGCCGGGCGCCGAAAACACCATTTGGTTTCCGAGCGAATAAAAAAGACCGACTCCACACCGACGACATGCGGGTATTTACATATCCCCCATTCCTCTTACCCGGGCCGCTTCTCCAACAACGGTACTTCCCCCATCCCATGTGTTAGCTCTGAGACCTCCCTGCGATCGACGTCACGTGAAGAGAAACCTTGCCCGAAATGTAAAATTTCAGGGTGGTATTGGACAGCCAAAGGAGTGGGGATAAAATCGGGGCTGTTGGTTGGATCAATGTAAAAGTTTTGGTGACAAGTCTTTGTTTGGGAATTGCGGGCTAGTGAAAATCTCCACCTGTTTGGGTTAATTATGACCCAGTTAGGCGGAGTGACGAGAAAAAGGGAAAGAGGGAAAGAAGAAAGTCGATAATTAATGGAAAAGAGGCTTGTTTTGGGGAGAAAAGTTGACCAATTGCCTTGAAATGGCTCATATTCATATTCTCTAAGTCTCTGCACTCGTATGTTGATCGGTTTTGTTCTATGAAGATGCCACTTGGGTGATTGAGAGATACTGAGAAGGTGCCTTTTTGGAGACTATTGGATACCAATACTTTGAGACTCTTGTGTCAATTTACGACAATATAAAACCGTGTCTGTTCTTTCCGGTTCATCCTACTTGCCTATCTACAAGTAGAGGCAGATTTAGTATGGCTGAAGCTGGGAAGTCTTTCAGGCAGAATTGTTGCGGAACAGAGGGCTTAGAAGTTCACCACAGATTCCTACAGAATTGATCTACGGCACACCTATCTGTCCCAAAACCATCATCTAAGCTCTTACGGGTACGACGCTGTACTTGTTGCAACATTGAGAACCAATTTCCCCGTCAAGCTCCATCAAACATCCGTAGTCCGCTACCCTCTATAGTATAGGTGCTACTGTTGAGTGGCTAGATGCATCCGTGCATCGGCAAAGCACTGGGCTAATGTCTGCACGGCTACTAAAGTGCACAGCTGTCGCTAGTTCGAACTTCTCATGTTGATCGCATGTTTGGTTTCGTCGGTCTACTATTTCCGCACTATGAAACTATGAAATCCCTCTAACATGCCATAATCGTCATTTACATGCTTACCCATCCTGTCAGTACAGCCGTACAGAGTCAATAATTCTGTGTACTCACCTTGGATGAGCTCAAATGAACCTCGCTCTTGTAACTACAACCACGTTTTCAGACTAGCAATGGAATCTCGTTGCTCTGTACCAAAGCGCTAATCTGGCGCTATTTTAGCACCAGTACGAGTAGGGAGTTGATAAAGTGGATAGTCCGCTGCGTATTGCAGGTTATCAGCCATTGCTACTGGCCCAACTGAACAACTGGTTTCAGATCTGTGATTCGCACTACGTACACACTATGAGTTAGCAGAGCCGGTCTAAATGATCATCTCGCCTCAGTTACTACGTCCATACTTTGCCCGAGCTGGTACCCCACCGAAGAAGCTGAAAATTACAATATGATCAAGTACACACAAAATGAATCTAAACCAATGTGTCGCCGAGATACCCAGGAGGAGGACAATTGCTTTTATTGGAGCCTGCGGGTTCATCTTTCTGTCCCGCATCTCAGGTAAACAGCTCGAAATCTCCTCCTCTCATTGTGAAAGACTCCAAATCACTTCTGTAGAACCGCAGCTTTTGCTCCAGTCTCATGACATGGCGTTCATATTCGTCACGCATCTTTCGGGCTTCCTGCGGATCCCACACACCCCAGCTCTTCATTCGGTCGTACTGGTATTTGGCGTATCTAATGAGCTCCTCGACATGCTTGACGGCCAAACAGCACTCGAACTCGCTGTTGGACGTCATACGGTCGACTTTGCCGTTGTAATCAGGCGGGTAGTAGTTGGACGTGGTCATAACTGGGTGGGTTGCTAGGGTTACCACCTCAAGATATATATACGGCCAGCTAAATCGGACACTAAGAGCTAAGAGCACACAGATTATTATACCAAGTGCACACCATCTAGGTTGAGTTGATAGACACTAGGTTGTGGGCCCTTGTGCTGTAACGCAAGATAGAGCGGGGTCAGAATCTGTCATGTGCAGCAGCATGCTATATAATAAAGCGTTTGAGAACGTTTTCCGGGGTGTTTCTTGGTGTCAACCGAGTAATATTGCTCTCGGCAAGGTATTTTACCCATGTGCAGATTTTGGAGATTTTGGATCGTCTCTAGCCCGCCTTCCTTCTGTCTGATTAACTCAATTCTTATATCAATCAAATCCTCTATTCTGGGTGGATCGGACGGTGAAGCCCTCGTCTCTCTACCATTACTCTAGCGCATTTTACAGACGTCTCAAAAACCATTGTTTCCATAATAAAAAAAACATCCCGTTTGCATCGTTTTATGCAGCCCGAAACGTCAGTTGGATATTACCTTCCCTGCAGTACATGTCTAAAAACGCATATTTTCTGCGAGATCGCTCGGCAACAAAGACCTACCAAATCGGGCTAAATTGGCCGATAGTGCGAGGATCCATGGAACTGAATACGTGAAGAAAGAGTGCGGAAACGGTAATTCGGAAACGAAATCATCGGAAACGGGGTATTTTCAGCCACGAGGTTCATTTCGAGTCTCGCAAATCCCCTCAAACTAACTCCTAACCGCCCTTTAGCCTCTGTCAGCCCTGTCGTATGTCTTGAATGTTGTTGTTTGCGCGTGACACGTGATGCGACGAATATCTGCCATGGTTGCGTCTGGTGGCTTTTGTTGTCCACTTGATGTCTTCTCAATTATAGGCTGCTTCTGTAAGCAAGCCAGATTAGCCCTCCAGGTATCGTTGGTGGTCGTTGGCGAGTGCTTGAAATCGGGGTTGCGTATACTCATTCGAATCGGCTCGATCGGTGAATCTCATTTTCAAAGCTGGATTTCGTTTATCTCTTTTCTATGTCGTACTAATCCCGTCGTTTGTTCCGGCTTCTACAATACCATGGTATACCCCTGAACCTGCAAACCTACCCCTGAACGCTACAGTGCGGAGATTTACTTGAAAAAGGAGGTGATGGGAGAGTGGTGGAAGATTCCAGCAGTTTCCAACCTTCTAGCTCATCGCTCGTACTACTGATGCGACTCGTTGTATCCCAGATATCACATCACATTATCACGAGAGGAACTTTCACAGGTGCCTTTGGCCAGTTTGGGTGATGTGGTAGGTGACAGGAACGCTGGAATACAAGTAATTAGAACGATTATGATGGCTTCTGCGTTTGCATAGAGTTGTACAGTGTTTAATGAGTGGACTGCTGGGCAAATATGGCATGAGACTTGAGGACTTGGGTACGTGTGTCTGTTTGGCGTATGGACTGAGGTTCTCGCTACTTGCAGTGATGAAATACCAGTCTTTCTACCAACTACAAGTGAACTGGTCGAAACATGATATCGTTCTGCAAACGCCTTTGTGAATGTTCATCTCCGTTCGCGCCTGTGCTCATCTCTGTTGTAGTCTCGATTACGGGCTCCACAAGTCCCTAAGAATCTCAATTAAGTAAGTCAGTTCAGCGGCTTACCAGCAAGAAAGTCCGTGTAAAGCACGGCTCCGGGGATGTCGCCGGTGATTTCAACTACCTCAGACTCCTTGGTGTATCGAGCTCGTCCGACGGTGATCTGGCTTCGGTCGTTATCATAGATGACAAGAGCTCGAGAAATGAGAGCAGGGCCGGTTAGCAGAGTCCCCTTGTTGTCAGAAACCACTCGCAGATTATGGAACCGACAGATTCCATCAGAGTCCTTTGTAACGTACACGGTAAGATCCAGATCAATGGTGGTGTATCCAAACTCGTAGGTGAGAGTGGGTTTGGTTCCGCACTTGAGCTCCCAACCCTTGCTTCCCCATCCTCCGCCGTTGGCTCGAGCCACAGCTCCAAGGGTGTTGTTGGTGATGTCAAAGTTGACTCCTCCAGTGTCCAGAACAACCGCATGGTTTCGCTCTCCCTTGATCTTCTCGCCGTTGACGAGCAGACCCGAAATGGGGATACCGTAGGCACCGTAACCACTGGTGTTGATGGTGGTCAGAGGTCCCTGGTACTTTTTCTTGTCAAAGCCTCCGTAGTAAACGTTGGTAACGGTGCCCTGGGTTTCCTTGGTGTCGTAATTGACGTAGTACTCGGAGTTGAGGGAGTAGATGGGTCTGGAAATCTTTCCTAGCGCAGCCAGACCCTGGACGAAACTACCCTTGATATCTTTATTGGGAGACTGGCCCCAGATACCGAGGTTATGTCCCTTGTAAGCGATGTTGTCGCTACTGACGTAGACGTTGAAGTCCTCCAGACTTACTCCGACGTAAGAAACAGTATCAAAGCCCCAGTTTCCCGATCCTCCCCAATCCTCGCCCGGCTTGTTGTATCTCCAGGTAGAAGATTTGGAGTTATCGAAGCTGGAGATACACTCATTCTTTTCACAAGAGGTGGAGTTGGCACCGGGCACCCACAGTAGAGGAGAGCCAGTGTCGAAGGTAACACTGACTTTCTGGGGAGGGGTTCCAATCTCAAGATCAGCCTGGTAGTAAACACCCTCAAGCGACATTGATCCATGTAGAGGCTTGTCTTGACGAGCCTCTAGATGGGCCTTGATCGCAGGAGAGGCGTCCTTCAGATCGCGGGCCTGAAGAGGGAGACCGATGACAGCAGCAGAGACCACAGAGGCCAGCAGAAGGTTGGATAAGATCATTTTCCGAGTGATTGTGATGTAGGAAAAAGACTGGAGCAATTCCAGCGTTTATATACAAAGCTGGTCCATCTCACCGGGCCTTCGATCGGGTGGATAGAGTTTTTAGACAGTATTATGGGGAGGCAGAGTGGGTGTGTATGGCTTAGTCGTTTCGAATCATAATAACAAAAAGAAGGTACTGGTGAATTCTCCTGGCCTCAATTGTTTGAAGTATCAAGTTTCCATGTCTCCATCTTCACTCTACCGGGCACAATCTACATGTACAAAATTCGCTCCAACCCGATTAACTTCTCACCAGCGTCAATATAAGCAAGGGTCTTAGAGAGAGTTGGATCTCTGAACCGTCAACCTGTGGCGAGGAGGTATTTGATTGTCGACTGGCCAACCCAGATTCGGACGTGTGGGGGTAGTAAATCATCGTAGAGGAAGCTGTGCTACTTGTAGTACAGTAGGTCACCTAGGTCTTCTCTAAGGCAAGCGGGCCTATGAGTAGACATGTGTGACTCCAACTTGAAGTCGAATGATCTCCAAAGTCAACTAAACCACCTCGTCTTAAATCTAACTCTACCATCTCAATCGGCTCCAATGAGTGATGCTGTGGGGGAGATGAACCTCTGTTAGACAATATGGAGTGTCGACACTAAGCGTATCTAGAGCTGCTGACTAAGACAAGCTGTGAAGAATGCGTAATGGTTATTGCAACTGTTTTGGTTGTTGCACCTGTTTTCAGAACTGTCCAGGGATCCGTTCCAACCATGGATCAAACTCTGGATGTTACATTGTCATGCACCATGTACAGATCACCAGAGTAAGTTCCATGATATTTCGGGCGAATTCAGGTGCAAAGAGTTCTTCTTCATTTGTATGAGATGGAATGGAGGCTCTCTGGCTACTCTCCGTATCTATTTTTCTCTGTCTGGTGTCTCATCTCTCTCCATCTAGAGATTACTGGTTCTCAACCGTATATCGAACCCCCATAAACCATTATTGAACCCAATAAACCTCGCAAATCCTCCGGACGGCTCTACAAACCTCTGCTGACTGCGTTTATTTCCTACCTCATCTTCTTTCACAATTGCTTGCTCTGAATACGCTAAGTGATGGTGTTTGACCACCAGACATGTACGAGTAGAAAAGAACATGAGAAGCTGGCTGTACCAGTCCTCGTCTTTTTGTAAGGCCTCAAGTTGTTAATAAAGCAACATTGAATCAAATCGAACACACGCAGTTTGGTCCACACATGTCACTCTTCACTGACTCCGCTCTCTTCTACTCTTCAATTACTTATGATCGCCTTCTCACACCAACCCCAACCCCAAGCAGTCTCTGGAGCGCATCTTTGTATAATTAATTGAGGGCTCCAGCTCCTGATTGTTGTCCTTTATCCAGATTAGTGTCTTACCGTTCCTGGGTCATCTCTCCTGTTCTCAGATCTTCTCTCAGATCTACACCCCTCGGTTTAGTTCCAGCTCTCTTTGGACCTGAAGGATTCAAAAAGCAATTCCTAGTTTGGGAGCAAGCCATTCAGCGACCGGCAGAAAGCCGTGGTAGAAGCAGTCTTTCATGGTATGTTTGAGCGAGTCTGAGAAGCAGAATCTGAGGTGTTTCTACTACAAGTAGCATGTACGGGTATCGCGACTGGAAAAGCACTATTGAAGCTTGACTCTTGTGAAATACTCGCTTGTCTATACAATTAACACATCAGAGGACTCCTTATTTCTTTCTTTCTTCCTTCTTTCTTCCTTCTTTCTTCCTTCTTTCTTCTACCGATTTCGGGATTCGAAGGAGGTGAGCGTGGGAGGTGGGTGAGACATGAGAGAGCCGGAATTGACCCACAAATGAGACAGAATCTAGGGGGGATAGATGCGGTCTGGTATCCATTACTTCATAATAACAATTCTACGGTATTGTAACTCTACAATGTTGATTGTCTACCAGAGCCCATCAATATCCTTGACTTTTCGTCAGAGCTAGACCTGAATGTTGCAGCAGCACTACCATCTGGGATTATAAGTTGCTGCTCATTCCAAGTATGGGAGATTTACCCTTGCGGCGAGTGAGATGTTTAATGAAAAAAAGAGATCTGATCGAAGCGGGTGTGTCTGGTATAATATATGGGTCGGTATAATATCAGGCCACAGTAGGCTACAGTACTCTATGTACAGTACATGTACTTCCAGTAGGAGGTAGATGATGGGCTAGACTTCTCCACGAGAAACAACCATCCACTTCCCGTACATCCCTCAATCAACCACCACTTCTCTTGCAACCCTCGCACTTATACTTGATCATTAATCTATGGCACATATCCTAAACAGGAACTCTCAACCCCTTGGCCAGTCGGTCGAGCATTCCCTTGTAATACGTAATGGACTTCTGAGCCAGCTCAATTCGGTCGTGGGCGTAATAGATTTCTTCCTCTTGCTCTTCCGTCGGTTCTCCTCCCTGGGCTTGGACTTTCTTGTTCAGCACAGCCAGGATATCTTGGTCGATGGAGAGGTCCTTCTTGTGGTAGTCGATGAGCTCTTGGAAGTACTCCTTGTTTTGGGGAGGGAAATGAACTCCGGCTTTGTCGCCGTAATAAAACTGGTTGTTCAATTCGTCAGCCATATGTGTTGAAGCAGATATCTACAAGATTCAACAGCAAGGGGGATATACGATTAAGAACGGGCCTAAGGAGAACCAATTGAGACAACGAGTGCACATTGTGCTCGCAAATATTTAGCAACAGTTACAGTTCCAAGACGTTCTTCTCTACAGATTGCGATTGAGAAGTAAGAAGTAATATTAATTGAGTCAACAAAATGATGCTGGCGGAGTGGATTAGAGAAGAGCAGCGGCAACGGCGACGAGAGCAACGGCACCGGGCAGAACGTTGGAGGCTCCATTAGCCTGGGCAACCAGAGTCTCCGAGGGAACAGCCTGAGAAGGAGCCTCGGGAGAAGCTCCGGTGGCTGAAGGAGCCTCGGACTGAGCACCAGGGGCAACAGAGCTGTGATCGTGGTCATGATCGTGATCGTGGTCGTGATCGTGGTCGTGGTCGTGATCGTGGTCGTGGTCGTGGTCGTGATCGTGGTCATGGCTGTGCTCTCCTGAAGGAGTGGGAGCGGCGGAGGCTGCGGCGGAGGTGACGGGGGAAACGGCTTCCTCGTGGTCATGGTCGTGGTCATGTCCCTCGTGGTCATGATCATGGTCGTGATCGTGGTCATGTCCCTCGTGAGAGTGGTCATGGTCGTGATCGTGGTCATGGTCGTGATCGTGGTCATGGTCGTGATCGTGGTCATGTCCTTCGTGAGAGTGGTCATGGCTGTGCTCTCCGGAAGGAGCGGGAGCGGCAGAGGCTGCGGCAGATGTGACGGGGGAAACAGCTTCCTCGTGGTCGTGGTCGTGGTCGTGGTCGTGATCATGTCCCTCATGAGAGTGATCATGATCGTGGTCATGGTCGTGATCATGGCCCTCGTGAGAGTGATCATGATCGTGGTCATGGTCGTGATCATGGCCCTCGTGAGAGTGATCATGATCGTGGCCATGGTCGTGGTCATGGTCATGATCGTGGTCATGGTCGTGGTCATGATCGTGATCATGGTCGTGAGCGTGATCATGACCAGCGTGTCCATCGGCAGCAGCGACAGGGGTGGGAGCAGGAGCATCTCCGTGGTCATGTCCCTCGTGAGGAGCAGCAAAGACAACGGCGGCAGTAAGAGCAATGGCAACAGCAGAGAACTTCATGGTGGCTGTGTGGAGTTAATGAACGACTTGGACTTGAGTATTAACATCTTCTTGGGCACACCGAGGGGTATATATAGCTTGTAGGAACCACGTCTTCCTGGTCGCTGCTCATTCGGCTCGCGAGCAATTTCAACCGGCTGCTCGAGCAAATAAACCATCAAGGTATTCTCCACTGGAGCGAGACCAATGTCCGTTTGTTGTCGAGGTGCATACTGCCAAGCTGTGGACGCTGTCATATGCAGATTGCGGTGGCCCGAGTGGTTACCGAACCGGTATCAAGGTGGGTGGAATCTCGCGGTTGCCGCCCTCACAGACCAGAGATTTATGGCCCCGCATATGTGGTATCACAGGTCCGATTCCAACGTCTTCACTGCGGAGTTGTTCGGGTACCTGGTAGGTGATAGGAACAAGTTGAGTCGGGATGTTGGAAATTAGAGTGGGAAATAAGCAGTCGTCTAATAGTGCATAACCACAGCAGGTCAAGACACCTTGTCTCATCCGACTCCTGGCCCAAAGAGGAAAAGTGTGGAGTGCCACCAACCGTTTGGTGAGTAGGTACTTGGAGGTTTTGCCTTGTTCATATGCCGCGGCTTTTGTTTGGATGGAATGTGTTCCTGGAAATGAGCAAATGGTGCCGATGCACAAGGGTGCGGCTTGCATTCCGGAATGTCCGACACTGCACTTTGTCTGATCGCAAGCCTGCTCCCGTGTCTACCTTGAAGGGGCGGGAAACAGACGGGACTTGTCTGCCGGGCCGACCTATCGTCTTGATTTACTTCTGGTGGTGGTCTCAGACGTCAGACAGGGATACGTGCGACTGAACGATACCATACGATTCCAATGCACTGTGGTTTCAGATGCCCCGCTTGATATGTACTTTCTGGAAGGTCTAGAATCGAAATAACCACATCTCAGCTGCATTTGTCTCTTGTCTCAGCGCATTACGATACGAACATGATCACTGATCACTTGATCAACATACTACCAGACGATCATCACTGTATACAGTAGCACACTCACATGTGCCCGTGTGTAGCCTGTCACATTTGCATAGTACATACCAGGTTGTCGTGCCGCCTCACAACGCGCCTGCTCTCGACAAACTAGTCTACAGAAGTGGTCTTTCAGACATGGCCTTTCAACTAGATCAGTGACTGCCGACATCCATTCCGTGCATTGCAATCTTGTCTAAAAACATGTACCTTTACCTTGGTGCGATAGGTGTACCTTGGTAGGCATCGCGACCCCAGTGCAGTACCAGAGGATATCCCTGTGGAGCTGTGGAGGGTCCTCCATTTTATTTTTGTTGCGGCTCTCTGGCCAGGTCTTTCGCAACCGATTTTCCGTCGCTCGCCTGCCATGTTAAAATGACAGCTTGCTCTAGCCCCTTCTGAATCTCGTCAGAACAGGCTTGAACAAGGCCCAGGCAAGAAGCCCAACAGTAACACCGGTAAAGGCGTACACAATGAGCTGGTCCTTGAACGACTCGCGCTCAAAGCACGCCGTGGTCACGTCCACCTCGCCCTTGGCCTCCTTGCAGATGGTCAACTTCTGGTCCAGGCAAAACTGTCGGGTGCAGTTGTTGCACGTCAGCAGCTGTTCTTTTTGTGGTCGCAGCTCGATGATCTCGTACTCGCCGAAACACTCGCATTTGCAAAACTCCGTGTATGCCAGCGCTGGCACCACGAGCAGAATCAATGTAAGAGTGAGCGATAGCAGTTTCATTGTGCAAAAATGTGGGAAAGGTGGGCAATGTGGGAAGTGTGGAAAATGTGGGAGAATGTGGTGTCCGGATCACAGCGTTGGTGCCGTAGAAAAAGCCTGGGAGCACAAATATCTGTTGCAGTCACGGCTGGTCGCACTTGTACGGAAATATGGAGAGGGAAGACATGCATGTTGGTCGATTAAGTCACATTTAGTTGGCTTACCTAAGCAGCCTCGGCGAAAACCTCCCCGCCCGCCCCCTTCCCCAAAAAAAATCGAGAGCGGTTCAATCGTCTTATGATTCATTGGAGCTGCTCTATGACCGTATACAATAACACTTGGCTTGTCTCTCCCAACCCCGGATCAACCAGCCGCCCACCATCACTATCGCCACCTGTACATTTTAGCCTTTTGCTATCATCGAGGTGCCAATTGGAGTGGCGCTAGGAGCTTGAGTAGTGATCGGATTGGGGATATTGCAGTCTTGATCGATACATCTGTGGCACATCAGTGTCAGTTTCGGCCGTCTACCCTCCATCACCTCTCCATCACGAGTTATCAGCGTCCAGTTGTTGACGCCACTGAACTTTAATTTCCGCTCACTACCTCCACTCCCACCCACACACATGACCATCACCACTCAACCTCACCTCACAAAACCACACATCATTCATCTACACACACCAAAATGACGACAGTTGCAAGCAACCAGGTGGGTCCCTCTTCCTCGTCAGGCATTGCGCCGTTCTTTGCGCAACAGATTGAGGACTTTGAGCTGAAAATCAACAAGAAGCTGCAAAACTTGCGACGGTTGGAAGCCCAGCGAAACGCCCTCAACACCAAGGTGCGTCTGCTCAAGGACGAGCTCCACGTGCTGCAGGAGTCGGGCTCGTACGTCGGCGAGGTGATCAAGATCATGGGCAAGCAGAAGGTGCTGGTCAAGGTCCACCCCGAGGGCAAGTACGTGGTCGATATTGCTCCCGACCTCGACATTAAGAAGATCACGCCCTCGTTGCGGGTCTGTCTGCGATCGGACTCGTACACTCTGCACCAGATTCTGCCCAACAAGGTCGATCCTCTGGTGTCGCTGATGATGGTGGAAAAGGTGCCTGACAGTACCTACGACATGGTGGGAGGTCTGGACCAGCAGATCAAGGAGATCAAGGAGGTGATCGAGCTGCCCGTCAAGCATCCCGAGCTGTTTGAAAGTCTGGGTATCGCGCAGCCCAAGGGAGTCATTCTTTACGGACCCCCCGGTACCGGAAAGACCCTTCTTGCACGAGCTGTGGCGCATCACACCGAGTGTAAGTTCATTCGAGTGTCTGGTTCCGAGCTGGTGCAAAAGTACATTGGAGAGGGTTCTCGAATGGTTCGAGAGCTCTTTATCATGGCCCGAGAGCATGCCCCAAGTATCATCTTCATGGACGAAATTGATTCCATTGGTTCTGCTCGAACCGAGTCTGGAGGAGGCGGCGGCGGTGGCGACTCTGAGGTTCAGCGAACCATGCTGGAGCTTCTCAACCAGCTGGACGGTTTCGAGTCGTCCAAGAACATCAAGATCATCATGGCCACTAACCGTCTTGACATTCTGGACCCTGCTCTTCTGCGTCCCGGTCGAATCGACCGAAAGATCGAGTTCCCCCCGCCCACCGTGGAGGCTCGAGCCGACATTCTGCGAATCCACTCACGACGAATGAACCTAACCCGAGGAATCGATCTCAAAAAGATTGCCGAGAAGATGAATGGCTGTTCGGGAGCCGAAGTCAAGGGAGTGTGCACAGAGGCCGGAATGTACGCTCTGAGAGAGCGACGAATCCACGTGACCCAGGAGGACTTTGAGCTGGCTGTGGCCAAGGTCATGAGCAGAAACGATGCTTCCGAGGTTTCTGTTGCCAAGCTGTTCAAGTAAGCACTGGTTTGTTGGTGGAAGGGGTTCGTTGGAGTCACTCTGTAAGCATACTTCTTGGAACATCATGGAGGATATATAGTAATGTCATGTTATGATTAGAAGAGCGTGCTTGTGAGATAGGGGGACGATGTGGAGCAGTACAAGAGTGTTCAAGTGATGGCACGGAGATGGAGGTTGTAACTCAAGGGCGAAAGTGTGTTCAGTGGTAACTACAAGTACGAATAACCTGCTTCCAGTGAAGATATCCTGGATAATGAATCTCATCATATCGTAGTCCCCAAACGACAGTGATACTACCCTATCAGAGCACATGTTCTGGCCGCTTTACAGCGCAGACAACCACTCAGACAACCACTATAACAGCCTGTTTCAGCCACAAGAGCTCGTCTCTGAGTCCAAGTAAACATTCGACAATCTGTGCATTGGTCACGCGCACCGCAAAAGTGTATATTTTAGATGAAACTTGCGCCAGTTATCTATCAATACCTTTGTAAATCAAGCTGTATAGTTGCAGCTCTTTTCTGATGTTTAATATTCGCTCTCATAACTCGTTCATCTCTCCACTCCGTTTTTCCGGCCGTTTAAATATTCAGGTAACCGAACAAACTTTGATTCGTTTTGGGTTGCGAGGGGGTGTGGAGGTCCCGGAGACTTGTAGTCTGTAATATAATTGGACAGTCTTCTAAATTGGTGGGGGAAAGCGTGCAACATATGTTGGTCTCTTCCGGCCAAATCCTGTCGTTTTTCTTGTCGTTTTTCTTGTCGTTTTTACCCCATCTCTCTTGTACGAAATTCCCCTCCCCTCACTTTCTCCTGAACCCGTGATGCACCCTCCCAAAGGTTATTTTCTGCGATAACCGAATCGCCGTGCAACATGATTTGCAACCTGTACTAGTACTCGTACTTACACACCATCATCATCACGATCCGAAAAGATGACCATTCCACACACCAAAACCATTTGCGTCTTTTGCGGCTCTTCTTCGGGCAAAGATGAGTTTGTGACCAAGGCTGCCGACAAGCTCGGAAAGCTGTTTGTTGAAAACCAATGGGGACTCGTCTACGGCGGAGGAACGACGGGAATCATGGGATCTGTGGCCCGAGCTGTCGCTACCCGAGGTGGCTACGTCAACGGTATCATTCCCGAGGCGCTGATCCACAAGGAACAAAACAAAATCAATCCTCCCACCGTGGAGGAGTACGGACAGACAACTGTGGTGCAGGACATGCATACTCGAAAGCGGCTCATGGGCCAGGAGGCTGATGCGTTTGTAGCCCTTCCCGGTGGCTACGGAACCGCAGAGGAGCTGTTTGAGGTCATTACCTGGAACCAGCTGGGAATCCACTCCTGTCCCATCGTGCTGTTCAACATCAACGGTTTCTACGATGGCCTCATTGAATGGATCAACAAGGCCGTGGAACAGGGGTTCATTGGCAACGGCGCTCGAGACATTGTTGTTGTAGGTGAGACGGCCGAGGAGGTCATTGAGAAGATCAAGGAGTACAAGGTCGCCGAGGGACGGTTCACCCTCGACTGGGGAGACCAGGGCCCTAAAAAGTGTGACCATTAGAGAGTGCTAATTAGTAGATATAATAGATGTTGATAGATAAGGTCCCTGCCATTGCTAGACTCATTGATCTCATTGACTATTTACTATATACTATTGGACATTGAAGTTGGACTAAACCATTACTCCTTTTTGGGAGGAACGTAGACATAGTCTCCGCTCTCGGTCTTGTCCAGCAGACCGTTTCCAAACAGCTGCTCAAACATGTCCTGAGGAACCCAGCCCTTGGTCTGGAAGAAGGGAGTGGACATGGCCTTCTGGTTCCACTCGGCAAAGTCCTTGGCCTGCTTCTCATACTCCTCGTTGGTCCAGTGGACAGGGAACTCTCGCTCCATACCCATGATGGGGGTCCAATCCTGCTGCAGCTTGATCATCTCCTCCGACAGATCAAGGTGGTCCTCGAGATACAGAGGGTTGAGGGCGAGTCTAACAGGCTCTGACAGCCGCTTGACTCGAGGAGAGAAGGAGTTGATGAACTCAGGAGCCTCGTTGTTGAGCAGGAACTCAAAAGTGAAGGCGTTCTGGGTCTGGGCAATCATGTAGTTGACCTGTGCCTTCTCCTGGTCGCTGAGCTGGTCGTAGTTGGGAATGTCCTCGGTCTTGAACAGCTTGAGGCCTCCGTATCGCACATAGTCGGGAGTTCCGATCAACAGAGCGGGCTTAATGGAAGTGTTCTCAAAGTCGACCAGAGCAAGAGAAGACTCGGCAATATCCTTCTGGCCTTCAACAAGCACGTTGATAGGGTGCAGGTCACCAAAGCCCATTCGGGCAGAAAACAGGTTGTCATTCTCAACCTCGGGTCGCAGGAGAAGCTGGGAGGCAAGCTGCTGGTACTTCTCGTAAGTGGCGGTGGCAGCAGCAACCACGGCGGGGTTTCGGTCGCCGTTCTTGGCAAGCTCAGCCAGGTTGTGCAGGTTGATGGCAGCAGTGGCCTCAATGTACTCCTCGGCAGTCTCCCAGGGGCCTCGCAGGGGCGAGTCCTCGGGCAAGGAGTTCTTCCAGAATCGAGACTCGGTGGTGGGTCCAATTCTCCATCGGTCAGCAAGCTCCTTCTTGTCGTTCTCAGCACCCTTGTAGGCCAGAACAGAAGCGTCCTTGGAAGACACGTCCTCGGTGAAGTACAGGGATCCGTACCGGGTGAATTCGGGCTGCAGCAGCGCAGAGTAGATATCAACAACGGGCTTGATCTTGGCGGCTCGCTCGGTCATCTCCTGAGCCACGGGGTTCCAGTGCTTCATCAGAGTGTCTCGGCCAGCAAAGTAGTCCATCAGGGTGTACTGAGTGTCGAGAGGGTTGTCGACAGTAGCGTTCCAGCTGTAAACCTCGGGCACAATGAACTTGTTGTTGGCCACCTTCTCTCGCACAAAGTCCATGGTGGCAACCTCGGACTGGATTCGCTTCTTTCGGAAGAGCTCGGAGCCCAGACCGTAGGGGATTCGCAGCACGTACTGCTTGCCGTCGTCCACATCAACTCGGTAGACTCGGTGGTGCTTGCCCTCGTGTAGCGAAGCCAGCTGGGTGACCTTGATTTCGGTCTCGGCCTCAATGGGAGCCTTACCAGACTGGGGGAGCGACTTGATCACCTCGGCAAGACCCTCGATCGAGAACCGGGTCTCTCGCTTGGCTCGCTCGGCCTCGTTGTTCTTGAGCCAGGTTCCCCAAGTGTACTTGAAGAAGGCGTCTCGGTTGGGGTCATTCTCCTCATTGAGAGAGGTGAAGACGGTTTCGGGCCCGTCGGCGGGCTTGGAGGACTGGAATCTCAGGCCGGAGGCGGCGTTCAGGCGCGGCACGGCTCGTTTGCAAGCGTATCGGAGCATGGTGAAGTGTGAGGAGAGAAAGGACTGTGAGTTCCAGCTTTGCATACTCTGGGGAAGTTAGGTTTGAGATTATGAGTGGATGACGAGAGGTGGAGGATGATCGAGGGGTGCCAGAGAGCTGAAAAAGGAAAGACATACCAATTGAAGAATTTCACGTTGATCAACCGCTCCAGAATGCAAATCGATGCTAAACTGAAGAGGTTGTAGCCTCCCCTCATGCCCCTTCTAGAGAATTCTCACTTTGCAAAACCCAACCTAGTTTTTTCAGAACTAAAACCCGAGCACCATCCATGGGCAAATGACTGGAAAATGACGGCGAGAAAACTGTAACCAAACAATGCAAAGCCCCGAGTTCAACTTCCAGACAGGTCCGCAAATAGCACCATATCTTTCCGCCGCAACGAATTTTTTTCTTCACCCCTACACTCATTTTCTGGCCACCTTGAAATAAGGCAGACTGAGACATGAGGCGGAAGTTTAACGGAGAGAACGGATATGTCCCGTGTCTGCAGTGATACTCTTAACCTGTTGGGTATGTGTAACCATCCATGGCGTGACGCGACGTGACGTGATTGCCAACCCCAATTCCTGTAACACACCACTCGCTCACCCGACACAGACATTCCCGCCGAATTGGAGACAGAACATGATTGCGTCCGCCGCTTTGGTTGTGTCTGTGTCGTTTGGATCCAAGTGATGTGTAGGAGGGAGAGTGTGTAGTTTTATCAGAACTGCTAAATAAAGTGGGAAGGGTATTTGTTAGCTATTTACTTGTACGGGTAGCTACAAGTAGTATACCTATTGCAACCACTACAACCGTGAACCTCTCAGTTATGCACCCCGTTCATCATCATTCATACATATATCTGTGAGCTGAATCTGTATCTGTCGCCATGTAGAGTCGTGATACAGATGGTAGAGTCTCGAGTAGATTGACCAAGCACAGTGTACAGTATAAGTACATACTGTAGTTGCACCTCATCCGCCTCGCTCAGGTCGCCGCTCATGCAGAAACGGGCCCGCCGGGAGAGTTCTTGTATCTTGCGGTGAGAATCTCCACACCAGTCTCAGTGACTAACAGAGTGTGCTCAAACTGTGCGGACCACTTTCCGTCGGAAGTCACAGCGGTCCAGTTGTCGGGCCAGGTCTGGTCCTTAAAGGATCCCAGCGACAGCATGGGCTCGATGGTGAAGGTGTGGCCGGGCTTCATCACGCCAACTGCCTTGTTTCGGGCGTAATGGGGCACGTTGGGGGCACAGTGGAACAGCTGGTTGATACCGTGACCGCAGTAGGTTCGGATCACAGACAGGTTGGCCTTCTTGGCCTCGTTCTCAATCACCTCGCCGAGCGATCTGTACATGACACCGGGCTTGACGGCCTCGATGGCCTTGGCCAGACACTGTCGGGTGGTTTCAACCAGTCGCACAACGTCCTTGTTGGCCTTGGCCTTGTCTCCGACGTAGTAGGTCTCGTTGAGATCGGCATGGAATCCGTCCTTGTAGATGGTCACGTCCAGGTTAACTATGTCGCCGTCCTGCAGAGGTCGCTTGTCAGGAATGCCGTGACAGATGACCTCGTTGACAGAGGTGCAAACGGACTTGGGGAAGTTGTAGTAGTTGAGAGGCGAAGGGTAGGCGTTTCGCTCCATACAAGCAGCATGCACAATGGCGTCGATTTCTTCGGTGGTCACTCCGGGCTTGATGGCGGCGGCACCGGCGTCCAGAACCTCTCGGGCCAGCTTGGACACCTTTCGCATGGTGTTCTGCTCGTCCTCGGAAAGCACGGTGATCTGGGTGGATCGCTGCACCTTCTGTTCACTGATGGGCTGACCGTCTCCAGCATAGTCGGGCTTCACAATGTTGGGCTTGACCTCTCGACGAGGATGCAGGGGGTACACGGCTCGCAGGTCGCCGGAGTAGCTGTAGTTGGGGAAGGGATCAGTGGTTTCTTGGCCAGCGGGACTATGGACCGACTTATGCAGGGCCCAGTTTCGCTTGAAACAGGTCTGGTCGCAGAAAAAGGCGTTGACGCCGGTCTTGAGACAGACGGGGCACTTGAGGCTGCCGTCGACAATCTTTCCGCAATCGGGGCCGCTGCAGGTGTTCTCCACAGAGGTCATTTTTGAGATGTCAGAGTGGTGTGGAAGTGGGTGTGCTTCTGTATGTACAGCTCTAATCTTTTCACCTATCCAGAAGCTTATTTGAGATCAAGTAGTAAGCAACTAAATATTAGAGTTAGTGGAAAGGCTAAGTAAATGACGGTCTTGCGGGAGAGCTCATGAGTGAGGTTTTGGAGGTATATTACACGCGTTTGTGGAGAAGGCGTGGAGAAGGGGTGTCCTTGGAACTGATTACTAAGCCTTTTCGCAACAGTCGGTCTCACTTTCTCAGCTTCAACAGAACCCATGGATATAAGTCCGGTATTATCATATTCCGCACCATCCGCATCATCCAATATGCAGGAATGACATATGAGCGCATTAGCAGATACCGGCACTCAGATGTAGGGATATTGATTCTAGGGTGGGTGAAGTTGCTACAAGTAGCTCTTTCTGTGGTGGACCCCGGAGATACTAGTTATGAAGAGTGGTCATGAAGAGTGGTTATGAAAAGTGGTTACGATGCTTGTTTCTCATACACTAGCTAGTCAAGTATTGATCATGATGGGTATGATGTGAGGGTGAATGGTGAGAATACACTACAGTAGATGATAAGAATGTGTTTCTGTAGCTATTCGCGATCTTCGAATATCACGCTCTTTTCTTCGATTTAATCTTCATTTTCGCTAGTTATTGTGATAATTCGAAGTAGTCGTAGTAAATCAAGTGGCACTGTACCTACCATGGCTTGTACAGGTACTTGTTATGGAATGATCTGAGTGAATCTCAACGGCAAGAGATAACGGATTCTGATTTGCGGGTCACAGAAGGAGATTCTCAACTCTCAATGGGATAGTTCCATAAGAACTTGTACTGTAGCCCATGGGTGTCCAGTTTAGATGCTGTAAGCAGAACACGACGCTCAGTTTCTGCCAGAAACTTGGACGCTAGTTGCCAAAAACTTTTAGCGATGGAAACCCTTTAAAAACTTCTCCAGAACTCTCCAGAACTCTCCAGAACTCTCCAGAACTCTCGTGGTCCTATATGTGCGAATGAACGACCTCCACTCACCGCCATTGGACAGACACAGAGAAGTATGGGGATGGTGAATGTGAACAGGAGACAGTGTAGCGATGAATACGAGATTGGTACCATCTCCAAGATCAGCCGAAAACGTTTCTGTATATCAGCTCCTTTGTTGGATTCCATGCCGACAGTCCACCACAGAAGTTGAACATTCGCTGATGCTACACCTGAATTACCTGTCCCAAAATGGCCCAAAAANAAAAAAAANAAAAAAAAAAAAAAAAGGACTCTCTTGGGTAATGTGACCAAAATCTGCTATTATTTGCGGAATTTATTAATATTCGGATGTAAAACTGATGCAACAAGTACCCTTCGCCCAAACTGTCCTACAACGAGTGCAAAACTCCTCTATCACAACTACTAACATCGACATGCTACAACACCTCCAAACCTAATCGTATTTTTTTTAGACACCAGGAAGCCTTCGTCAACAGACCCCTGTTTCCCCGAATCTGAGTAGAAAAGACGTAAACCAGGTATTCCAAACTCCAAGATCCCCCAGTAAAAAATTCGCTTCTCGAAGACTGCTCTAAAGGCACATTCACCGTTGCTTGTTGCTGTACCCAGATTGTCAACAGTAACTTTGATCCGAGGTACGTTGTGTGCGATATTGGACGAGCTATAGTCATTATCTCTGAGATCAGAAAGGCTAGAAATAGCTTCTCGAACTTTCAGTATGCCCAAAGATATACCAAAAGCTTTCTATATGTCAATATCTGCTTTTGTCACGCCCAGTCGAAGACGTTATATGCTGGACTCTATCAGATAATGTTTGGGTTGCATCGATCTCTGGTTACTGCTCAGCACGGCCAGATAATGTCGCCATATAGACATAAAACTGATACGGTAAAGATGCCAACCGGCCATTATACATCTGGATCAACCATTTTTCTCATAATATCCATCCATTGCAGTGTAAAAATGGCGACTTTTCAGCCCCTTTTTGGAACAAGTTGCTCGTAGGTCTACTCCGAAGTCGGTCAAACTACATGCCAAACCAATCCGAACTAAACAACACACGCAGCTGAGACCTGTGGCCCAAAATTCAGTGGCACACTCATTAACCCTCTAAACAATAAACATATCACGGCGCCTACTCATAAACGAACCACCACGGCCATTTGCGAACGACCCACTATTGTCCCCCGTCTAGTCTCCACGGCCGGGTAAAAAGGCTATTTTTTTCTGCACAATTTTTTCTGACGCTGCAGGACGTTTAAAAATATTCCTGTCCACTTTTCTCCCAACCACACACTTGTCCAACACCACTACACACACCATGTCGGACCAAATCGACTACGTACTTTTCGAGGAGGCCTCTGGCTACGCTCTGTTCAAGGTGCTGCTGCAGCCCGAGAACATTGGCGCCCGAGTCAAGGAGGTCCAGGAGTCTTGTACCGACTTCAACAAGTTTTCCAAGCTTGTCAAGCTGGTGTCTTTTGCCCCCTTCAAGGGTGCTGCCCATGCTCTGGAGAACGCCAACGATATTTCCGAGGGTATCTGCAACGACCACCTCAAGTCCCTGCTCGAGCTCAACTTGCCTGAGGGATCCAAGAAGAAGAAGATTGTGCTTGGTATCAGTGACAAGAACCTGGGCCAGAGCATAAAGGAGGCTCTCCCCAACGTCGAGTGTGTCTCCAACGAGGCCGTCCACGATCTCCAGCGAGGAATCCGTTTGTTTGGCGACCGGTTCCTGGAGCAGCTTGACTCTGGCGATCTTGAGCGAGCTCAGCTTGGTCTGGGCCACGCCTACTCCCGAGCCAAGGTCAAGTTCTCCGTCAACAAGAACGACAACCACATCATCCAGGCCATTGCGCTGCTGGACCAGCTGGACAAGGATATCAACACCTTCTCCATGCGAGTCAAGGAGTGGTATGGCTGGCACTTCCCCGAGCTCGCCAAGCTCGTCAACGACAACTACAACTTTGCCAAGCTCGCTCTCTACATCAAGGACAAGTCCGAGCTGTCCGAGGACTCCCTGCACGACATTGCTGCCATCGTGAACGACGATGCTGGTCTTGCCCAGCAGATTATCGACGCTTCCAAGATCTCCATGGGCCAGGACATCTCCGAGGCTGACATGGACAACGTTACCACCTTCGCCGAGCGAGTTGTCAACATCACCGACTACCGACGAAAGCTCTACGGCTACCTGTCCGAGAAGATGAACACCATTGCTCCCAACCTGTCCGAGCTTATTGGTGAGGTTGTTGGTGCCCGACTCATCTCTCACGCCGGTTCTCTTACCAACCTGTCCAAGTACCCTGCCTCTACTGTCCAGATTCTCGGTGCCGAGAAGGCTCTGTTCCGAGCTCTTAAGACCAAGGGAAACACCCCTAAATACGGTCTGATCTACCACTCTTCTTTCATCGGCAAGGCCGGTCTCAAGAACAAGGGCCGAATCTCCCGATTCCTCGCCAACAAGTGTTCCATTGCATCTCGAATCGACAACTACTCCGATGTGCCCACTTCCATCTTCGGAAAGGCCCTCAAGCAGCAGGTCGAGGAGCGACTCACCTTCTACGATACCGGAGTTGCCCCCACCAAGAACGTCGATGCCATGAAGAACGCCATGGACGAGGTTCTGGCCAACATGGGCGACGTTGAGGTCGATGAGGACTCTGACGTTGAGATGGATGACGATTCCGACAAGAAGGAGAAGAAGGAAAAGAAGGACAAGAAGGAAAAGAAGGAAAAGAAGGACAAGTCTGAGAAGAAGGACAAGAAGGACAAGAAGGAAAAGAAGGACAAGAAGCGAAAGAGCTTGGGCGGTGATGAGACTCCTAAGAAGAAGAAGTCAAAGAAGGATTAATGTAGTATATATTTAACGGATAATACAAGTGAAGATGCAAAGTTGCATACATCTGGCATGCAGTGAGGGTTGCCAGATGATGTGATTTTGCGACCGTAGAATGAGGGAAGACTGCCACAAGACTGGAATCTGAGAAATGTGATAACACCTACAAGTATCTGACATGTCTCAGGCACTACAGCTGTGCCTGTTTTCATAGGCGGTATTCTCATACAAGTTCACTGAGCCCTTATCAGGTACAATACTAAGACAAATATACTAATTGTGTTGTGGACGCATCGAAACCGCCTCTGCAACGCAGTCATGACCTCCTACAGGTACAGTCCAGCAACGCCATCATCTGCTCTCAACTCCTTCAACGCCTTTGCTGCGTCGAGCCCGAAAACTCCGGCGAGAATTCCAGTCAGGTCCTCGAACGTGTCACTCTGGTATCGCTCGAACGACTGAGTGCCCACATTCTGGACCACTAGTGCTGTGGCAGGCACCTGTGACTGCTGACATCGGGTGAGAACGGCGGCTCCTAGTCCAGATATGAAGTTTGGAGACTGCAGCAGAGGTGTGGAAGCCAGGGGGACGAGATTCGACTTACCCACATCCAGCTGGTGCACATGAACGTCAGCAATGGTGTTACCAGGTGCAAGAATGAGCGCTTGGCAGGGTTTGATTAGATCAACCAACTGTTGAGCAAACCCATGTGCCAGAAGAAGCTCATCCTGCTTGATTTCCACTAGAACCACATCTCCATACTGAACTGGCGATAGGATTACCTTGTGGGAGGTGATCAGCTCTTTAGTGACATCCTCCAGCTCGTCCTCCTCGTCTTCCTCCTCCAAAAAGTCGGTGGTAAACTTGCGTCTGTTTTCTGCGCTCTGGGCATTCTTTTTGAGCTGAATCTCGCCGACAATCTCGCCGAGATTGATGGGTTTCGATTTCTGAGTGAAAAGAGCTTCCACTACAGGAAAGAGTTTTGCTGTGGACACGAGAAGAGTCTGTGGCGAGGTTGGATGAGTGAGAGAGTTGGCGAAGAGCACGGATTTCGTGTAGGGCGACGCTTCCTGGCCGTCTTCAAATCCTTCTTCATGTCCCTCCTCGATAATGTGTCGGGGAGAGTTGACTTGGAGCCATGGTTTGAGCTGGGTTAGAAATGAATGAAAGGAACAGGAAGTGAGGTCATGGATCTGTTATCCCAAGTCACGCAATTGTAATCTGAGAGCACAACCAGATCATTTCGGTGATATGTTATGGAACAAGTCCACACAACAACATAAATGGCACTAAAAAGACGGTCTTTCAAGATCAGCAAAGCAGAAGCTGTTAAAACCCGTGTTCGTGGTCGTCACCGCAGAGTGGAATCAACGTCTGGACATGCGAGACATCACTATCATGACACTCTGACGTAGTAGCATAGCATCAATCACCAAGAGACATGACGTGAACCGGATTCATTCGCCCGAGTGAGTAGCTCATTCAAGAATGAACAGGTAACATGTCATGGTTGGATAGTGTCGGATAACATGCAATGGTTGAATAATGTCGGCCAACCCTCATCTCATCTCATCTCATCTCGCCTTCTTGGGTATGATCCAGTCGATACCGGTCAGAAACCGCCGTCCAACCACTCAATGGCAACCACTGTTGTTCAACGGCCTCCAGGCTCCTGTACTCACTTGCATTGTGTTGTATTTCCGTCTTTGGTACCGTTTCTGGCAGCGTTGGTGTGCTGGAGAGGGTGGCGCTAGGGTCTCGATAAACTCGCCTCCAAAGATGCGAGGTCTCGAACTTTGTCGAAATTGTAGGCAGTCAAATCGCCAGGCTGACCAAACGACAGATCACCACAACACAACACCAACAGACAAGATGGAAGACCAGAAAAAGTTTGAGCAGCTCTCCGGCGAGTTTGAGGTTGTCCAGCAATGTGAGTAGTGTGCGAAGCTGGCAGCAGCACGGGAACATGAACGGGGATGGAGGCTCACCAGGTGTTGGATCCGACGGAGAAGAGATGGCTGAATTGCGGTGAAAATGGGCTGACAATGGAGAGATTAGGCGAAAGCTGCAATTACACGATCCCAATTGGCCCTAACAGGTCCATGCGTGTTGCTGTGACCGATATCAGGTGATAACTGGGTAGCACTGGGGTGTCAAATCAGTTTTATGACCACCAACGGAAGGACTGAAGGACCTGAAGACGTCCAGCTGAGACCCTGGCTCGTCCGAATGAGCCGACTGAGCCGATACAATCAGTTGAACGTTGTTTCGGATTAATAGCCATCCTTTTGCAACAGATTTGTCGACATCAAGTGGGTGGTACTGAAAGGTGCATTCTCTAGGCTGACGTCCTAGCCGGTTGCTAGCGGTATATGCGAGAGAAGACCCAGGTCAGTTTCTCATGTTCTGTGGTATTCTATGGTCTTGCGGGGATTCATCTCTTCTAGATAGATGCCTTCTAAAACCCCGACGTGCTATCTCTCTTCTACCAGCACCCCGAAGCCGAAGCCGAAGCCGATCCCCAACCCCCTCTACTTCCGGCCCCGGCCACTGCCGTGCGTACTAACCCAGCCATGCAAAAACACATTGAGTCCCGGCAAAAGCTCGAGGCCCAACTACAGGAAAACCTCATTGTTGAGGATGAGTTCAAGTCCGTCAAGGACAACGCCAAGGTCTACAAGCTGACCGGCCCCGTGCTGGTGCCCCAGTCTATCGACGAAGCCAAGAGCAACGTGGAGAAGCGACTGGAGTTCATCCGCGGCCAGATCTCCACCGTGGAGGAGGAGGTTGCAAGTTTGCAAAAGCAGGCTGAGGACAAGAGAGATCAGGTGAGTTGAGAAAGGCGATACTGTTCTGGTGGGGAAATGACTGTCAAATATGGCGCACAAGATGCATAAGATGCACAAGGCGCACTGGTTTACTTCATGTTTTCTGTTATTTACATATGCACTAAATGCCAGGAAGTGGCGTGTCGGCGTTTGCCCGTCCTGCTTACTTACTAACACAGCTCCTGGCCCTGCGAGCCAAGCTCCAGGCTCCCCCGTCATAGTCAGACGTGGTGCAAGTCTAGACCTCCAATAGCGTCTCGGTTTCGGCTTCGACCTTTTCAGTATCGAGATGCTCGGGGCCAAAGCTCAGAGGCAGCAGCTCCTTGATGGTTTGCATCGTGTACTTTCCGTCCTGGGTTAGCAATCAATTGATAGAATGATGACAGTGTATACTCACCTTGGTGAAGAGATAGATGGGAATGTCGGTAGACCATTCTCTGATGCTGCGTTAGTACGGACAACCACTGAAGGCGTAGCTGTAGGCTCTGGTGCGATTTCGAACGTCAGACTAAAACACGGCTCCTAAGACAAGACAGGTTTATACTCACAACTGTCGACAAATACCGCATGGGGAGCAGACCACAGAAAGGTCCGAAGCCACTCCAATAGCCTTGAACTTCTTGTGTCCCTCCATCTGTGTTAGTAGGCAAGTAGGCACCATCACTTGATCTCCCCGTGCCCATGCTGACACTGCATCCTCTGTGTGGTGTACTCACAATAGCCCTGGTGATGGCCACTCTTTCGGCGCAAATAGCACCTCCGTAACTGGCGTTCTCCACATTGGCGCCCTGGATCCATTCTCCAGACTCGGTCAGCAGCACAGCTCCGACTCGGAACTTTGAGTAGGGCGAGTAAGAGAAGTCACGTGCGCTGAGCGACTTGTCCCGCAGGTTTTCGAGTTCGGATTTGGTGATTGACATGTATGTGTAAGAGTGGGTTGTCCTTGTGGCACTGGTACGGCACTTGAAGTGTGGGCGGTATTGTCCCAGCTGATATCATCTCTTATCTCAAAGTTTATTAATGTGCGAAATAAAACACGTATTTAATTTCAACCTTGATTCGCAACCACCACCACCACCACAGCCAACGACGTTGGGTGGCAAATCTCATGGATTATAACAGCGCGGATTTCAAGGAGATATGGGGCAAGGCCGCCGACACCGCGCTGCTGGGACCGTACAACTACCTCGCCAACAACCGGGGCCACAACATCAGAGAACACTTGATCGCAGCGTTCGGAGCGGTTATCAAGGTGGACAAGAGCGATCTCGAGACCATTTCGCACATCACCAAGATTTTGCATAACTCGTCGCTGCTTGTTGATGACGTGGAAGACAACTCGATGCTCCGACGAGGCCTGCCGGCAGCCCATTGTCTGTTTGGAGTCCCCCAAACCATCAACTCCGCCAACTACATGTACTTTGTGGCTCTGCAGGAGGTGCTCAAGCTCAAGTCTTATGATGCCGTCTCCATTTTCACCGAGGAAATGATCAACTTGCATAGAGGTCAGGGTATGGATCTCTACTGGAGAGAAACACTCACTTGCCCCTCGGAAGACGAGTATCTGGAGATGGTGGTGCACAAGACCGGTGGACTGTTTCGGCTGGCTCTGAGACTTATGCTGTCGGTGGCATCGAAACAGGAGGACCATGAAAAGATCAACTTTGATCTCACACACCTTACCGACACACTGGGAGTCATTTACCAGATTCTGGATGATTACCTCAACCTGCAGTCCACGGAATTGACCGAGAACAAGGGATTCTGCGAAGATATCAGCGAAGGAAAGTTTTCGTTTCCGCTGATTCACAGCATACGCACCAACCCGGATAACCACGAGATTCTCAACATTCTCAAACAGCGAACAAGCGACGCTTCACTCAAAAAGTACGCCGTGGACTACATGAGAACAGAAACCAAGAGTTTCGACTACTGCCTCAAGAGGATACAGGCCATGTCACTCAAGGCAAGTTCGTACATTGATGATCTAGCAGCAGCTGGCCACGATGTCTCCAAGCTACGAGCCATTTTGCATTATTTTGTGTCCACCTCTGACTGTGAGGAGAGAAAGTACTTTGAGGATGCGCAGTGAGCTACGCAAGGAAGATGCGAACAAGACGCGGTGGATATGCGACTTCTGAACAAGTATTACATATTTATAATGATCATATATGATGAGTTTTCCACTGGTGGAAAGGCTCGGCCAGCCAGTCCCCTCAACAGATTACATAAGCACAACCCTAAACTGCTCTCTAATAAACTACCCTGCAGTAGTCCCAAAATTACGCGGGGTAACCCTAGTACCGCACCGCTCTATATAAACGCCTCCACCCCCAAACTTAGCTCACTACATATTTTTCACTTTCGGATAACCACGGTAACAGCACGCATCCATCTGTTGACTGATCAAATGGCCGAAAGGAGATTAAAGATTTCCCCTTTATAATACTCAGTGCGTTGTGCTTTTGTGTAGCCTTGAGTTTCGCTTTGGGGCGATATTTCTTTTATAAATGTACTTGAGAGAAGAGAGCGGGAGACATGTCGCAAACTAGAATGGCTGAATTAAAAGTTCCGGTTCATAACATGTCTACATTGGTATTTGACCAGGTTACAAGTTGTTACAATTGTTGACAGGTCACAAGTTGTTGACCAGACAGACAGTCATGTTCAACTAGACCGGATCAACAATTGTTGAGCTGGTACGACCACAGCACAAGTACGATGTTCATTGGAGCTACAAGTGCAAGTACAGTACTTACAGTACCGGTCACCATACACTCACCAGCTCCATCGTAGGCACATCGTCTGACCTTCTTATATTGTCAAACCTATAAGCCTTTCATATATACTATCCTTCTGTTTGCTTAGTTTGGCGCTTGCTCACGCGCTTCATGAGTTCACGCGCTCCATGAGTTCACGCGCTCCATGAGTTCACGCGCTCCATGAGTTCACGCGCTCCATGAGTTCACGCGCTCCCTGAGTTCACGCGCTCCATGAGTTGACGCGCTCACACGCTCACGCTCGCTCACCTCTTTTATCCCACAAGTTCCACAGGGTGTAGAGCCAGAAGAGGGCAAAGCACGGAGCACAAAGCAGCACGTTGCCGACCACCCACAGGTCTGGGAATCTGTCCACCTTGGGGTACAGGTACTCGGCGACCTGCAGAGCAACCATGCCGACGTAGAAGCCGATGACCACCAGTCGCCAGAAAATGGACTTGGGCAGGGTCGCAGTCCACAACCGGGAGGGCTCAAAGTTGCCCAGCAGCCAGTTCCACAGGAACAGCACCACAAAGTACTGTAGCTGAAGGTTTTCTCGTCGCAGCAGGGGCCACATGGAGAAGACGGCCACGTTGTTGATCCACGTCACCAGAGAGATGACATTACCATCCAGGGTAGCCAACAGCAGAGTGGAGGGCAAAAGGGGGACCAGCACAGATTTCTCGTGGACCTGGAAAGAAAAGAGGTAGAAAGCCCACGAGCAGGCAGCAAACGCCCAAGGAATGAGCTTTCGCTTGGGGTTGAAGAAGACAATGAGCATGACGGGCAAAATAGCAGCCAGAGTCAGAGTCAGAGAATACATCTGTAGCTGCTCAGAGGTGTACCTCAGCTTGAACTTGAAGAATGTGTTTCCGGCACACCAAAAGTTGGCGACTTTGTCTTCCCACAGTCCTCGTCCAAAGGGGAAGACTCGAATGAGACATTGTTTGACCTGATCCATGCCTCCACCAAGAATGAGAGGCAGGAAGAAGACGCCAAAGGACACAATGACAGTGACTCCGATGGAAATGAATCGTCGGAGGTTGATTTTGGGGAACACGCAGAGTCCCAGCAGGAAGGCAAAAATGACAGGCGAGTAGTAGAGAGCCATCTGTTTGAAGCACAGCGAGGCGACAAAGAAGAAGGACGCAACAACGTACTTCTGGTGGTTCAGGTTGACAAACGCCAGAAGCGCCAGACCCAGCATCACAGAGTTGTACTGGAAATGTCCGTGATCCACAAGAATCAGGGCAGGCTGGAAGATGATGGCAGCGGCTGAAATGGACAGATCGGTGGGGAAGTATCCGTACTGCTTGCCGGTCCATTTTGCGAATGAAATGACAGGCGGGATATAAATGAGTAGCTCGGAAAGCAGAACTGTGAGTCGCATGAACGTCTTGAGTCCGTAAGCGTCACATCCTCTGGAGGCGTCCAATTCAAACCACTCCGGGTTCACGTACTTGCCAATGACTCCACACAGCCACGAATGGTAGGCTGTCAGAGGAGGGTAGTCCAGCCCCCACCATTGCAGGTCGTAAAAGTACCACTTGCTGATTGGCAGGGCGGTGGTGATTTCCATCCAGTGTCTCTGGGCCTCGAAATCACCATGCATGGGAGGCTGCTGGAAACCCGAGTAGGGTCCCAGAGCCACCGCGGCCCGGATGATGAGCGCAAATGACACGTACATGTATCGGGCGCCCCATTGGGTGGTTGTGGGTCGAAAGGGGCTCAGAAAGAAGCCCAACGGCGAGTCCCATAGAGGCGACGTTCGGGTGGGCGAATCTGACGACGACGGCAGCTTTTTTTTGAGCCGCTTCTTGCCCTTGGGCGACGGCGGTTGTGGCGATGGTGACGCCGACTTTTTGTCGCGTTTTCTGGGCGGCATTGTGGTGTTGTGTGGACGTGTTTGTTCACGGCGTGTTCTTGGGTGGAAGTTGGCGTGAGAGAACTCTGTTGCCTCGGTAGTGAAAATAGGAGAGTTCATGTTGGGATAGTACGATCGGGAATAAATGGGTTTATAAGATATTAATTTGATATTGTGAGAAAATAACTGGTTGTAAAATCGATTCAGCCACTTTTCTGTTTTATCCGTTTCCCCATTTGACGATTGACGGTGCAAGATGCTTGTATGAACGCACTATCCCACTTGGCTCAGTGAACTGACCTTGGGCAGATCTAGACCCGATCCCGGTATTGAAAAATATGTATCCATAAGCATAGACAAATGTAGAAATACTTGTACATAAGTATATATACCTCTACTGAAGTTGGAGTATGGTTCTCCTGGTTCTTTTCTGGGTGTACTATCGTCTGTACTGCTTCCAGGACTTTCATCACGTTGCTCTCACATTCTTCCACTTCTTCAACTATTATGTACAATATTTACTGTGTGAACCATCTTGACGAGGGGCTCCCCGAGAGGCTAAACTCTAGCATCTCTTCAAAGCTTTGTGCGAGATGTTTTTGATAGGACACCTTAGGTCCGCTCTTCATTCTTCTTGCCGGTCCCCTACAAGTTGGTTCATCTGTCTTAGTCACGAGAAATGAGACAAAGGCTATCCTCGACAGTTGGGGATGAGATGAGTCTTTTGTTTTGAAAGCTTTGATGATGGAGACTGATTGCTTCTGAAGCAGCTGTTGCTATTCTGTATGCTACATGCCAGCAGCTCAACCGCTCGAAAGCCAGTCGTACAACTAAGACAGCTCCGAACCAGAACTTCAACTTTGGCAACTTTGAATCGGCTCGTAGTTGTCATACAGCGCGTAGTTCTCACGACAGCGATGCTCTACCTCACACCACTCTCAAGATTCACAGGACTTATGACTGGACCTCTTTCCACCTCTGTATAGAGAAACGACTGCATTTTTTTGACTGTCAGCTGGCGATCACTGCTGAACTCCTGGCCTATACATTGTCCGGGAGGCGGTGTCTGGAGATTTGTAACAAGACGATTCAGCATACTCTAAGAACTTGCAAACCACATTAGTCAGTGAATATCAGGAAGCCACTGTCACAAGGGCAAGGGCATTACAACATTGTCCCGTTTGAGTGATCTATCCTCCAATGTGTGTTCATTAACACCCATAAAAGCTCCCAAGTACTCCCACCTTTTGCAAACAAGCCCAGCTATATACCGAAGCATTGAAACACCGTAGATCACTCATCGTATATCACACATTGTAGGCCGACAGCTTTCTCCATGTTGGAAATCGCCCCAGGTGTGCATGAAGATGCATCCTGTATGCAACTTAATAAGGTTTCGAGAACGACAAGAAAAATATTAGACTTCGTCATAATCAATCCTCTCCATAGGGATGATGGTGGAGGTCAAAAAGGAGATGGAAAACGCCGTGGCTGGGGAGGAGACCAATCAAGTGAGCCGCTCAGTCAGCATGCCCCCTGAATACAAACTTCCCGAGTTTCCCGATTACCTTGCACAAGAATCTATCACACCATTGTCTCCCATTTCGACTGACATCGACAACCTGGGCTCCTGTCCGTGCTGTTCTCAGAGTCTGACCATCTCTTTGGTCCATCACAATACCGGACTGATCACGTGCAACAATCTGGACGTGAGTATTTGAGCACACGAGCTTGCAAGTCATTGCGAAGAAGAAGATGAATTGGCTTCATGATTGAGATCATGTAGCTACCGGTGAGATCATGTAGCTACCAATGAGATCACATGGCTACCAATGGGATCACGCGGCTACTTATGACTATGACTACACGAGGCCACCCTAACACAGTGCATCTACCCTTTCAACAAAGACTCGATCCTGTCGCACTTCATTCACATTCCCACAAACAGAATTCTGCGTGAAACAGCAGATAGAATGAAGTCGCTGGAGAACTTATCTCTCAAGACCATTGGGATCATAGATAGAGATCTCGGGAGCTTGTAGAGTATTTATTAATGCATTATAGACTTGATACTACGGTACTGTATCTACGCGGGGTCATTCACAATCCTCCTTTATTATATATACCTTTTTATCTCTCGCGGGGGTAACAAAGCCATTTGGCTAACAAACAGTGAGCGTGCTGTAACGTGATTGTAGACACGATTGGCAGATTAATCGGCTGCTCAATTAGAACTGATGCTGGTTGAGAGCAAAAGTGGAACCGGCGTATTCGGAGCCGTTCACCTCGTATCTGCTCATGCCGTTATCCTCACCAAGCAGCTCCTTGGTCTCCCACATGTTGTCCTTCTGTCCGACAGAGAACTCGAGATCCTCCTTGGTGGACATGTCCCAGAACTTGTAGACCATCATGACGGCAAACAGGTTAGTGACGGTGGCAAAGAAAGTGCCGTCAATGTAGTGCTTGACCTGCTTACAGATGATGGAGGAAATGGGGTAGAGCAGAATCTGGGAGGCCACAAAGAAAAAGGTGCCCAGAGCAACAGCTCCAATCATCCAGATATCCTGCAGGATAAAGATGGCCAATGCAAACTGAGAAAGAATGTACACAACCACAAAGATGAGGTTGAAGAGGTAGAGAACAACAAAGAGACCCACGGTGTTATGGGGGCCAATGGCGTCCGAACCCCAAGAGGGAATGAAAGTGAAGAGAGAAATGATGAAAGTAAGCAGGAAAGCACACAAGGTAGTTCCTCGCAGAAACAGCATGGCTCGTCGAGTTCCGTCCTCGTAGAACTGGAACCCCAGAAATCCAAAGTTCACCAGCGACCACATGGTTCCGGAAATGGCTCCATTTTGAATGGCTACCAGGTAGGGGTATGCGGCGGATCCAGGGGGAGCGACTCCGGCGTCAACAACGAGAGACATGCATGTGAGGAACAGGAAACAACTGAGGAAGTGGAACAGCTCTTTTCGTCCAATGGCGGTGTACTTGCCCTTGACTGTGTACATCATGATGAGAATCACGGGGAGTGCACCAATGTGGATGAAGGTGTTTCCGACCTGGAAAATGATGGTGTTTGCGAGCTCGATGGACCGCGGGTAGCATTCAGACATGAGTCCGATTCCGTTGAGCAGCGGGGTCTGGTCTGTGGTGGGCTTGTCGTAAGGGCCTACCAGCATGCATAGCGGAAGAGGCGATTTGTTGCACAGGAAGTCAAAGTCTCCGAATCCCATGTTGGCAAGACTATGTGCGTGTTGTGTGTGTATTGTATGTGTGTAACAGACTGATTGTCCAGATCCTAAGCTGATGCAAGAGACACTGTTGGCAGGGTGTCTGAGCTGTGGAAGGGGTGGGTCGAACGGTTAAGTCAAGTCAAATCAAGTCAAGTCGAGTCAAACCGAATCTGCTCGTCTGAGTGTCGCTATCCTGGAGTGTACACTACAAGTAGCTAAACTGCTGCTGGCAGGCGGGTGTACTGTTAGTATTAATGCTGAGACTGAGCGGCAGTCGTTGTGGAACGAAGGTGGTCGGCGTGTCAGGGTTGCTTGAGAGTCGCTTGAGAGTCGCTCAGAGTCGCTTCAGAGTCGCTTCAGAGTTCTTCAGAGTCGGAACGGAGGTCAAAAACAGTACTTGTACTCGTGTCGTACGTACGGTGCAGCTTGGTAGGAGTTTTAATGTCTGTACGGACAGAGGCATAAAAATAGAACCCCAAACTTTGTCGCACGCTAATTTTATGACCTTTGCCCCATTAAAGTTGTTTGGGAGCAATTAACCAAAGCCCTTAGCCTTAGCCCAAGGAGGAACTGGGCTGGTACAAGTACCCTTTCGTTGTAGTCGTCCAGCCAGCTTTCAGGAGACACCCTCCACCATCTCTGGGAATCACGTGACCAAACGGACCAGTAACTCCCTCCTTCTCTCCCTCCCCTGCACACCACCCTTACCCTTGACAAACAGCTGTCATAACACACCCGCATCTGCAGATGAGACGCACATTCAGAAAGCCACCCTGGTGATGGTTACGCGTCGAAAAAGGGCCAAACAAGGGCAAAAAAACGGACCGATCAGCGAACGTGTCGACAGTCACGTGAACCGAGAGAGGAAGAAACGAGAACCGCCGTGACAAGAACTACATTGTCGTTAGCGGCAAGTCATTAATTGTGGCCGGGCTAACGCACCGGCTGTAGTTTTCTATAATATCTGTAAGCATAGTCCTAGTTTTAGCACTATGCTATGTACAGCTGTCTTGCTTTTGGTTCACGTGCAAGGACTACAAGTACTGTAGGTACATACTGTAGTCAGCCGTGTCGCCGTTAAGCGAGGTCATGTGATGCGCAAAGATGGGAGAAGACGTGTTTTACCGGTTTGTTGTACAACAAGTTGTTTGAGTCGCCAACAATTGTTCTCCGTAGTTTCTTCAGCATATACTGTACTTGTTGTTCCGGCAGTGTTTGTATCGCTCCAGGACCCCTATTTATAGACAACGACGGTTGGCAGTAGAAGGGGAAATAAAAGAAAAAAAACAGAAAAAAAGAAAACGTCCGGGATGCGTTTACAGTGCCAGGGAGGAGCGCAAATTGCAAGTGGAAAAAGGGGTAGGCTGGGGTTGCCAGACATTATGTTTGCAGAGATATCTGATGTTTCAAGTCTCGAAGCGATGCAGTATAGGTGGAAGTAAAGGTTCTACAACGTAGAGGTATGAGGGTATATTGATAGAGATCAGCGCGTCAAGGGTGCATCGAGAGAGAACAGCACGTCAAGAGTTATATCAGTGTCATCTGTGACCAGCTGATCCATCAGTGCCATCACCACTCACCACTCACCATCTACACCGTCTCCGTGCCTCGTCAAGTACGCGCCTCGGATAGATTAATTGAAATCAGCAAGTCAAGGGGAACAGAATGGATATCCATCTTATTGAATTGATGTTTGGATCATCATTCATTGTCATTGTACTTGTCATCTCATAATGGACATTGAAGTTGTGCCTGACTCGGTTGTTCTTGGAGCTCTTTTTAGGAACCTCTTTCAAGTTCATGAAAAGTCGGGTGCGTTTGTTTTCTTTTGTTTTGTCATATATAGCACAGTATGTTGGTAGAAACCGCTCTGCAATTCCTCTGAAATTCAGCTTCTTCAGAGTGCTATTTAGCGAGTCATGTTACCCTGGCATTTCTCGGGTCTGGGCAATTTGCTTGAAAACTTGCGTGTTTACTTGAAAACTTGCGTGTTTACTTGAAAACTGGCGTGTTTACTTGAAAACTAGCGTGTTTACTTAAAAACTAGCGTGCTTACTTACTATTTCTAGTTGGGCCAGAAGACACAACTGGTGAACGCCTCCAATAGGACTATAAAGAAGAAGAAAAAACATTGATCGAACGCTCCTCAACAAGAACAAAAGTATAGATCGATCGCTTCTCAATAACTACGCCCTTCACCGATATTTCAACTACCTCTCCATCATCTCTCTCCCTCTACCACCCCACCTTACATTAGACTCCCCGAATGCTTATCGAAATCTAATCATCAGCACTCTTCACAACTCACTGGCTACAAACCGGCTACACCACTGACTCGAGATTATGGACTTCAAGGCCATCCACAAAGGCTACGAGTGCCAGATCTCCAACGGATGCGGGTCGGTCACGTGCTCTAAACCATACTGTCTGAGTAATCCAAGAGGATACCAGTCGAGAAACGGACGCTTCACAAAGGCAGCAGCACGCCAACATGCCAGTAATCTGGTCATGCTGCGAGGAGAGGACGGACTATGTGTTTCCCTTGATCAGCTCAAGTCATGTGATCAAACAAGAGAGGAGGACGAAGAGTCAAACAACGTGGACGATGACAATGGCACCGACACCACCAAACAAGAGCATCCGACAAAGTCACGAGCATCTGTCAGCCAACAACACGAGTCGGTATCACTATCACAGAGCCCAGCCGATCCCAATGCATCACGTGACTACCCCAAGACGACGCTGTCGCACTCCATGCTCAAGACCACTGTATACAATGTTCTTCCGAGCTTTGAGGATGGCTCTTGGAGTGTCATTCTGGACGCCAAAGACGAATCTACAGGAGACAGGGCCATCGACAAGGCACTTGATGAGACCGCACCTCCTGGCACCCATGATACAACTCTTCAGAGCATGACTACACCTACCAACTTTCTCATTCATCTCCTGAAGAACCCAGGTTGCAGAGATAATCACACGGCGGCTTTACCTTCGCGCAAACCCGTGTTTCCGCTGAATCACTATCTCTTTGCATTCCACTCTCGAGTCCAGTTTCTCTATGGGCTCCAGTTCATGGGAGATGCGGTGTATCACGAACGTGAACAGCTTTGGGGGGATATTGCACAAGATGTAGTCAATGACGTGGTTGGGTTTGTCAAGTCGGGAAACGTCGAGTCTGCCAAGATGGCGCTTGTTGGTAGCTTGCTAGGGGGTAGTGGTTTTGAGGTAGATGAAGTGGACACTGCGATGTGTGACAAAGGTAAGGGTGCTGAAGAGGCCAAGGAAAAGCTGAACGCTGATTCACACCCCGTTCTCATTACTCGGCATAATCCTAGCGTTTCTGTGGCCCGGGTTCCCAATCTCCACAAGGTGAAGCAATATGTAGGTCTTATCAACACTCCCTTGACCTCAAGCTTCTCTTCAATCTCTTCCGATTACGACTCTCCCATCGTTCCCCGCCATTCGAGCGATCTATACCAGATTGTCCAGAATCGAGCCGGTGTGTCACATGACCAATCTCGATTATACAGCTTCCGACGCATGTACAGTCTATACAACGGGCCGGAGAATCTCGTCCGACGTTCGGTGTACCTAGGGATTGCCATGGTGGATTATCCCAAACCAACGTGTTTCTGCATCCACATTTCGCGGACTCGTGATGAAGACATTCTAGAGCAGCTGTTGGAGTACATTAATCAGCAGCTGATGACCTCCCGAAACTTGCAACTCCCTCTGAAGGTTGAGTTCTCGGATGGAGAGGTTGCCCTAGATCTTGGAGGTGTTCAGCTGGAGCTTTTTGACCACATTGGACGTCTCCTTGTGGGCCTGGAGTCCCCCTACTTCCAACATGACGATAATGGAGTTGTTTGGCCGCGTGACAACCCCGACGTTTCGCGTGAAAAGTGGGTTTGCATTGGAGTTGTGGTGGGTCTGGCACTGTTTAATGGCTGTCCGCTGTCGTTTGATATGCCTCTCTCGTTTTACCGCAACTTGCAGGAGTTTTGGGGATCCCCCTGTCGTGTGACTGAGGAGGACTACGAGCAACAGGACCCAGTGGCATACAGTTCATTGGTGAGCTTGCGAAATTTACCCAAAGCTGAACTTGCCGGATTGGGATTGGCATTGAACGACGGTTCCCCGGTCTCGACCCTGGAGGATGTGAACAAGTACATCTCCGAGTATATCAACAGTCCCTACACTTCTGTCCGGCTCGACAACATTATGAATATGGTTGCTTTCGGATTCCAGATGGTTTACCCTGCGGAATTGGCTCGAAAGATGCCCACAAAGGACCTAAAGCGTCTCGTTGAGGGATCCATTCTTGCTGATGACTCCCACATCGACGTGGAGCCTCTACTAGAGCAGTTCGCCTACGAGGGAGGGTACTCCGAGTCTTCTCCTCAAGTCAAGTGGCTGAAGGAGTATCTTAGAGGCCTTTCTGTGCACCAGCTCAAGCTCTTTTTGCATTTCACCACGGGCTCCGAGCGTGTGTCTATTGGAAGTAAGCAGGGACAGAGGGTCGTCAAGATCACTGTTCAGTTGAATGGAACCAATGTCAACTGTCTCCCCTCTGCTTCCACTTGTTTTTGCATTCTCTTCTTGCCAAAGTACGAGACCAAGGAGGTGTTGGTCAGGTACATGGACAAGGCCATGGAGCACAGTGTTGGTTTTGGACTCATGTAGTATTCAATGGGAGATACTAAATGCACATGAATATATATGGTCAGTAAAACCTTTACCACTGCCTTTGGGCGTGTGTCATTTGACGACCATTTGACGGCCATTTGACGATCATTTGACAATCATTTGACAGTCTTTTTATTTTATTTTTATATTTCCGTCCACTGTAATTTTCTGGGCTCTTCTAACTGTCCCGTGTGCCCAGAGACACTCTTACTCTTACACACAACATCCACACATAGCTAGACTTTGCTACATGACACTATTTTGTGCGTGAAACAACATGAGGAGACTACGCGACTTTGCTAAAGATTCCCTGGACACGCGATACCGCTCGGATACCCTTTCTTCTCTTGATTCTAACCTCGAGCTCCAACCTCCGACTCGTGCTCCCTCAGCGCACATCTCCAACCACCCCAAAGACCGCCCGGAGTACGTGAGTCAGCTGGCGTGCTACCGCAAGTTTCACCGCTCATCCAGCCAGATTTTCAATGACCTCAAACTGATAAGAGTTGTTTCTGACGACACCAGCGACAAGAAGAAACGTGAGAAGGAACCCGAACCCGAGGAAGAGTCACTCGAAAGCCTGATGTACGTCTTCCAGGTTCTCAACAACACGGGGCCACCCGGCTCACGGGCCGTTTCTGCGTCAAAACCGTCTGTGTCCTCGCCCAAGCCATACCCTACTCAGATACCCCCACATCAACCTCTGCAACAGGTCTTGTCCCCGCAGGTGATGGACACCTACACAGAGAGCACCGACCGATCGTCAGACCAGAACCAGCCCAGTGTGTTTTCGGACCTGACGCAATTGTCGACGCCCCAAAGCTCTCCTGCGGAAACCCACGAGCCCCAGCTGCGGTTCTGTCCTGAGGTGGAGCTCGTTGTGTATCAACGCAAGTACCCACTGATCAAAAGCAACAAGTGGCAGGACCTGCTGCGTCTGAAACGGTCCCACCCGGAGTACGAACATGAAGAAGAGGAGTGGACTGACACCATCAGCAAGCCAATTCTCAAGAGCAGAAACAACCATAACGCCGAGCGTGAGATGGCCACGGTGCGGCGTGAGGACCAGTTGTCCATCGACGATTTTCTGAAACGTCTCGAGACCTACGATACCATCAGGGAAGAGATGCAGGATTACTTTGCCTGCAAGCGGGACCATGTGATCTACAGATACAACCGTCAGTTGAGGGAGATGTAAGTAGGGGCAAATGATCCGAGGCTGCAAGATGTAACTACTAAAACAATGAGTCACGAGTAAAAGTACAGCAGAAGTCTGTAGGTGGGCTCTACCTTGTACAATCCAGTACATACCGTAGATACCAACCTTTGGATCTTGTAATACATGTGCCAAAAAGTCTTAGTGCAACATTTCTATATCTATCTATCGTCCGCCAATGGCGTCAAACTGGTCCCAGTCGTCCTCGTCTTCCTTGGCCTCCTGTTTATCTTTACCGGCGTTCTCCAGCCATCCAATGATGTCTGTCACAAAGTTTTTCGAGTTGGGCACAAAGTGACCTCCGGGGTGCTTGATCATGGTTCGAGTCTTCTCATCGCAGGCATTCCACAGGCCCAGAGATCGCTCCTCGGAGACTACCGTGTCGAGAGATCCCAGAACGTGGAGAGTGTTTGTAGCAATCGGGGGCTCAAAGAACTTTTGGTACTCCTCAGGTGCGATTCGGAACCCACAGAACAAGACGCCGTACTTGACAGGAGGCTGTTTCTCGTGCAGGTTGTGGATCTGGGAGCACAGGACTCCGGCCATAGCGGCTCCCTGGGAGAAGCCCATGACTCCGTCAAAGGGTCCGTCCTTCTCAATGGCGTCTCTGACCGAATCGAAGGCCTTGTCGAGTTTGTAGTAGTCTGGTTTGTTCTGGTTCGTCACCCACCAGCTCTTCCAATCTGTGTCTGCGCTGGAGTCCAGGTTGGAGGTGTCGAACGGCAGATCGGGGGCCGACAGCTCCACTGGAGCGTCAATGTAGAAGCACTGGTAGCCCTGCTTCTGCAACGCCTTCCGGAGCGCCGACGTCTTTTTGGCAAACAGCGATCCGCTCTGGGTGAATCCATGCAGAAACAGCAGCTTTCCCTTGGTCGCAGACATGGTGATGAGCACTGGCTTAGGTCGCTGGATCTGGTGCAATGCGAGTGCAGATGATTGGATTACGTCAACTGGCAAGGTATATTTTAGATAGGGTTAATCTCGTGCATGGCTGAAATTTATATTTTTTCAGCGGAGCATTTTTCCTATCAGAACCACACGCCACACATGCTACGAATCGCGAACGTGTTCAAGAGCGGCGCCAGGGCGCAGCTGCTACCCGGCAGAGTCTCTGTCCAACTTGCTCCTGTCCGACACAGCTCCACAGGCAATCTTAGCAGCCACATGAAGGATAACATGGAAGCTGATCTGGTCGCCACCCACGGCCAGAATCACAACAATGTCCACGAGTACGAAGACAACCGTCCGGAGCGACATCATCCCGACACTATTGCTGCTCGAGCTGCGCATATGTTTTCTGTGCCCAAACACCTGGATCGCGCCATGGCAGACGCTCTGCAGACCAAGGACATGTCTCCTGCCACTCTCAAGCGAAACGTTGCACAGTTTTACGGAGGCAGCGATGAGCTGGTATCCAAGATGGAGACGGGAAGAGACAACCCGCTTGAATCTGCGCTCACCGTGGCCGCGGCCACCCTGCATCAAAACTACGCATCCGCATATGCTGTTTTGAAGGAGGTCCGGCAGAAGATGCCAGAGGGATGGACTCCCAACTCTGTGCTGGATGTGGGTCTCGGAGCTTCTGCTGGAATGCTTGCCGTCAATGAGCTGTTTGCCGAGGAGGAAAACTGGAACCCTGACCGGAAAACGGCGGTTATTCTCGGTCCTAGAGTCAACACTTTGCTGACCAAACAGTTTTTTGATACCCAGAAACACGAGGACCAGGGCCAGAACAACTTCAAAGACAAGGTGCGAAACACCCGGCTCCAGACTGGTCTCCCAAAGAACAACCTGTACAAGTACGACCTCATCATTGCCAACCAGCAGCTTGATCTCATGGCGCGACAGGAGGATTCCACCCTAGAGATGCTCTCTGCTCGACTGGTGGACCTCCTGAGCCCCGGAGGAGTGCTTGTTCTGGTCGACAGAGGCAACCCCAACGGATACGAGCGAATAGCACGAGCTAGAGAGGTGCTGATTCGACCCATGGGCGATACGGGGCCGGTCAAGACTCCCGTGCCCTTTGGACGGACCCGAAAACTGCATTTCTCCAACGACACGGAGATGAAGAAGCTCAAGCAGGAGCTGGGACCCGAATTCGACATCGAGGAGCAAACCATGCCCGTCCAAGACCGCATCTATCTCCACATTGTCGCTCCCTGCACACACCACGGAAAGTGCCCCTTCCAGCAGGGCCAGCTAAGAAAACAAAACACAGCCAAGGGCTCCTGGTGCTCCTTCACCCAGAAACTCGCCCGACCAGAGTACGTGATGCAGCTCAAACGAGGAAAGGCCCTGGCGGCTTCGTGGGACCCCAACGTGACTCGAAACAAGAACAAATTCTCAGGAGGAGGCCGACCTGGCTCTTCAGATCTCGAGGTGCCTTCGTTCAGCTACCTCATCATCCAGCGATCCACAACGCCCGAAGTCAACATCCCCAACATCCAAAAATGGCCCCGAATCCTCAAACCTCCCATGAAGAGAAAGAATCACGTCATCATGAACATCTGTGGACCCGAGGGAGGCCTCCACTCCTGGACCGTCACCAAATCTCAGGGTAAACAGGAGTACCTGGACGCGAGAAAGGCGCTCCAGAGAGACCAGTGGGCGTTGGACGCCAAGGTAAAGACCCCTGTGCGAAAGAACTACCAGATGGCGCTGGAAGACGAGAAAATCTCTCGAAACCCTTCTGCCCAGGAAAAGATTAACAAGGTGACTGCGCTGTCCACCACCCAGAGACGAGACCTCGTCAAGGCCGAGCGACGAAAGCAGATCAAGAGAGCTCGAAGAGAGGCAAGATTGGGCGGCCAGCTGGAACCCAAAAAGGACGACGAAGAAGACGACCAGGAGTGATCACGCAAACCACCCCCTAACAATACCTGTACATACTTACATAATAACAATGCAACAACATAGATATCATATCGCTTGTGGCCACATTAGAAATTTGAGCATTGAATTTATTTACACAGCTTCATTGCAACAGTGGTCTCACGCTAGAGTTTTAGGAAAAAATGGGGGTATAAAAGTGCAAGGTGTCTCTCTAAATCAGAGCAAAACCAACACCGGCCGCGGCTGCGAAACCAACAATCACCTCAACCATACCCTGCCGCACGACAGAAGTCGCCGACGACTCGACGCCGCTGCCAGTTGCATTCCGGATGTTGGCGCCCACATTCTTGATGGCGTTTCGGAGACCCTGCCGAGAGCCCTCGGTGGCATTCTTGCCCTCCCCACCGTCAACCTTGGTGTCAGTGTCAGAACCGTCTTCCTCGGAATCACCCTCAGAGCCGTCATCAGCGTCGTCATCAGAGCCAGAGCCGTCGTCGCCATGGCCATCAGAGTCATCGCCATCGTCCCCATCGTCCCCATGGGTCTCGTCAGCATCGGCGTCGGGACCAGAGACCTTGTGCTTCGACTTGTCGTAGGAGGGCTGCTTGTCAGAATCGTCGCCACAGTCGTCGTCGCCGTCGCCAGAGTGGTCGTTCCACGACTTGTCGCTATCCTCGCCACAGTCGTCGTCGGCTTCGGAAGGAGAGTTCCATTGGTCCTTATCTTCGTCACCGCAATCGTCGTCGATAGAAGGCGTGTTCCACTGGCTCTTGTCCTCGTCACCGCAGTCGTCATCGTCGTAAGAGGGGGCGTTCCACTGATCCTTCTCTTCGTCGCCGCAATCGTCATCGGTGGAGGGGGTGTTCCACTGGTCTTTTTCCTCGTCACCGCAGTCATCGTCAACAGGGGTATGCTCGGGGGTCTTGTCGTCCTCGCAGTCGTCGTCCTGCTGGTCGTCGTCGTTCCAGGGCCAGGGGATGCTGGGCCAGCCAATGATATTGGCAGAGGCACGCTGGTCTTGAAGAGAATCGAAATCAACATCCTCGTATAAAGAGGGATCCAAACCGTCAATCACGCAGTCCTCGTCGTCATCCCCATCGCAGTCGGGATCCATACTGGAGGGGAGAAAGTCTCGGAAGAGGCGGGCATTGGGCTCATCAACGTCAAGAAGGTCGAGGCCTCGGGGGACAATGTGGAGCTGCTGGTTACCACCACGGCTAGCGGTGGCCTTGAGCCTCTCAATGGTACTTCGTCGATGGAAACGGCCAGGGATGGAAGCGTGGTCGCTAGAGTCCTTTTCGTAGGCACTCATCATGGCAAGGAAGTTTTTAGACTGAACCGAAAGGGCGGGGGACTCGTCAGACTCTGGCTGCGGAGAGGGAGCGGAAGAAGGCGAGGGAGAGTCAGACTGGTTCGCGTATGAGTAGTATTGGGCACAGTCGTCGTGGTGGTCGTACTCATCGCACTCCTCGTCGCAATCGTCGTCTTCTCCGTCGTACTTCTCATCGCAGTCATCCTCGTGGTGATCGTCGTGATCGTACTTATCGTCACAATCGTCCTCGTCATCCTCGTCGTACTTGTTGTCGCAATCATCGTGATGATCGTCCCCGTCGCACTTATCGTGACAGTCATCGTACATGCCGTCATCGCTCTGGTCGTTGTTGTGCTTGTCCTCGGGGCAATCATCACCATGATCCTCGTGCTTGTCGTCAGGGCAATCTGGGTCTTCATCCTTAAACTTGCCGAAGAGCTTTTCCTTGAGCTTCTTCTTCAGCTCCATCAGAGAGTTGGAGTGGACGTCGTTAGCAGAGCCTGCGGCAGCGACAGAGGCAGAGGAGTAGCTCTGCAGGGTGCTCTGGGCGCAGTAGGATCGGATGAGCTCGGCGTTGGAAACTTCAGTCTGGGGTTAGTAGGCATTGCTGTGCACAAACACAGTGCGAACAAATACAAACACAAAGACCGTGTTGTGTAGTGGGGCGGCACAGATGGGGGAAAGAGAGGTACTCACCTGAGGGCAAAGGGGTGCACAGACGTCGGCCAGGACTTGGAGCTGGGTGCAACGGCAGTTGACGTCGTTCTCGGCGCAGGCCAGGTAGTTGTTTGCCGCAGCCGCGTGGCACTCGTTGTACTTTGCAGTGTTCTGTGTTAGTTTGGGGGCGGGGTCATCAAAACGGGAATCGGTGGGGGTTATCGTCTTCACTCACACAATAGGCAGTAATCTGCTGCACGGTATGACGAGTGTTGTCTTTGGCATCGGCAACGGAGGCCAGGAGGCCCATCACAATCAGCGCGGTGGCGCCTGCGGAGGTAACGTGTTTCATGGTTGGTATCGCAAGTTGGTAAGAAAAGCGAAAAGGGGGTTTCTAGTAGATCCAGTAGTAGGGGGTATCCTGAGTGTGCTTGTTGTAGCAGAGTCTTTGCGATTTGGAGCTTTGGGCAGTTGTGTAGAAGAAGAAGAGGAAGGCGGGTGGTTGTGTTTACTTATACTTTAACTTGTGTGTTTGTGGTTCTTAACCAAGTCTATATCCATCACCACAGCGACGGTGTTGTGCATAATGCAAACCTTAAATAAGGAGTACCAGAATCGGAATCTGAATATCTCTAACCAGACTTGAAAAACAACACAAGAAATGGCACAACTGCAGCTGGCGACGTTACAGCTGTCGGAGAGCTCGAATGACAAGTGTACCACGGTGGCGACTTCCAGCCAGGGCGATCTGGTGGTCGAAACCAACAATGTCAAGTGGTTCAAGTCCGGCAGGTTGTTTCGCAGCTTTTGTTTCGACGACCAGGAGGTGATTTACGCGTCGTTCGTGTCGTTCGATAGCGTGGGACCCTCCGACGAGAATCACGTGTCCACGGTAATTGTTCTGAAAGACAGCATTCACATTTACAACGAGTTCAGAGGCACTTCGGTACTGTGGTTGCCGTTTGTGGTGACCAATGCTCTGCAGTTCGCCAAGGGCCTCATTCTCCAAAGAGACACTCGACGATCTGGCAAGTCGCTTAATGGACCGCGATTTCTCACTCTCATTGACCCGCTCATGGACTTTGGACTGGTAGTCACTACAGACCTGTCTTCCATCTCTCCCAGTGAATGTCTTGTGAGTGTGGCCAGATCGCCCAATTCGTCATTGTATCTCACACACAGTCCCACAGACGGCCGATTCGTTATTTACCACTCCCGGCAACTTACACACAGCAAAAAGTACTCGAAAACCAGCCGCCACAGCTCTACTAGGCGCAGATCGAGCTCAATCTTCCCCAGGAGTGACGATCAGCTCAGCGACAATGACATGAGCACCAACCTGGAAAACACGCTGGCGTACTCGCGTGGCGAGAAGGCGATTGCATTAGACCGAATGAGTTCTGGAGGAGACGCCGGCAACGACGGAGAGTACACGAATTACGACTTTTCATCGTTAAGAAAAGATATCATGCTCACCGAAGTCAAGGCTATCGATACTGAACCCGTGCAGGTGAGCGATGTGGTTGCGCAGCAACTAAGCTTCTTTGACCGCGAAGCTATCGTTATTTTCAACCGAAAGACGAATGTGCTGCAGGTGCACATGTTTGTCAAGGCATCTGGACCCGTGGAACGACCCCAGCCAATCGATGCAGTCGAGTACCACGTCAAGGATCTTATCATAAACACAGATTGCTCGGCAGCTGAGGGATGCACCATCCTGGTTCGTGATTCGAACGACAGGGTTGTTCTTCTCAATCCATTTGTCGGAGTCAGTGTCCCTCTCGACATTTGCTGCTCAAACTCAGAGCAGCTTTCCTGGTCGGGCACCAACCGTGTTAAATGTGGTTCCATTGATAAGTTGCTTGTTCTCGAGCCCAAGACCCACCTCATGAACAATTGTCTCAATCTCTTGAGCATCTTCTTTGATGGGAACAGCTACGAGATCCTGAGACTTCGGTGGGCCCTTGCATACTCGCAGTTTTACGGCGACGAGCTCACTGCGTTCACTACTGTTGTTGCCAGTGTCATTTCCGAGTTTTCCTCTCTCTCTAGCCTGGATGAGGAGAATGGCGATTCGTCTCAGATCACTTTTCAGAGCAGTGTATGGGATTGGGTGGCTGAGAGCACGCCTAAAAAACGCAGCCCAGTCTTCACCAGAAAGGTGGTGGATACTGCTCACCAGCTGGTGGAGGAGCTTCCCATTGACTCGAGCATCGAACGGGTCACTTACTTGACTCTGGCACTGCACATTTTCCGAGAGGATCGCAAGCTCGACATTTCCTGTTCAGAAGATGTCAAGTGGCTAGGTGAACTTGTGGGTCAACTGGTGACATCTCTGAAATGGCCTGACTCTTGGTGTCACTACTACGGCGTCGATATCAATCAAGGTGGTGAGTATTTCAAATATGGCATGTTCTTGTCTACAATAACTAACACAGAACAATTTGTGCCCCCGCTGGCTGAGCCCCCGAATCTGCTGGCTTCACTTGCGGCTCTTTGTTACAAGGTGGATACTGACTATGTGTGTCTGTCAGCTCTTGTTGGAGGGGAATCCACTCTTGATGAGGAACTCACTCCCTGCACACAGGTGGCTATCAAGGCGTTTGAGCTTCTGTCCATGGATCTGCCAACTGCCGAAGACTTTGTGCACCTTCTGATCGAGGCTGGTCTCACCAAACAGATGCTGGCTCGGTTCCCCGAGGGTGTCGCCATCCCCATTCTCAATGTGATTCACATGTGCAAGTCCGAAAGTCCCATTTCAAGTGACCCGGCGTTCCTGGAGCTCATTGATAGAGACGATCTGGCTCGCGTGGCTCAGGGGGTCGAGCATGTGAACCTCAAGCCAGTTCAATCTGGCACTTCTGGCGGAGCTCGTGAGATTCAGGGTATTCTTGCATCACTGAACAACCCCGAAGCTACCAGTGCGTGGGACGAACAGGTTGAGGCCGACCGAGTGGCGGTGGCTAGACAGGTATTTAGCAGTGATAGACGGTTCTACGAGGCGTCCAAGCTGCTTCAGACATCCAAGGTGCAGTCGACGACCCTTGTCATCCCCCCTGACTGCAACGAACATGAGGCTCTGACGTTGCAAAAGGAGGTGGCAAAGACCATCGCTATGCGAACATTTACTGTTCCTCTTGGTCGAAGTTCGCTGTTCTTCTCTGCACGTGTTCCTCTCACCACCGAGCGGTTCCCCATTCCCAAACTCAACTTCAACGTGTTGCTGCGACCAGACAATGTCACTGTTCCCCTCGATAAGTCACTGTTGAGTGAAGATAGCACCGCCTGGGGATACTTCCACAATGGTGTGTCTTCGGGCTTGAGTGTCTCTAGAGGAGCTCGCGACATTAGCGGCAACTGGGTGGCGTTCAACCGACCCCAACAGCTGAATGCTCAACACGCGGGCTTCCTTTTGGGTCTGGGACTCAACGGACACATGAAGAATGTCGAGGAGTGGCACATTTTTAACTACCTCGGCCCAAAACATACTCTGACGAGCATTGGACTGCTCCTAGGAATGTCTGTGTCTCTAATGGGCACCATGGACGCCAAACTCACCAAAGTTCTCTCTGTCCATATTGGTGCTCTTTTGCCTGTGGGCTCGAATGATCTTAATGTTGGTGGTTCCATGCAGACTGCTGGTCTCGTTGGTATTGGCTTCTTGTACCTCGGCTCTCAGCACCGTCGAATGACTGAGATGCTTGCTGGTGAGATTGGAAGAGATGCTACTGATGGAGATGTCATTCTCGATGAAGGATATCGTCTAGGAGCCGGTATTTCGCTCGGTCTAATCAATCTCGGTGAAGGGGAGGCGTTTAGCAAGGGAGCAACTACCTCCAAGCTCATTTCTCTCGCTACTCCTATACGAGACATCCAGAATCCCAACTTCCTCGATTCTCCCACCTCTGGAGCTATATATGCGCTCATGCTCATTTTCATGAAGACCAACAACCAGGGCATTGCATCGAAACTAGTTCCTCCAGAATCGGAGCCCATGTTGGAGTACGTGCGACCCGACCTTTTGCTTCTACGAGCTCTTGCTGCCAATATTATCATGTGGGACCAGATTGGCTCCAGTGTGTCATGGGTCGAAGGCCAGATCGCTTCTTCGCTGCGTCGAAAGTACACGCTCAAGTCGATCAAGACGCTCAATTCCGATATGCTCAGTTACATGAACATCATTGCTGGTAACTGTTTCGCCTTGGCGCTGAAACATGCTTCCACTGCCAACGAGCACGCCAAGTCGACTCTGTTGCATTATCTTGATGAGTTTATGCGTCTGGCGACTCTTCCTACTGAGTCCCATGACCAGAAACTAACTCAACTTGGAGTGATCAACACCCAAGATTGTCTGGCTCTATCACTGGCCATCGTCATGGTTGGCACTGGTGACCTGGATACTTTCCGGCGTCTCCGAATCCTGCACGGACGAGCAGGTTCAGAAGTGCCGTATGGCAGCTTCATGGCTACTCATCTGGCCATGGGTACTCTGTTCCTAGGAGGAGGCCAATTCGCATTCGCTCGCTCGAACCTGGCCATCGCATCCCTACTGATTGCCTTCTACCCTCTGTTTCCGTCTTCCATGCAGGACAACAGAAGCCATCTGCAGGCTCTTCGGCATTTCTGGGTGCTTGCAGCCGAGCCTCGATGTCTGATTGTCCGAAACATCAGCAACGGCCAGAGTTGTTCCGAATCAGTCACCGTCACGCTCAAGGACGGACCTCCCGTTGTCTGCCAGGCCCCCTGCTTGTTGCCTGAACTAGACACGATCAAGGCACTAGCAATCACGGCTCCTCATGTTCTTCCTGTTCATATCGACTTTGAGGAGAGCCCCGCGTACCTGGAGTCGTTCAAGAAGACCCAAACCATCTACGTGAAGAATGTGTCTGACGAAACCAGCCATATCCCTGCTGGTGTAGCTCTCAGAAGCGACAGCGATCACTTTGAGGTCAACAATGACACTCTTAGTGGCAAGCTTCTCAGGTTGCAGGTGTTCCAAAAGTCTGCCAACCGGGACCTGGCCCTGTTTTCCAACCACGCTGCTTCCTCGGCTCACGTGGGCAGCTTGGCTCCTCTTCTGGCTGACATGCAGTATACGCTGGAGTTGACGGCCACCAACCCCACCCTGTTTGATGATATGTGGAATCTGAGACTGCTGATTGCCCACTACAGTGGAATTGACTCGTCTCAGGCGACCTTCTTGCCCCCGGTATGTGTGGAGAAGCTGAAGTTGCTGCTCAGAGGAGCCAGGGCTAAGATGGTTAGCTAGCTATTTATTAAGATGAATTTCATGATGATCACGACACTAGAATCTGGGTCGAGAAAGGGATAATCTGGCTAAGCTAGAACATGTGGCGGTCGGATGGTGTATTCAACATTTGCTCGTAGAAAATTTCGTTCCTTTTGGCCAGTTTTGAGTCAGTTTAGCCGGTAGTGAAGATTACCTGTTAAGACTAACAATAATGTTAACTAATTACTCAACTAAATACTTGGGGTAATCATCCCCACAAACAACCAGTCAACGGAGAACAACTTGGGGATGCTGTATGACTACACTACATGGCCACTTATATGTGTATATATATATATACTACTCATAAGTCCCTTCACCCGCGACATAGCTCATGTCACACCATTTGAATATATAAACTGGGGAGCTTTCCCCTTTTTTTCACACTACAAAAAATGCAAGTTCACGCACCAAAACCACGGATATACGCCACTCCTTCGAATGCCGACATTCTTCTTGTGGCAGTTGCCTCGGTCAAATTGAGCCAGGCGGTTTTATTCCACAAATCAGTTCACAGATGGCTCACCACTAGGCGAACGGCGCATCGTGCCTTTCTACCGCTACCCTGTCCACCTACAAACGCCACCTTTGCTGTCGACAGGTTTCTGACACATGCCCCAGAGGGATATGCCAAGTACAATCCTCGATGCGGGATCAATCGTCTTCTGCACAGGTACTTGTCTAGTGCAGTGTGTGAGGTTCGGGGCCAGCTCAGGTGCGGCCATGTGATGCCCGTGATGAACCTATGGCGCTTTGCATTGAATGAGTGTCTCAAGCGATACGGAAAGACGTTTTCTACGCCCTTGGGGCCTCTGCTGAACGTGGGACTGTGCAAAAGACTCGATATTTTGGTGATCAAGTTGCCTACCAAGGACGATGGAATGTTGATTTGTGAGTAACGAGGATTCAAACGGACGAGCCTGAATGATTCACACGGAGACGCCTGCCTCCATCATGACACCCTGTTCCCCTCCCATTCACTAACCCAGCTTGCATCCAACACCTAATCTCGCTGCTCACTTCTAACTGCCTCGCAACACCCAAAGAGGAGCGTCTAGTTGCCACCTACATCTGCGTACTTCTTCCGCGAGTCATTGAGCATCTTGCTCATCATCCTGCTTCTCCCCAGCTAGAAGCCACCCTGCGCTCAGCTCTGAGATGGGCTAGAGCATACTCTTAGTTCACGATGTTGACCTCTCGCTCAACTGTGAAACTTCACATTGTCTTCAGACGTCGTCAACCACCTATTTACCCTCGGCCATAATGACTGCAAAGTTGTCAACAAACTGTCATGACGATAAGTTTCTGCTCAGCCTCTTTACAGTCGCCTACATTGTCTAAGAATATTCCTTTTATTAAAGTACCGATATACACCCTTCAATGACTGTCTCTTTGAGCATGAGTTGAATTAATGTTTGGTCCAGTGGTGACAGAAATGTTGGAGTCACTGGAAGTCACTGAGTCATAGCTTAGCAAGCGCGTGTAGTGCAAGTTAGCTCATTAATACACGCGCTCAAGACTGGTTGGCGAATCGATGGGGGGGCCCATGTGTCTCACCTTTGCTCGCTCGCGGCCGTTGGTAGACGACCCAATAGAGCTGCTCGTCATCTATTCCTGCTCGCCATCTATTCCTGCTCGCCCTCTTCTCTAACTCTGACGGGCTTGAAGTAATCGTGCGCCATGGCCTCCTTGGCAGTCAGTCTCTCCTGATGGTCGTATCTCAGCAGGTTATCCAGTAAATGTATCGCTTCTTGGCTAATGTAGGCCTCGTTGTCCACGTTGACAAACTTGCTCCAGGGTCGGGCGGGGTAGGTTCCAATGTCGTCGTACTCGGCTCCGAGCTCAATATTGTACTTTTCCAGATAGTCCCAGAGCTTTTCTGTTCCCAGCACCCGTGCGATTTTCACCAGCTGGTCCGTGTTGGAGGTACCATGGAAGAAAGGCTCCTTTTTGAAAATCATGGAGGCAAACATGGCGCCGTAGGACCACAGGTCCAAGGAGTAGTCGTAGAGCTGGAAGTCGACCAGCAGCTCGGGTCCCTTGAAGTACCGCGAGGCCACTCTGACGTTGTATTCGGTGCCCGCGTGGTAGAACTCGGCCAAGCCCCAGTCAATGAGGCGCAGCTTGCGCTTCTCGTGGTCAATCATGACATTGTGTGGCTTCACGTCCCGGTGCATGATGCCCTTGGAGTGGCTGTAGTCGATGGCCTTTAGCAGCTCGTACATGTAGTAGCGAATGTCATAGTCTGTGAATTTGGGGTACAGCGCCCGGAAGTCGAGGTTCTGCACGTGTTCGAAGATGAAGGCCGGCATTTTGCTCTGCGGGTCTCGCACCGTTTCCAGCAGCGAGATGATGTTGGGTCCTCCTGCGAGATTTTGCAGAATCTTGACTTCTCGCTTGATCTTCTTGCGCTTGACGGGCTTGAGCGCCTTGATCACCACCAGCTCTTTGGACACAATGTTGATGCCCTCAAACACCTCCGAGTATTTGCCTCGGCCGATTTTCTTGATGATTTCGTAGTTGTCCTGCTGACCCCATTTGAGCGCCAGCTTGTCGTAGTCCCAGTACGATGGCGGCATCAGGTTGTTCACGTCCGCGTACACTCGGGCCACCGACTCGGCGGCGATATCGGAATCCACGTCCATGATGAGTCTTTAGACGAATGAGGAATGAGGAAAATGTGTCGATGGAGACAGAGACAATTCACAGTCGTTGATGGGTGGGTGGGTGTATAGGATGGGTATTGGGAGGAGTGTGGCAAACCTTATTTCACATAGACTCTTCTGTGAGTAAGAAAAATGGAGATTGTCACCAGGAACAGAGGCAGTCCGACCTGAACAAGACCCTCGAAAACGACATACAGTGTGCCACTTTGATCATGGACGCCTTGGTCAACCAATACATGGCCGCTACGGGCAACGCCGCAGGTATCGCTGATTGTGAGTATCCAGCTTGGAGTTTACGGTGGAGGGAGTGTGCGACAAAGGTGTGATGGACTATAGATCCACGACCCGACGGAGATAGAGACTGGATAGTGGTAGGAGGGAAGAAGGAATGGGAATCGACTTTTGGACACGTGTTTATAATTCTGGATGTTGTTGCCGCGGCTTTTTCGCCGCAGATGTGGCGGTGGCGGTGGTGGTAGTGGTGGTGGTGTGTTCGCTGCCTTATGATCCATCTAGGTCTAGACCAGAAGATGATCGAGATTTGATAGAGATGGGCTAAGTCGATGAAGGATGAACCGTTGACAGGGAAACATGTGCTTTGGTTGCTTTTCTTCTTTCTTTATGGTCGGGAAGTTGTGGTTCAGCTGTTATCTGAGTCATGCGGGGTAAGATATGATCTGAGGTGATCTAGACCGGTCCATGGATTGACTGGGTTGGTTTGGGTGTCTGTTTGGTGTCTGTTCGGTGCCTGTTTGGTGTCTGTTCGGCGCCTGTTTGGGTGCCTTCCAGTGGCAAGTGGTAATATCGTCTCTCTGGTGCCCTACCCTCGTATCTTGATCATCATCTCCTCCCACTATGCCCCGTCTCTTCCTTCCCTACAACTACCGCTTCATGCTAACACAGTGATCACCACGGACCAGGCTAAACTGGTCGATCTCGTGCAGCTGCTCGGAGAATACCTCGTTGACGAGTCTGCCAAAACCCGACAGACCGCCATCCAATGCATCTCTGACGTGCTCAAAGATCTGCCTACTGACAAACTGACCAAGCAGCAACTCACTGTCATCTGCGAGTTTCTCAGCGAACGTCTGGCCGACGAGCCCGTCACGGGCCAGGTTCTCGACGGCATGAACGCCGTGGTCACCATGTCGGCCATCAGCTCTCTGAGCGTCAAAAAAATCGTGGACAGTCTCGTCGGCTACTACCTGCCCTCTTCACATGTGCAGGTGGTCAGATACAAGGCCTACGTTCTACTCCGATACTTGACTGAGAATAAGAGCCAGTCGCTCAAAAGCACTGCTTCAGCCCAGGAAGGCTTCATCAAGTGTTTCCTGACCTGCACCAACGGCGAGAAGGACCCCCGAAACCTGCTGGAGTCCTTTGCTATCAACGAGTGGATCAGCAACAACCTGACTGTGCCTGAAAACGACGTGGAGCCGCAGTTTGACGCCACCTTCTGCTACTTCCCCATCACCTTTAGACCCCCCAAAAATGACCCCTACAAGATCACAGCTGATCAGCTAAAGGTGGCGCTCAGAACCGCTCTGGCGGCCGGAAAACAGTACTCCAAACTCATCTTCCCCGCACTGCTGGAAAAACTCACCTCGTCGTCGTTATCGGTCAAGGGAGACACTCTGGACACCATTGCAGCATGTATCGCCAACTACGGTCCGGAAATCACCGCCGAAAATTGGAAGGACATCTGGGACGGAACCAAATTCGAGGTTTTGCATGGAAGCGAACCTGAGCTGGCAGGAAAGACCCTTACTGTTCTAAAACGTCTCGCAGAAGAGCTGCAGAAGCACGGAGACCAGTCACAGCTGGATGAGTACCTCACAAACGTTGAAACTGACTGCATGGACAAGCTCAAGGACCCCACAAACCGTCTGAGCACCCAGGCAGCCCAGATCGTGGCGTCTGTCAGTTTGGCAGGTGTAGACGTTGCTAAAAAGCTTACCACTCCGGCGCTTTCTGCTATCCTGGCCGTCACTGACACTCAAATCCCCACTCTGACGTCCATCTGTGAGATTCTGCTCATTTTCCTCAAGTCGTCCCTCCCCAATGTCACTTCTACACCTCTGTTTGAGTTCAAGGACCGCGTTTTCGATGTGCTGGCCAAGGCCCTGCTCTCCAGTCCGGAGTCCGAGTCTTCTCTGCGCATTCTGGCCATCAAGGGTTTCTCCGCCGCCGTCAACATCACCGAGTTCCTCTCTCAAACAGACACAGAGCTGATTGTCCGGTACCTGGATGACGTCATTGTCAACGACACAAACACAAAAACCCTGCAGGCTGCGGTAGACGCACTTGTTCTGATTGCTGAGAAGCCCGGAAACGCAGGAATTATTCAAAACATCACCTTCCCGGCTCTGCTTTCAGAGTTGCCTGCTTCAGACTCTGACAAGGAAGCCAAGACTCGAATTCTGTTCCTGCTATCTGTTTTGGCCAAGGTGAGTACCTCTAAGACTTTGATTGAGGTTCTCCAAGTCAGAATACTGTCCCACATGGATACCGTTACTGGGAGCACTGCGTTGTATCCCACTCTGCTTCTGCAGACTCTTCTGAGCGCCCTGAAGGAACAGGAGTCCAAGGACAACTTTGATACCACATCGTATCTCAAGTCCACCTTCCCCAGATTGTTTAAGACTGCCTTTGATGCCAGCTACTCGGGGTCCCCTGCTGTCATGGCCACTCCTCAAGTGACTGAAGCTGCTGGACGAATCCTCACCTCCATCACCCGTCATTGCACAGTTCAGGATCAAGTTCTGACAAGTCTCTTCTCCCTCTTCTTCAACGGAACCACCAGTGATATCTTTCCGAGTGCCACCCTTCCCGAGAAGCAAAAGTTCAACGTCCTTGATACTCCTCTGCCCTGTATGAGTCTTTTGACCTCTTGTTTTGCTCCTCTGAGTCGCGACCTCGAGCTGCCCAAGCTTCACGACCCCTTTGTTCTTCTGAGAAGCGTCATCAGCACTGTTTCTGGCACTGCCGATCCAGCCATTCGACGACACTACCTTCGATTTGCTGGTCTTCTCACAAACAAATGGATCAACACCGCCGCTTCTCCGCAGGCTGTGGCGTTTGTTACTGACCTGCTGGAGACCGCCACTCTGGACGCACTCGAATCCGCTGCCTGGATTATAAAGGGCTGGTTGCTGAAGAACGACTCCACAGCTTTCAAGTTTGTGGATACTCTTGTGGGCATGCTCCCTGGCGCCAATGGACTGGTGGCAGCCAAATCGTTCGATATTCTACTTGGAGACGATGAACTATTTGTCAAGCAAAATTCGGTTGTCATCCGACAGCTTTACAAGCAGCGGCTTTTTGTTTCTGTGGTGCCCAAGCTGGTTCAGGGCTACAAGGACGTTGACGATAAAGTGCCCTACGTCGTTGCTCTGTCCAACATTGTCAACTCTGTCCCCAGCTCCATTGTGTCGCCTGCACTCGAAAGCATCATGTCTCTGGTGGTGGACTCTCTGAGTGTTTCTGAGGCCCGGGTCAAGACTGCTGGCATCGACACAATCCTCGCTACCATTGGACAAACCGATATTGTGGCCTCCTATCTCGACGAGCTTGTTCCTTCTCTTCTGGACGCTGCATTCTCCTCGCCTGCTGTCTCCATCAAGGCTCTTCAGTGTCTGGGAGCCTTTGCATCCACTGTCGATCTTCCAAAGATTGTTCCTTTCAAGCAGCGAATCATCAACTCCTTGACTCCTCTCTTGGACCACAAAAAACGAGACGTGCGACGAGCCTGTGTTGATACTCGACAGGCTTACTTTGAGCTCGGCATTAACAAGTAGTCACGATAAATAGCTACATATATATTTCTATTTAATTATAGCAACTTGACAAGATCCAGCCAGATCCTCTTGGCTGTATAATACTCCAGGTTGACTCTAAGATGATACAGCAGTCCCAGGAGGCCATGAGAAGGGTTGTATTGTTTGAGGACGTCAGAATACTGGCTGGAAATCTGCGCAAACTTGTGTTCCAGTTTACTCTTGACACCGGCTCTGAACCCATGAATCTCAACCGTGATTGAGTGTCCAGGAACATGGTACTTTTCTTCCCCAGGAAGAGCATCGGACTGTAAAGGTAGAGGAATTGAGGGGGTGAGAGGGAGAGTGAGAGGTTCGTTGCTGTTGCTGTCGTTGTCGAGTGTATCAGCCGGCACATTCTTGTCGGGCACGTACTTTGGTTGGGTGTGGACTGTCTTCTCTCTGACAGTTCTATATCTCTCGTTGACGTCTAGATATCTCGCCCAGTCATTGTTGCCCTTGATGTGAGGATAGTGGTGGCCTGTAAAGTCCGGAGAGTACATTATGGGGAACCTGGCAGTCACGGTCCACATGGAGAACTTGCGCAGAAAGTGCCACGGCTCGTCGGCCAAAAGAGGAGCGATGGGAATGGCGTTGTCGTTGGTACAGGGTTCGTCCAGAGGACACTTGAATACGCCTCCGACAAAGGTATCGGGCCAATAAACGGGTGTTTCTCGGTCGAGCGATGTGTATCTCCGGGCAAGCTTGAACTTTCCACCTCCGAAATGCCAGGGATCGAACTGCATTTCCGACGACGTGTTGGTGAACTCCATGGGGTTGGAGAAGTCCGTGCATCCCGGGGTATCGGAGATGGTGTAGTCGTAGGTGTATCCGTTTTGGCATACAGACATGGCTAGACGGTCTCTGGAGGCGTCGAACAGATCCTTCTCACACCAGATTCGAATTCCCGAGTAGGGAGCCATGAAGTTGCCGATGGTGGCACACTCTTTGGAAGTCGAGTCGTAGTAGTAGGAGGTCGGGAAGGAGGCAAGGACCGGGGTGGAGAAGAGCGTTATTAGGAGCATGTTGGATACCATTGTGGAATTTCTTGAGTGGAAATTGCACTTTTGGAGATGCCGCTAAGGGTATTTAAACGGACCGTGGGTTATGGAACAAGTTACTTGGGAGTACTTGGGTTATGGGTTGATGTGAGATGGCGCTTATTTGATTAGTTGGATTAGGTGAAACTTTTGTTGGGACTTTTGACAGTTGACTTGTTGATTCAAAAGGCCTTGCCGAAACTTGAGAACTGGAGTTGCACCAGATAAATTGGATAGGAGAGTACTTGTATTTGTACTATTTCAGCAGCCTGCTGTGTTTGCTGTCGTAAATAACCAAATGGAAACCTTTCGAACGATCTTAGGGACTTATTGATATATGCTCCATAAAGTGCCGACATAACTTTTTGCATCGACAGGGGGGAGACAGTCCATAATCAGAACCAGACGCCATAGAATGAGACAATTTTTGCAGTCATGGTGCCTCAAAGCGATCAATTGCTATCGAAAAGTGCTGAAACCACTTTTAATTCATGTTACTACATAGCAATCCTAATTGGGCACGCAACAATCATAAATCCACGTGCTGAAGGAGGAACTAGATCTCAATTCCCTCAAAACTGGTCTTGATGACATTGTCCTCCTTCTCCTGGGGCGTCAGCTTGGCGTTTCCGGGCCGCTCGGCGACATAGGCTCTCAGACCGGCCTTCTTAGCAGCTTCAATTTCACGCACATTGTCGGACAAGAAGAGTACCCTGTCAGCCTCGAAACCAATGGCCTTGAGGATAGTTGTGTAGCTCGCAGCCTCCATTTTGGGTCCGGCGTTGACGGTATCAAAGTAATCCGAAATCAGCGGAGTCAGATCGCCGGCTGACGAGTACCCAAACAGCAACTTCTGAGCAGGCACAGATCCTGACGAGTAGATGAACACCTTGTTGCCGCCGTCCACAACCCGCTTCATGTAGTCCACAGCATCGGGATACAGAGGAGCCTTTATTTCCCCACTCTGGTAACCACTCTTCCAAATGTAGCCCTGAAGAGCCTTGAGGTAGGGAGCCTTAACGTTCTTCTCCGTCAGATCAATCACGTGGTCCTCCAGGGCCTGGGCGCTCTGTTTGTACTCCTCCGGGAAGCTCTCCAGGTATGGAGTCAGGTCTGAGGTCTGGTTCCCGCCTGGTTTGATGGGGAACTGTTCGTTTTTGAGCAATTGAGGCAGCTTTTCGAGTGCATAGGGAAACAAAATGTCGTGCACAAACGAAATCGAACACACGGTTCCTTCAATGTCGAGTAACGTGGCCATGGTGGAGTTGATGAAGAAGACAAGTTCAAACACGTGCCTGGATCATGTATGTTTGGGGTTAGGGTTGGGTTGTTTGAACCAACTACGTACATGTTACATCCAATGGATTATTACATACTATATACAAGAGCAAGAGTCGTCTATGCTCTGGTTGTCAATAGAAGACAATGGTGGGGGTTGTGAGAACCCAACTGCCGGTTGTAGGTGGTCCATGGGATTACTCAATGGCAACAGTGACAAGGCCGTTGATGACGGAGTCTCGCAGGGTCTCGGAGATGGGCTTCTTTCCAGTGAGGTACTGGAGCAGAAGCAGCTCGGAAACTTGGGGGTTGTGCACAGTTCCAAGTTCGGAGCCCTCGCCCAGATCAGCCTCGCTCTTGGCGTCGTAGTAGGTGATCTTGAGCTCGCCGTTGTTACCCTTGCGGTTCATGACCAGAATATTGTGCTTGGGCACCGACATCTTTCGGGAGAAGATGGTCTTGAGCTCGGACAGGCCGTCGGCAAACTCCTTGTTCTGGGACGCCTCCTTAGCCTCGGGGTGGGCGAGAATGGTTCGCACAAAGCCGTCTCGGAGATGGCCAAAGTCCGTGTTTCGCACAGGCACAATTCGGATTCGGATGTCGATGCCCTGGTCCAGCAGCCATCGGATCTTGGCGGCTCCGTGGACGGGGTCCAGCAGCGACTTTTTGAACTCCTCCACGTCGCCGTTGGCCTGCTGGAAGCCCGACGTGGACTGCAGCAGTTCCCGCACCTCTCGCTTCTGCGACTCGGGCAAGTACAGACCGATGGCGTACACGTCGAACCCCAGGAAGGAGACTCGTCGCACTCCACATCCCAGCAGCGACCATTCCTTTCCGTCAGCTGACATCTTGGTGGGGAAAGGCGGCGTGGAGGTGGGAGGCTGGACCGAGTCTGTGGGCTGGATGATGGGGCCCTTCTTCTCGTCCAGCGCAATCGACTGGTGGGTGTACAGCGAGTAGAGAGACAGTCCAGCAGCACAAGCGGCGGCAGTGGAGAACAGCAGGGTGTTTGAGGGTCGGGGAACAGCTCGAGCGGCGGTGGCTCGGGTCGAGAACGCTCGCACTGGAGCCTTCACTTGTCTAGCGGATTTCAAAGCGTTTCGGAACATTGTGTGGGGTGGTTATGAGAGGAGGTCAACTTTACTAAATAGGCTGATATCAAGCAATATCGAAGTGGTAACTCTAAACGAACAAGACCCGGATAGGGGGAGGCTGTGGAGTGGTGGTTTTGTGTTCAATTGGAATTTTGACGGCGGGAATCAAGTTAACGAGGTCGAAATACCATGTTTGGCGTTTCAAAGTCTCCAAAACAACCAATTATCAGCCTCTATGGGACGCCGCCTGAGATCGAGCATGATCAATATGGCAAGGTTGATTGGAGCAATTCAAGTGCAGTTTAGAGAGTGGATGGATGGTTATATGACAAGGGCAAAACGGTTGCTTAGTTTGGATAACTTTGCAGATTGATATGGTAGGTTGGTTTTTCCCATTTGGTTATGATTCATGGAGATAATGGAAGCTACCTACTATACTGAGTCTTCAACTAATGTATCAACTATAAAGTTAGATTACTGGCTTTTTCAAGTAATAGGTGCACTGGAGTCGGCTTGGAAATCGAGCTATGGTTCCTCATAGAGAAGGTGGGTATCATTTTTTTTTGGAGTTGACGTTAGAATCAATCCTGACACCAAATCGTCGAGATACTGACACTTGTTCTGCACTTGTTCTGCACTTGCACTCCCCCGCCGAGTTGTGTCCCATTGATTGTAGAACGCACGACGACAAAGGAAAATCCTACTTTTCGTCACGTCTCGTCCCGGACTCCAATCGTCTGAGACTTCAAACATGCCCTCAGTCTTGTCTCGATGGATAACCATGAGCTCTCTATATCCCAGCTGGTCACTATACTCGTACATACCTACAACTACGGTACTAGCTCGCTTATCTCATGTCATATAATCATTACATCATCAGTCCCTTAAGGGTTCTGCTTGACAAAGTTGACACCCTTCTCAATGTTCTTCTTGAGATCGGCCTTGGCAGCCTCGATGAGCTTCTCCTCGTACTCGTTGACCTTTCCGATGGGGTGGATCTCCTCAACACCGTTAGGGCCAAGAGTGACCTTGGTGGAGAAGAAGTCGATGCCCTCACCCTTGAACAGAGGAGAGTCGACGAAAGTGGGCTCAACAACGTCCTTCTCGCCGTTGACACCTCGGAGGAGAGAGTCGGCGAATCGGGCGGCAGCCTGGGCCATGGAAAGGGTGGCGGATCCGGCACCGTCCTTGGCCTTGACAACCTCGTCACCGCCAAACTGGATTCGGTGGACAAGCTTGTCTCGAGCCTCACCGGCAATGTCGGGGTGGTCGGACTGGGACACGAGGGGGACAATGGTGACACCGGAGTGGCCGCCAACAACGGGGAAGTACTCCTTGGTGGGGTTGGTGTGCTCGAGCTGGGAGACGAATCGCTCGGCTCGGATGACGTCGAGGGTGGTGACACCGAAGAGCTTCTTGGGGTCGTACTTGCCCTTGGACTTGAGCACCTCGGCGACAATGGGGACGGTGGAGTTGACGGGGTTAGCAATGACTCCGACAAAGGCGTCGGGGGCGTGCTCACCGACGGCCTTGGCCAGGTCTCGCACAATGGAGGCGTTGGTGTTGAACAGATCGTCTCGGGTCATGCCGGGCTTTCGGGGGACACCGGCGGGGATCAGCACCAGCTTGGCGCCCTTGAGGGCCTCGGCAATGCCGTTGTTGTCGGGAGAGTAGCCGGCCACGGTGGAGTTGGTGGGGATGTGGGAGACATCGGCAGCAACGCCGGGGGCGCCTCGCAGATCGTACAGACCGAGGTCGGTCACGTTCTTGTTGAGCTTGAGCAGCAGAGACAGGGGCTGGCCAATGCCTCCGTTGGCGCCAAGGACGACAACCTTGTGCTGTCGGGCAGCGGAGGTGGAGAAGGATCGCAGGGTGGAGCCGGTAACTCGGGTTCGGAACATTTTTGAAGATGTGATGTGGAGTTGGGGAAGGTCGCTGGGTGGGACTGGACGGGTTTAAATGGCAAATGAGAGGCCAGCGTGCAGACACAACTCAATGGGTTTTAGAGTTAATGGCGCAATGCAGGATGGAGAGGGAGATGGGGGCGCAAATGGAGGAGCGGAGAGACATCTGGGTCGATAACCGGACTCTTCCCGAGAATCGAATTCATTTCGCCTTTTTCCCGCGCCATTCCGATCATTATTCGCCGTTCTGAATTGCCTCGGCGATAACATCTCCCACACATCCGCTCAGATGTGCATGTGAAGTTTATGAACAGAAGGACCACTTTGGCGTGGACTCGAAAAAACAGAGACATTTAATTGAGCTGTTTAGAGGAGATAATGGGCGGGCAAAAGCGTTGGCGACGGTTGTCAACCTGCAATTATCCCATGTCACCACCGATTCTCCCGGTGTCCTCCCGTCAATGGCCCCTTCGCTCTATCTCCGATATTTCCGTATCGTCTATAAGCTATACCATATACACCACGGTTACATCATGTTCACACATGTATCGGGTCGGACCCACTCACAACACACAAACCAATGTATCGATCTAGCCATTGAGCCTACAATCGACCATATCCACCTTTTTAAACCGGATTTTTGGCCCTGGACCCATCTCCGAACCCTCCGCGCCATCCGAGCCCTCCACGCCATTCGCGTCCATCCCTCCGAGTCCATCCCTGCGAACCCATCCCTCCAAGTCCCCATCCTCGCTATTAGCCACACTAATGGTGTTATCCGGGGTACACTGGACGCATGTTGCAAGTTTGCGAGTCAATTTGTGTCCCATATTCCCACATTCCCGTCAGGTACCCCTTACTTGCAAGGTCTATTCAGCTGCCGCCTCCATTGCAACTCCACCACCGTGAGCTGGCCTTTCTTCAGCCCCACGTGAACAGAGAGTTTACCTTCCTCGGTCTTGTGGAGACGGCACTTGGCCGAGAAATCGGAGCCGGAACGAGCGTCGCGGTTAGGGCTGCGGGTGCTCGGATATCGACAGGAGTCGGGGAGTTGGAGTTGGAGTGGGCGACTCGTGGCCGTTTCCTCGCACGGATGAAAAGTTCCAGAACATTCCACAACCTTCCGTCAACAGACGGGGGAGCGAAAACGGGGCCCGTCGTGTCACGTGACCGCACGAGATGTCGGCGCCACAGGCAGCGAACAAAGCCAACAACCCGTACAACTACTGTACAGTACAGCATTTTTTTTTGGAGTTGACGTTAGAATCAATCCTGACACCAAATCGTCGAGATACTGACACTTGTTCTGCACTTGTTCTGCACTTGCACTCCCCCGCCGAGTTGTGTCCCATTGATTGTAGAACGCACGACGACAAAGGAAAATCCTACTTTTCGTCACGTCTCGTCCCGGACTCCAATCGTCTGAGACTTCAAACATGCCCTCAGTCTTGTCTCGATGGATAACCATGAGCTCTCTATATCCCAGCTGGTCACTATACTCGTACATACCTACAACTACGGTACTAGCTCGCTTATCTCATGTCATATAATCATTACATCATCAGTCCCTTAAGGGTTCTGCTTGACAAAGTTGACACCCTTCTCAATGTTCTTCTTGAGATCGGCCTTGGCAGCCTCGATGAGCTTCTCCTCGTACTCGTTGACCTTTCCGATGGGGTGGATCTCCTCAACACCGTTAGGGCCAAGAGTGACCTTGGTGGAGAAGAAGTCGATGCCCTCACCCTTGAACAGAGGAGAGTCGACGAAAGTGGGCTCAACAACGTCCTTCTCGCCGTTGACACCTCGGAGGAGAGAGTCGGCGAATCGGGCGGCAGCCTGGGCCATGGAAAGGGTGGCGGATCCGGCACCGTCCTTGGCCTTGACAACCTCGTCACCGCCAAACTGGATTCGGTGGACAAGCTTGTCTCGAGCCTCACCGGCAATGTCGGGGTGGTCGGACTGGGACACGAGGGGGACAATGGTGACACCGGAGTGGCCGCCAACAACGGGGAAGTACTCCTTGGTGGGGTTGGTGTGCTCTGAGCTGGGAGACGAATCGCTCGGCTCGGATGACTGTCGAGGGTGGTGACATCCGAATGAGCTTCTTGGGGTGTGTACTTGCCCTTGGAGTTGGGCACCTGGGGGACAGTGGGGGGGGTGGAGTTGACGGGGACCCACCAAAAA